AATAGGAAGCTTGTACGTGTAGAAATGTTATGTAACACTGTGTTCCCTTTTTGTTCTAGCTTGTTTGGCCTTTTGTTCAATAGTTTAAGCTATTTCAATAGGCAAAACGATCATAGTACTAACATTTGGAGAATGTTTCTCCAAGTGAGATCATATTTGAAATGAATTTCTGGAGTAAAGCAGTCAAATTCGTCAGTTTGACTAACGTATACAGTCCCGTCAATACTCTCGCCGTGATCCTCTGACACGTGAGCAGCCTCCATGAATCCCGTCATGTTCATTGACGCGTACAATGACGTCATAAAATCTGGCGGGACTTCTTCTTTTCTTTACTCACTGTTTCGTTTCTCCTCTTTTATTCTCCCATTTCGTCCATGTCCCTGCCTTCCCTTACCGCGGCGTTTTTGGCATTCCTTCCTCTTCATTGGTGGTGTCCTGCTTACTGGTATGGTGGAAAGAGTTTTTTAATTAAATTTATTTTATATGTCATCTATTGCATTCGCGGACCCACTTGCGGGCAAGTGCGGTCATAAACTTTGGGATTTTAATTTTTTTTCAGTTGCAGATCCTTATTTGTCTCTTAATTCAATATATATTTTAAGAGTAAATACTCTTTTAAGTCCTTAGCAAAAAAATATGATATTTATTTTAGTCTCTTATAAAAAAAAAAAAATAGTCTCGAGGTCCATAAAAAATTTAAAGTGGATCAATTTAGTTAAAATTGTGATCTCTCATAAGTAGGCTTCACCAATAAATTTTTAATTAAAAATAAGCATAATTTTTAATTACCGGACACCTCCTCTTGAAGACCATATTTGTGCTTTCTGTTGTAATAAGTAGGCTTCACCAATAAATTTTTAATTCTTATATCAGTAGGCTTTGTGCTTTCTTTCACCGGAGGTTTTAGCAAGTGTAAACTTGAGACCATATTTAAATTTGTTTGTGAATTATGCTTTAGATTTCACCTCAGTCATATGGAGACCATATTTCAATAATTATTATTTATAAATAAAATTATAAAATAAAAAAACATGAATCATAAACCGGTAATTATAACAATAAATAAAGGGTTTCAGTAACTACTAATTACAATTAAAATTATAAAATAATTAAAACAGTAATTATAAAAAAATAAAACAGTTGGTTTCAATATTTACTAATTACAATTAATATTATAAAATAATTACTAATTACAATTAAATTTATTAAATAAAAGCCTATCCTAGGATTTACAACAGATGATATATAAAATAAATTTAATTAAAAAACTCTTTCCACCATACCAGTAAGCAGGACACCAACAATGAAGAGGAAGGAATGCCAAAAACGCCGCGGTAAGGGAAGGCAGGGACATGGACGAAATGAGAGAATAAAAGAGGAGAAACGAAACAGTGAGTAAAGAGAAAAAGAAGTCCCGTCAGATTTTATGACGTCATTGAACGCGTCAATGAACATGACGGGATTCATGGAGGCTGCTCACGTGTCAGAGGGTCACAGCGAGAGTATTGACGGGACTGTATACGTTAGTTAAACTGACGGATTTGACTGCTTTACTCCATAAATACATTTCAAATATGCTTTCACTTGGAAGAAACATTCTCCAAATATTAGTACTATGGTCGTTTTGCCTATTTCAATATGCTAATCTCGTTCCAACTTTATTTTATTTTTTTAATGGAAATTTAAGAGGAAACTCAGAAAGTGTACATGTATGTCAGTATATATGATAATCAGATTCACGGGACAGATTTGGCTATTTGAGTGTGTTCGTAAATTTTATTGATATAATTACGATTCACATAACTTTATATGTGTAAGGGAGAACATGTGAAATTCGTGATTCCTTACGCTTTGAGTTATTTTATTTAATAATATATTGTATATTTAAGTTGAGGTAACTTAAAAAATAATGCAATACCTAGTGATATCGGATTATCGGTAAGGGAGAACATGTGGAATTCATGATTCCTTCCGCTTTGAATTATTTTATTTAATAATATCTTATATATTTAAGTTGAGGTAACTTAAAAAATAATGCAATTATATATATATATATGAGAAGATTTTTTTGACTCCAGAATAAGATTTTCTAAACTATAACTGTTAGATGAACAAAAATTAACAGTTGTCATTTGTAGTGTAATTAATAATTAATTAATTAGTATAATTTTCTAAATTATAATTGCTAGATGAGAAAAATCAACAATTAAGATGGAGAGTTAAACTTGTAAATTTTATTCTGGAATCAAAATATTCCTCTTTATATATATATATATATATATATATATAGCTTTAATATTTTTACGGTGAATGCAGATAAGTTATCTATATTTACTCCTAAAACAACATCATTTTGAATTGGAAGACTAAAAAATTATAATTATAAAGACTATTATAAGTTTATAACCTTGGAATAAATTATAATTATAAAGATATATTGATTTTCGTCCTAAAATAACGTCATTTTGAAATTAATGCAGATAATTTATCTGCATTCACTGCAGAAAAAATAAATTATATTTATACATGTGTATATATATTATTTATGCGAGGTTATTCTTATTACTTTTTCTTACTTGCTATTACAACCAATCTGATTATTATTATATTAAAATTAAGCTTTCATATTTCAATAGTAAATGCATATAAGTTATCTATATTTATTCTAGAATGACATCATTTTGTATTGAAAGATTAAAAAATTATAATGATAAAGACTATAATAACGTTAAAATAAATTATAATTACAAAAACACTTGATTTCGCCGCAAAATAATATCGTTTTGTATCAATATATATAATTTAGCTACACTCACTGTAAAAAAAAATGAATCCTAAAATTAATTTAATAATTATAAAATAACATCACGTTAGATTTATTAATTTGATTTTGATACAATCATAACAAAATGGTTGTAAGAGGTGGTAATAAAAAATAAATAAGTATAACCTATTTTTATTATTTAATTTTAACAAGTAAAATTAAAATCTTAATTCGGCATGTACATATATATAATATTTTTAAACTTAGATAAATTATAAAAGCATAATTAAGAGAGTAAAATATTTAAAGGGAAATGTATTTCTCCATTCACTCGAGATAAAATTATCTCCAGTGAACTCAAAATGACGTCATTTTTTGGTTATAAGATTAAAAAATTATAATGATAAAGACTAACATAAACCTATAATATTAGAATTACAATAAACTTTGATTTCTGCACCAAAACAACGTCGTTTTGGGTTCATCAAAAATAACTTATCTCCATACTGAAGAAATTCTTTATCCATATTTTAATTATAGAAAATATATACAATTAATTTAACTAAATTTAAGAAATTATAAATTTTAAAAATAATAATATGCACAATTAATTTAAAATTAAAAATAAAAAGTAACAAATTATTTTTTAAATAAGAATAAACAAATTTTTAACACGTCTCAAAATAATATAATACAATTTAATACATGAAATAGATTTCATCCAAAATAGATGAGAACACTGTACATTAAACACCAAATAGTACATTGTAGGCTTGTAGCACTAATCACTATCTATTACTTCTTGTAATAAAAAAAAAAAAGGGAAACCATTTAGCAGAAAAGTTTGTCTATGCATAGACAAATTGATAGAGAGAAAAAGCATAAAGAAATGAGAGAAAAAAGTGGGGATGAGGAGGGCACTCCTTTTATTTCTCTTCCACTGATAAGTTTTTCTGCTTATGAAAAAATTAAATGATTTTTTGATAAAAAGAAATTAAACATGAATATTCTCCATAATCCATTCCATAAAAGCAACGAGGATGAGGATTCACGAGAGTTTATCCTTTATCAAGAAGGGAATGCTTTACGGACGTTTTGCTTGAGAAATTGTTTTTGAATATTAGGGAAAAATAATTAATAGAGAAATGATTAAAAAATGAGTTTGGTATGAAAATGTAAAAAAAATTATTTGGTTGAGTAAAATTTTACTAGAAAAATTATGTGAAATTCCTGAAGAGTGTGTTTGGTTGAATAGAAAATATTGATGGGAAACTAATTCAAATTACGAAACTATCCTTTTAAAAATAATATCACCTTTGCAACTTTTGCCAACTTTACGGTCACCGATTTATAAAACTTTTGTCGCTTTTGCAACTTATCCAGTTTTTAGAAATAATACCACCTTCCAGGAAGGAAAATGTTACCTTGATTTTTGGACAAAAAGCTTGCAATTCAAGATAGATAAGAAACAAGAAAAGCTGAGTAAAAATCATAAAATCAGTGAACCAAACATAAATTAATGATAATGCAGCATCACTTTCCCGGATTATTTAACAAAATCCTAAAACAAACACCCTTGTAAAAATTATTAGGCCCTATCTCAAAGTTGAAACCAAAGCCCACGCAAAAAAGTATCAAGAACCTGATTGTGTTGATTTCTTAAAAATGTTTTTTTTTATACATTGTTTATTTTAAAAGTATATTTTACAAAAGTTAAAATTATTTAATTTTTTTAAAAAATATTTGACTTTTGATTTCTATTCTTTTAAAGAAAAAAAATCTGTTTATAAATTTTTATAAACTTATAGATTACATTATGTTTGACCAATAATACTCTATTCAAGGGTATATTATTAGTTAGACATAATATAGTTTGTAAACAAAAAATTTATAAATATAACCTTATCTTAATTTAAAAACTAAAATTTTTAGCTTTTGAAAAAAAAAATAGAATTTTAACTTTTTTTATGATTAATATTTTTTTAAAAAGCATGTGTCTAAATAATTTTTTTTGAAAAGTAATTTTTTTTTTCTAAAAAATAATGTTTGAAGAAAAGAAAACCCATTTAAATGGGCCCTAATTAAAGTTCACTGATATTTCCCAATTTTCATTTTTTTTTTTTTTTTTAAGAAAATCAGCAGTTGTCGTTGTCGCCACCACACACCCAACACAACACCAACAACCACCATTTTCCATTGATAAACACAGAGAGAGAGAGAGAGAGAGAGACACACACACTCACACACTCACACACATACGCAGATTCAGTGTGGGTTGAAGGAAGGAAGCAAAACAGAAACATGTATAGGGACGTGTCAAGCTGCAACACATACGACTATGGTGACGCTATGTATTGGGACGCTCGCTACATCCAAGAAGGAGGTTCGTTTGATTGGTACCAGCGTTACTCTGCTCTCAGACCTTTTGTTCGTAATTACTTCCCTCTTTCCTCTACACTCCTCATGGTTGGTTGTGGCAATGCTGGTAATTCCTCCTCCTAACAAAAACCCCTCTTCTCTTCTCTTTTCTCTAACAAAACCCAGAAATTTTAATTCCCATTATTCCCTTCTTCATGTATACTTTAACTTCCAAACTCAACTTTAGGGTTTTTCTTTTTTTTTGGAGGGCACCCCTCATGTTTGTGCCAGTGCCACAACAACCCAAAAAAAAGCTCTTTTTATATTTTTTTTTATATTTTAAATACCCTTTTGGATTTGGTATATAGTATATTCTATTTTTAATTTTTTACTCATTGTTTACATATGGTTGGTGCCTCACTGTTACTTTAGATTTTATTTTATTTTTAAATTATGTGAATACAATTGTTTGTAATAATTTAAAACGACACAGTCCGTGTTGTACTCAGTTGTTGTTCGAGACAATACATTTAGAAAAGTTGGATCTAATTTATCTGTTTGCTTATACCTTTTGTAATAGTCTTCATCTAAAAATGAAGAGAATAATAGAGCTTTAACCCACCTTATTGCAGTGGGAGAACTTTCTTTTCTTTTTAGCTTTTTAGCTCTTTCATTTTTCTTCGTTTTATAAATGGAAGTTCCTTGTATTTATTTCCTTGTTGTGTAGATGAAACTGAGAATTTCATTCCCAACTTTGAAAGTGCTCAGCTATGATGATGGGTTAGATTTAAATTTTTGAACTTTCATAACTCATTTTTTGCACTATTGATAGGCGAGATCAGGAAAAGAAAAAAAAGAGACGAGTGGAGGGATAGGGACTTCCATGGTAATTTTAGTAATTAGTCTGACGAGGATGAATCTTGTTAGTAAGCACAAGATGGCATAGGTTGAAGATGAAAACTGCATTATAATTTTGTATAGATTTGTGGGTTTACCTGGTACCAAAGTCATTAAACATGTGTAGCTGCCCGGAGCTTGCCAACTAGAAGGTGTTCATATAATTGTTTATGCAAAACTTTTATGTGCACTTTTGTATCATTATTAAAACAACTTGTATTTGTCTAACTTGTAAACATCCATTAATTAATTGAGTAACAGAGAAATATTTCAATGGGGTTAAGCTTTGCATATTTCAAATGTGTAACTGTAGTGTAACAGCAGTCATTGCATGACACTGTTTAAATTTAGAGAAGAAAATATGTGTCCTCGGAAAAGTGAGATTTTACAGATCTGAGGAGTTTCAAAATACTTTAGGCAATTGAACGGTGGTCCTGGGTCAAACCAACTGAATTTTGTAGATCTATTCCTTGTCCTATGAGAATCTTGCTGACCTGCTTTCTAAACTCAGGTTACTTGGGCATAGGTTGAGTAGTTAGGTGAGGGTAGGTGTGTTAGGCTCGGTTTCTATTCCCATCAAGCCAAAAATTGAGTCCTCATTCTCCATTTACTTGTATATATAATTGTGGTAAATTCTATCTTTATTTTAAACTGGAGATGTACTTACCTTATTTTAGAAACAATTTATGGAATGTGAGCAGTGCACAGTTTTATTGTCAATATCTTATCATCTGCTATCTTACTTGAATGAGATTTATTTTGAATTAGTTCATACTTTTTGAGGAAACTTACAAGGAGAAAACTGATGTATTTTGTAGTCATGTCAGAGGATATGGTCAAAGATGGTTATGAAGACATCATGAATATTGATATTTCATCAGTTGCAATTGACATTATGAGAAGAAAATATGAGTACATCCCTCAATTAAAATGTATCTTATCAATTATATTATCTTGTTTGTTTGTATAATCTTTCATCTTTTAACTAAATACAAAAACCCTAAACACCTCCTGTACGTTTCCTTCATGAATCTTGATAGACATGCAGATGGATGTCAGGGATATGAGGTACTTCCCAGATGAATCTTTTGATGGTGTAATTGATAAAGGTATAGTTGCTCCTTTATTGTGCAAACCTTGTCGAATTAGTGGAATTTAGAATTTTATATGTACTTCATAATTTATATACTGATGCTACTTTGGTCTTGCCATTACATTTGCACTTGTGCTCTGTTGATGCTTGATCTAGGAACTCTTGATTCATTGATGGTACAGTTCTTCCCTGATTGTTCTCATAATTTATCCAATTCTTTATCTGCATGCTCTAATCCTCACATTTGCTTTTATGTACTTTAGTGTGGTACTGATGCTCCAATTAGTGCTGCTCAGATGCTTGCAGAAGTGTGTAGGTTGTATAGATTTTAATGAGAATAAATTTATCGAGATTTGCACAAAAGTATTTAAAAGTCATGCTTCATGTCAAAATTCTCACCAATTATGCCTATTTTCTTGTTTGCAGACTTCTAAAACCTGGAGGGACATATATGTTGGTAATCTTATTTACATGGATAAGGCTTTCTTCTTATCAGTGTGCTATCATCTGTTCGGAAGATTAGTAATCAATGATTGAATTATCATTTGCAGATTACATACGGTGATCCAACAGTAAGGATGCCTCATCTTAGCAGACCTGCGTACAATTGGAAAGTTACATTGTATAATATTCGTAAGATTTCACCCTTTTCATGTTTTTCTGAACTGGAAAAATGCCTTTCTCTTCATTACTAAATGTGGATAACACCTACTGACCAGCCATAATGTTGTCCTTTTGAACTTAGTTTTGTTCTTGCCAATGCATAATGTATACTAAAAAAGGATTAGAATAAGATTCCTTTTGATTCTGTTCTTTTTTTAGGATAATATACTAAGCAAGGTGAAAATCAAAGACTTTTTGCAAGATAGAAAATCTTTATATTTGGTATAAATGTTTCTTTTGATGGTTACAAAACATTGTATCCAAGACTGTTATTTCTTTTTCCTTACTATTATTATTGTCTTCTGTTATGTTCAATGCTCTAGAGTTAAGACTATGCTTTTCTTCTTCGTATATTTAGAAAAACTAATTAAATTTTCATGTACTCTGCAAGTGAGGAATGATATTTAACAATGTCATCAATATAAGAACAATTTATAGCTTAATTATAAGGTTTAAATGAAAAGTGGAGGGTATGTATTAATTTAGGCAATGTTTAACCTAATTGCAGGATATAATTTGGAAATTGAATGATTTATAAATAGAGCGATTAACTGGTTACATGAATTCATTTATTTTTTATGATTTGGATGATTCTTTTCTGAAAGATTCTGCCATTCATAAATTTATATTACGTATACATAAGAATTCTTATCCCATATAATCGTGGAGCTTTAATTTTGTGTTCTTCTCATGCCACATTCTCTGAATCCTTGCAGCAAGACCAGGATTTCAAAAGCCTGAAAGTAGTACTTCATGGAGAAAATCATACTTGGAGCCCATCCCTCTCACTGAAAAGGGCTTACTTCCGGCAGATTTAGTTCTGGAAGATCCAGATTCTCACTATATATATGTTTGTAGAAAGATAAATGATAGAGAGATAGACAACATACCCACATACCAATTAACAACTGATGTTTTATAGCGCTGACTTACATTGAAGCAGGGATGAAGGTAGTATTTATCCTCTTAGATGTGCATCATAGTCATTTCAATGGTTGCTCTTGTCATCTGTAGGCACTGGGACAAGTTACCGCGAACAATGAGATGTTTGTAATAGCATTTTACTCTCATAAATTAGAGTAATGAAGTTAGCTTGTAGGAGATGATTGATATTATTAAAATCTATGAAGAAATCAAACAAATTGACTGATTAATACTCATTTTATTTTATTTTGCCTGTGCATCTGTCTGGGTGAATTGTGGTTGTGATATGTAAACGGCATTTTCTTTGCCTCAAGCTTGAATTCCATTATAATAATGCTTCGATCATAACCATCCTTCTCTGTCCTTCCTCTGATTGCATGTAGCTTATCCTAGCATTAGTTGTGGAAATCCATTACTACACTTCAAATAGGATTACACTGTTATTTTCCATGGTTTAAGCTAATCCTCCTTCCTTGGGTTCAAATTTGCTGTTTGCAACATCAGAAGCTACCTAATTCTCTATACTTGCATTAACCTGAGATTTTTAAGAACGGTTCCTTGTTTGGGAGTTAGTTTTAGGAGGGAAAGAAAATGAAGAGAAATGTTTTATTAATTTCTTCCTTTGTTTGTGAGTTTAAAAAATTGAGGGGAAGGATTTAGAGATTTTCATAAAATCCTACAAAACCTTTCTTATTCTTAAAATTAAAGTTCTCGTAATTTGGGGGATTTTAACTTCTAAACAAAGGACATTTCTCTTCCTTTCCTATTCTTTCCTCTCTCTCTCTTTCTTTTCCCTTCAAACTCCCAAACAAAGTCTTAGGCTACGGGTTTGAGAAGATGCAAAGAGATGGAATAGAATGACATTAGCTCTCAATGTTTGAATTGTTTAAAATAAGGAGCAATGAAATAGAACCTGATGAAATCTATTATGTTACATTTCATCCAATACATTTTTTAATTTTTCTAATTAGGAGGATATGATATGGCGGGTAAGATATACTTACAAAAAAAAAAAGGCTTACCACTCTTACAATTACTTTAATTATCATTAATTTTCGTCAATTTAATTATTATAATTTATTGGAAATTAATAAGTGTGATATAAAAAATGTTATTAATTCTTAATAAATTATAAGCATTGGATTGACGAAAATCAACGGTAATTAAATTGGTTGTAAGAGAGATAAATTTTTTTGGTTGTAAGTGGATCATTTCCCATGATATGGAATCAATTTTTTATTTACTTATTTTCTTACCATCTCATTTGATTCTCAAACAATGAAATATAATTTTTTTTTTTGTCTTTCATCGTACACTATCCGAAAATAGTATGATAATTTTTTCTCGTCTTAATTTATTTAATTTCATTCTATTCAATTTTAATTTCACTCCATGTGTAATTAGATATTATCAAAGCCTATGGAAATTAAGGAATATGGCATTAGGCCTGAATGCGTTAGGGAAGAATGTGCAAGAGTTAAGTGTCGTATGATGATACTCTTCAAATGCCCTCACTCATCATTCTCACTGCTATAAATTGAAATTATTTGCAATGTGATGTGCAACGGGGGAGTGGATTCTCTCATATGAAAAAGTAGTTATGTGGTTATGTTATTTGATCACAACTACTCATTTAAAAATTATATACTTTTTTTCTCTTATCTCATCATCAATAAGTGATTGTGATCAAATAACATGACCACATAACATCTTTTTCACACCAGAGAATTCACTCCCGACAGTGTATGAGTAGAAAATCTAAGCAATGGTAGCGCTTTACCGTTGGCACGGACAAGATCAGCATGTTATGATGGACAACTCAGCTCTGTTCTTTCTTAACAAAACAAACGCGACACGTGTCATATGACATTGACTTCTTCAACAAACTGTCATTATCTCTTTGGGAAAATCAATTTTGCCTGGTTTTCTACCGAATGACGTGAAGCGGGTAAATAAGGAAAAAGTCTAATATACTAAGCAATAGGAGCATAATATATCAACCGACATATTTTTTAAGGAGAGATTTTTTTTTTAATATTATGATTATATATTTATTAAAATACATAATTTATAATTTATTTTGAATTACCGATGTATTTATACCTGGTGCTCAATACAACATTAGTACTAAAGATGTTATAGTAAATAAGGCCCTTGGAGGCCCTGTCTCTAAATGGGAACATTTGTTAAATATCAAATGATAACTGCTAAAGCCAGTTTCTCTTGTTAAAAAGGTTTTAAGTGTAAGAATGCTCTTGCCCCTATTCACTCCTTTTTCAATTAATAAATGAATAGGATTTCTTTAATTAAGGACAAATTTGATGTACAAAGTTTTTCGACCTACGAGGGTAGGACAAGGGTCGGTTTTTTCCCATATTCGAATCTGCCACTTTTCAAGCAACCTTATTGTTGCTCTAAAATTCGTCCTCAATAGGATTTTGTTTAATTACTATTTTAAAAATATAAAAAAAGGTAGAGAAAAAAGATAATCACTCTTAGAAAGAATAAGTAAATAGAAGCTGTTTTTATATGTGAAACAATGGATGGGGAAGCATGCATAGTCCTTGAAACAAAAAGATTCAGAAAAATGAGACTTTAAAGTTTCAAGGATGTTGTTACTCATAGCTTTGTAGCTACAATAATTTCCCTTTTATGTAGTGCAATCTAGCACCCCTTGTTCCCTTTTTTTTTTTCTTATCTTAATGTTCTTGTCGTTCTTTGGATTTTTTTAATGTTGCTTCTTGATGTTCTTAGCAACTCTATAGGATGGGGCCATAGTTTCCAAACGAGACCCATTTAATGGTCAACTTCATTCAAGGTTTTGATCCCCTTGATTCTCCCGGCTACTCTTAATGCCAACACAAGCTCTCCATCAGATAGATGCATGTTCTGAGCAGTTGGGGTTTCTTCAATGTGCAATGTCTCCCTATGAGCGTTTCTTCAATGTGCTTACAGAACTAGCTGAAGATTGCATGTTCATCTATGTTTAACAGCTCAATGATATAAGAGGCTATAATTAGAGGTGTAAATGGACTAGGTCCTACATGCTCGCCTATATTAGGTCAGATTTGACCTATTATAAATAATAAAATAGAACATACTTAGACTTTTAAAAACACTTATTTAGAAAAATAGACCATAGATTTTTTTTATACATATCGAGTCTATAAGGCTACTGGTCAGGCCTATATTATATTATTTATTTTAAATAAAATAAATAAAATTATTATTTAATAATTTTGAATAATAAAGTAATATTATTTTAGTTATTCTTTTAATTGTTGAATATTTAACAGACTTAAACATGCTAACATGTTTAGGCAAAGTAAATATAGGTCAGTCTAGACTTGTAATTTGGAAGGCCAGATCAAATGCAATATTTTTTACACAGACCCGACCTATTTAAGTCAAAGTCTAACTTAGCCTAGCCTATTTACACCCTAAGACTATATATTTAGTATTATTTCAATATTCCTATTTATTTGGTACGTTACATTTAGATCAACTTGAAATCAATGGTTAAAAAAATAATAGTAAATATAACATTTAGCGTGTATAAATAACCAATTCCCTTTATACGAATCCGATATCGTCCGAAGATAACCCCAAATAGCCAAAAACTCTGAAGGGATGATGACCCCACATCCTCCACGTACTAAAATTAGAAACATGCACTCACGTGAAACAAATACAACTGTACAAACAAATATAATAACACAGCACACAAAAGAACTAACATGATTGAATAATTTGCTTAAATTTGGTATAATCTGTTTCCTTTTTTTACCCTCTCAAGTGTCCTATGTTCAATTTGTATTCCTATTAATGTTGTTAAAATTGAGATCTTAAGTAAAATCGGAAGGGGATTAAAAAATCGTAAAACATAAAATCGTAATATAAAAAAATCAAAGAAACATAAAAGCGTTTGAAATATTAGTAAAATCGTTTTGATGAAAAAAATCGTTTTGATGAAAAAAAATCGTAAAAACGTAAAATCATAGTGATAAATCGAGATTTTAACCACAATGATTCCTATGATTTGGCTTTATGAATAGTTGGTCTTCTTTTCCTTTTTTTTTCTTGTATACTAAAAAATGGTAAAAAAAAGAAATAAAGAAAAGCATTCATGGAATTGGAGTACTAATTAATTGTTTAAGGCTTTCTATGGAATTTAAAGGTTAACAAATTTCTTCAGTCCTTAAGAGCCTTAATCTGTAGAATATTAAATCTTTTTAAGACTTTGATCTTGTTTCAGCCAGAAAAAAAAAACAAAAAACAAGTGTTTGATCTTGGAATTAAATCTTATTAAAGCTACTATATCTCAACTTTCCTACTCAAAACCATCTTTCTCCCCATTCCAAGTCCAAATCCACCTTTTTAATAAATGAAATTAATTAGCTTGGATCGGAAAACTTGGTGGCAGATTTTTTTTTTTTTTTTTGGTAGGTCCTCGTGGCAGATAAGCACAAGAAAGTCTAATGTATTTTAAAAAAAAAATGGGAAAAGGATAGAAAGAAACGAATCATCACTCTAAATTACTTCATGCAGCTTTTATATGATGTCACCCGTTACAATATATCTGAAAACAGTAGGGAAAAAGTTTGAATACATTGGAGATAATATCTTATTTGCTTCCAAATTCAGGGTTTTTGTTTATGTTCTTTATTCAAAAAGAGCTAAGTACTTTAGTTTAACAAAAGCTCTATTTTAGTTAACTCAGAAAAGAGTTAGATTGATGGAGACTTGTTTTAATGGATTTTTTTATATTCAAATAAATAAATAAATAAATTAACGATCAGTTGAAGTTTTTTACCCCTTAAGCTTAAGTAAGGATAAAATTTACGAAATGTATTGATAGGTGATATCAAATAAATCTAAGTGGTGAGTTTTCACTTTTTTTCTTCTTCCTTTTTCAGGAAAAGAATAGTGGAATACTAGATGAGTTCCATAACATCGAAGTCATCGACTTTAAAGTTCAAAGAAAGCGATAGAACCATGCCCTCTACTTCAACAGAAGGCAAAAGGACAATCACAAAAAAGTAACTGTCCTTGCTACCTTTCATTTAGTTCACTTTTGGCATATATCACCAAATTTGGAAACTAAAATTCGAAAAATTTGACAAAGACCATCCACCCCATATCTCCTATAAACAACTAAGACTAGTCCAATTTCAATGACCTTCTCTAAATATGGAACTACCTCTAATTCCTTTATATATATTTTTTCAATTTTTTATTTCTTAGAAAAAAGAAAAGAAAAGAAAAAACAGTCGCTTAACTTAATGTAGCAAAGCCAAACAGAGAGGGACTATTTTGTATTTGATGTTGTAAGAGAGAGAGAGGGTGTGCAGACTCAAGAGGGCCCCACCATTTTCAACCTTAAAACTAATAAGGGAAAAGATGAAGATTAATGAACCTCTCTACCTTATAGTCCCCAAAACAGCAAAGTATTCATAATGCCACTGTTCTTCCCCAAAATAGGTAATGGCCTAATACTAAAAGTAGGTGTTATAGACTGCCATATACGGTAAACTGATAAAATCAGAATCAGAATAAAAAATAAGTAAAATAATAACGAAATAAAGAGTATAAAATCAAAAGGAAGGTTATACTTACAACTGTTTTTTATAATCTTTTACAATCATATATTATAATCATTGATTCTCATCAATCAATGATTGTCATTTATTATGAATTAATAATTAATTAATAAATTTAATTTGCGAAAATCATAACCATTAATCGACGAAAATAAACGATTATAATATATAGTTGTAAGAGGTAATAAAAAAAAATCCTTAAAATCAAAACAAAAACAAACCATAATAAAGAAGAGAAAAGAGAAAGGGGTGGGTGGGACCACAACATAGAGAGAGAAAGACCCACCCAATAGCACCAAAACACTCTAAATGTAGCCAAAAAAAAAGAGTCATGCACAACTCTAAATAGATACAAAGCCATGCAAAGTTGCCGTTTCCAGGCACTGGCCAATTGGGGTAAAACGCTCTCTCACGCCCCTTTATCTTCTCCGCTAAATTTAGCAGCCCTCGTTCCCAACTTGTGCAGAAAAACCCTCTCATAGACCAAAGGGGTGGTGGGGTTGGGGTGGTGTTTGGGGTGGTTGAGAAGAAAAGGAAGCACCTTTACACCTAATACAGAGTGTGAGAGCCATCCAGAAGAGATATCTGAATTGAATCTCAACTGGGTGTTCAGTTTCTGTTTCTTTGATCACTTGGGTTTCTGGGTTTTTGATAAAGCCAAAAAAAAAAAAAATGGGTAGGGGGAAGATTGAGATCAAAAGGATTGAGAATGCTAACAGCAGGCAAGTTACATTCTCCAAGAGGCGAACTGGGTTGCTGAAGAAGGCTCAAGAACTCGCCATTCTCTGTGATGCCGAAGTTGCTGTTATCATCTTCTCCAACACAGGGAAACTGTTTGAGTTTTCGAGTTCTGGGTGTGTCTCTGAATTTTCTGATGTGTTTGCATGTCAGTTTTGATTGTATGCAACTACTGTCTCTGTGAGCTTAAGCCTGTTTCACGAGGCCTACACAATTTAATTAACTATATTTCCCTAGTTTTTTTTAATTCCCATCTGTTTGATTGTTGCATGTGAAAAAAATGAATCTTTTATCTTATTTAATTAATTGAATTCTGATGCTCTGAGTGTTTTTCCATTTTTCCCAGAATTAACTTGATTTCTCCTTTTCTGGGGTATTTCAAACAAGTCTGAATTTTGCATCTATTTCAAACAAAATTTATCTTCTGTGTGAAACTTATCTATTTTATAAACGTTCATCTTGAGTTACAAGCTGTGGATGTTGTCTATGGTATCTTTTCATATACTTTTTATTTATTTATTTATAATTCCAACTGAACTTTCTTAAACCTTACCCCTTTTAGAGTTGGTGTTGTTATCCCCTGCTACATTGCAAACATCACACGCTGCCACAGTTGTACTTCCCTTTCTTCTTGGTTAATCCTTCCTTTTAAGCCAGGGTGCTTTCCATATCTTGTCCACAGTTAGGTGCACCGCTTTTAGCATGAATATGCAAAGTTATTTTCTTAAATTATGAAGTCTGTGGTTAGTTGATGAATGACATCATTATATAATTAAGATGAACAACTTTGTTTTTCCAAATAGATACATTTATTTAATTATTATTATTTTTTTAATTCCCTTCTTTACTGTGTGCTTCAAAGCACTTATGTGAGTGAAGATATATGTTATGCCTCATTTTCTACTTACTATACCAATTTTTTATACTTGCAGTATGAAGCGAACACTTTCAAGATACAACAAATGCATGGATTCTTCAGAGGCGGCAGCAGTGGAATATAAAACAGAGGTAATCTGTTATAGTCCTTTAGCTATATAACATTCCTTAAGGTTTTAGTTTATAGTCTATGAGACTGTTATTTTCTGAGTTGCAGAACCATAATCCGAATCATTAAAGTATATCATTGTAAACTCAGCAAAAGATTTTTCTTATTGACTGATTAAACAATGTGCATTGATGCTAGTAATTACAAATTGCTTGCCTGCATAACTGTTATTCTAACATTTCTTCGATTAGCTACTCGCTTGTCATTACTTCTTAGATTCATTGTTTGATCTTTATGGTTTAAGAGCAAATTTTTTCTTCAGAAGGAAGATTCTAAGATGGTGGAGATTCTTAGAGATGAAATTGCAAAGCTAGAAACAAAGCAATTGTATGTGTTCTTTCAATCTGTTACATTTACACTTATATATACATCATTGTCATTTGCATTGCCTCTTATAAATATTTCCATTTTGAGTCCTATAGACGGCTGTTGGGTAAGGACCTGACAGGGTTGGGCGTAAAAGAACTGCAACATCTAGAACAGCAACTTAATGAAGGGATATCGTCTGTCAAGGAGAGGAAGGTCCTTCACATTTTATCTTATCCTTTATCCCATTCTCTACTTTTTTGTTCTTCTGTTTTAGAGGGTTTTCCTTTCCTTCCCCTCCCTAGAGTCCATTAGTATAATGTGATTTAATGGTTGCTGCTTAAGCCTTGACATTTCTTATTTCAGGAGGAGTTACTTATGGAGCAACTGGAGCAGTCTAGAGTAAAGGTATATTGAAATCAGTAGTTAACATTCATAATTTTATGAAATTAGAATACCCGGCATTTACAAACCAAGGGGAAATAGTGAAAAAATGATGAGATTTTGAGTTGATTTTGGCTTATTTAAAGGCCTGACTCTCATATCACCCATAAAGCATTTGACCATAAGCCTACTTGGTAGTCAGTATTTGTTAATAAGAAATCATGTTGTCTGCAATGGATTGTTGTTAACTCCTGAAAAAAGAATCCAGTATATGTATTTTTCTTGATCTTTCGATATGCAAATATAACATATAGAGTTTCTTGATTTGTGAGTCTGTTTTAGTAGTTAATTTGGTCACTGGGTTTATTTCATACATATAAACGCAAGTGGAAGGGATGGAAACTTGGATGTGGTGCAACAACAATAAGCCATACTTTTGTAGTGTTTGATTTAAAGCAACATTTATTTTTGAAATCAGCAGATCAGTAAGTCAGGAAGAAAGATATAGATGGAATAGAAATCGATGTCAATTTGAGAATTGAAAATAACTTTGGCATATACTTATTTCTCCTTCGAAGCTTGGGAAAAGGGAAAATATCTTTGTTATAATAATTGTTTGATTTATTCTTTCCAGGAGCAGAGGGCTATGCTGGAGAATGAAACTTTGCGGAGACAGGCAAGTTATCTTCCAGCATCTCTATATTGAATAATATTTGTTACTCATAACTTTGTGCTTTTGCCTATCATGTATTACAGGTTGAGGAGCTTCGTTGTTTGTTTCCACTAACAGAAAATGTAGTCCCATCTTATCTTCAGTATCAGCATATGGAAACAAAGAATGCCTTTATAGCTAATGGTGTTAAATCTCCCAACTTGATCAGTAACTGTGCAAATGAGAAAGGAGATTCAGACACCGCATTGCATTTGGGGTACTATGCTTTTTTATTGCCAAACCCACAACTAAACTGCATAAGAATCCTGCTGCTGTATCATTTTACTGCATGCAAACTTCATTTTGTTGATTGCCATGGAAGATACATATTTTTATTATGATTTGGTTTAAGGATGGTCTTAAACCAGACTTAATCAACTTTGTTTGAATACTACCGTGGCTTATGATGTTGCAATATTCATATCTTTACTTAAAATTATGGGAGTTTTCTTGCATCAGTTCTTCCATTCCTAAATCTCTTTTTCCCAACATTTTTTCTGTGTGACTACTTTGGTAGCTATGTGAAGATTTGAATGGAGTAGCAGCATACATGCAGAGATTTGAAAGTTCTTCCTCCTTTTTTATGTTCACACTCCCAACTTCTGTACAGTCTCATATTTTGCTGCTTGATTTGCAGGTTGTTGCCGACTGATGTTCGTCACAAGAGGAAGGCACCTGGGAAAGCAACCTTTTCTAATGATTCAGAGAGTCATATGGCTCTGCTTTGATCCAGTTCTGACTTTCTTGTTTCAACAGAGAAAAGTAGAACTTGAGACAAATTTAGTGCAGTTGTAGTTGTGCACAGTGTCAGTTTAGATCACAGAGGAAAAGTAGGATCCTAGGTGACCCCTGAAATTATAAATTTAGAATTTGACTCTTCTCTTTTAGGAAATTGGCAAGCTGCAGATTTACCGGTTTTACCAAATTTTGATGTAAAGGGCTGGAAAAGTCTTGAATTATGAAACTTGTTTTTAGTTATCATTAAAAAGATGCTTAGGCTCATTTTATGGTTGCACATTCATCTTGCTTTATGTTTTTCCTTTTACCTTGATCATTTATAGTCAGGATCATGCTTACCTTATTTTATGAATTAAGAAAAAACTGCCTGAAGGATTCACATCATTATGAATCATGCTCAAGATGGTCAAGTCAAAATACATCTTGGAGCTGAAGGAACCAATATATGCAGTAGTATATTAAAGCTATCATTTTGAATCGTATATTTGACTATTCTTTATAGACATTATACTACTAAAGTACAAAGAAATCACCACTATTTAGTATTTACATGACTGGATGAGAATTATACAATTTAAAAACATTACAAAACTTACGGCTTATTCATCTTCACATGGGAAATCGAGCAACGGATTTTCAGGGTTGTTTCCTTCTGTCGAAAACAATCAATTAAATCACTTCTCTGAGTCATTACCTTGCTAAACATTTCATCCACCCCCGTTTTTACAACATCGGATAGCTTCTCGAACACGTGCAGCTTTGTCTGCAATTCCTTGGCTGCATCATGTTTCACTTCATCTGAAGCTTCAAGAAGATCAGCAACAGCATCATTTATCTCTTTTACCTCCTTTAACATAGGAGTTTTCTCCATCAACTCTTCACAGATTTTGGAATCAAGTGTGAGAATTGAAGAACCATCAAACCCACCTGCCATTTTCCTAAGCTCCATGTATGGCTTACCATCACTGCACAAACCAGACAACAGAATCCCACATACCCAGAACCCAATACTCTTCATTTCCTTCACAGCTTCATCAACAACCCTTTCCTTGCCAGAGAAAATACTTGCTTTATCATCTTCTGTGTAAAACTCTTTACCAAAATTGTTGCTAAAACAACCTGGCTGAATTGCTTTGAGATGCCTTGTGGCCAAAGATGGTGAATTCTCCAACAGTGTCAAACCATGAGACAGAGATAGCCGAGCTTGTCCAAGATGAGAAAGAGAAGAAGAAATGGAATTGAAAAGCTCCACCAAACACAAGCTATAGCTGAGATACCTTTCAATAGAATCAACCTCCCATATACTCATTGGGTAATCTATATCCACAACAAGCTTTGCAAAAGCCTTATTTGTGATAGATAAGAGACCAAAACATTTTTCAATCCAGGACAAGGACAGGATCTCTGATCCGGGTTTCAAATCCAATGCTAATTGGCCAATGAATGTTGAAACTTCAGATCGAAATGCCTGCAGGGAAGCTGATAATTCATCAGATTGATGGTGATCACGGTCTTTGTGAGTGTGAGTGTGATGGTGGTGGTGATTCTCCAGCTTGGTGTAGAGTTTTGCAAATTTCTGTACCAAGAGTACCATTGGCAATTTACAACCCAAAGAGAAGCGCTATAACTTTGTGAGGGTTGGTGTGTGTGTGTGTGTGTGTTGACAATTAGAATTCAGATACTAAGGTTTGAAGGTTTGGTTTATTGAATATAACTTCAAGTTTATGTGATGTGTGAATTATTGGTTTGAGTTTTTTAATGCATGACTTGATCTTAAAAGAAGGAGAGAAAAGAGAAAAACAGATGGAATCCAATAACTTGTGGATGTGATCCACATACAAATTTCCCATTGAGAACTCATAAACTAGGGGCATTTGGCGGCGGTCAAATGTGGTTATCTGATACATTGTTTTTTCATATTATTATTCTCTTAATGGTTGTTGGGTAGGGTATGAGTATTGAATGAGTTAACTTATCATCATTTTAATCTTTAATATTTGCATAGCTATCTACTTAAAAAAAAAAATTTATTTGCATAGCTGTCAATTATGTTGGGTATGGCTCATACTTCGCATGCTAATGAGGACCCTAATTATCGGGGTCAACAGAAAGGCGATTGGGCCCATGAATAGCTGTTGTTAGGGTTTTTTAATCCTATTTTTATATTTTTCTTGTAAACCGAGTGACTTGTAACGAGTGGCGGTGAGGAGAATATAGTACAGACAAGTTGGACGTAGTCTTAATTGAATGAATCAGGATAAATGGTTATATCTATTCTCTATTTCTTTTTTCTTTTCTGTTTTCGATTTCTAACAAATTGAGCTCCTTCAGTATTATACGGTATAGTATTTTGTCACTGGCTTTTGCGTTAAACACCCGCAATTGCAATTGGGTCTAGTTGGATGGAGCTTCAAGGACAAGCTTTAATGGAAGTGTGAGGGACACAAAATAGGGACATTGTTGGTCACATCACACATGTAATGTGTTGCCGCTCAACATTGAAGTGTAAAATTACGCAAAGCGACAAGCGTGTTCAGCATACATAAATGAGAGTTCTTTTTAATCCTTGTATACTATACGGAACATCATTTCTAATTAAATGGAATAATGAAGTTAGTGCTTACATTATTGACTGGAAAATTATTATGAAAAGAATAGCAAAGTTCAAATTCGAAATGAAAATCACTTATTAAATTCTAAAGAATTACATTTATTCATTTGAGGAAAGGAACAAAAAGTGAGATCATTTGCTACCGTGGAATGACTCTATGTAAGGCATTGCGTAAGCACCATAGTCTATAATTATCAAATGTTAAATATTCTGAAGTGTGGGTTTTTTTTTTTTTTTTTTTTTTTACAACAAAAAAACGCGTAATTGATAAATGTCAATAAAAAAACAGTTTATGGAGCTCGAGCGTATTTCGTAGCACATCCCATAAAAAGTAACTTTAATAAAATAAAAAAAATTTGAATAAAAATAAATTATATATATGAGAGCTCGGTTCTTTAATTATTTTCATTAACAATTATGGTTCACATCTTACGTACAACTTATGATATATGATTTTTGGGATAAACGCGTTTGCTTCTTGAAGGTGCCAACTACCAACCCTAGATTGGAGCCAAACACGTTACCCAGCGCAATAACCAAAAACAAAAAGAGCAGCAAAAAGTCAACAAAACAAACACGCACATGATCCGTGTGCTTTACAAACTAATACCAAAGCTTGATTATGTCTGTCTACGTAAACACGGGGACATTGATTATTGTGCCACTTTTTTAATAAAAATTTATCTTGATTGTCTCAATTAAATTTTTTTTGCCAAAATGCCACGTCACAATCTTGTTGGTTTGATAAGCGGAAATGGACTGGACACGTGTCAGCGTCTGAATAGTCACTCATTCTCGCTAGACTGCCCAGCTAGAATGATAGAATGCTGACACGTGGCAAAAGTACAGTCATTCTCTGGATGTCTGTACTTTTGTCACGTGTCAGCATTCTATCATTCTAGCTGGGCAGCCCAGCGAAAATGAGTGACCATTCAGACGCTGACACGTGTCTAGTCCATTCCCGCTTGTCAGACCAGCGAGATTGTGACGTGACATTTTGGCAAAAAATTTTCCAAACGTGGCAATCAGGTAAATTTTTGCCCAAAAAATGACAATATGGTCCTTGATTATTATTTTCTTATTTTTTTGTGTAGCTTAAAAGTAAAAAAAATTATATTGATCAAAACAGCTTAATTCTTAAAAAATGTTCTTTTTGATTCTTCAAATTTATGGTGATTGAACTATATCTTAAGCTGAAATTGCATGGATCTGAAAGCCAAAACCATGATTTTCATTTTGACGGCAACTTAAACTATATCTAATATTTGATGTTATTTTTTAAAAAAAAATTCAAATACGTAATTCTAACTATCGTAAACGGTTGTAAGTTTTATACTGAAAATGGTGTTTATTTTTATCAAAAATAAATTGAATATTTTGATTAAAAAATTATAAAATGCATTTATTAAATATATATAGCATTTAATAAATGTCATATAACAATATGTCTCTTTAGATTTACAGAAGTATTTGTATTCGTTGTGCTAAAAACTGATGGCATGTGGTCCAATATGAGATTTCAAAGGAACACAAATCTCAGGGCAGCCCACACCAGAGAGAAGTTCAAATTTCGTGAAATAGATTAGACGAAGAGGCCCATAATTGTAATGCATGGGATGGGCTAAAATGAACCAGAGTAAGAAGCCCAACACTGCACAAGCCTCACGTTAAAAAAAATAAATTCCTACTTTCATGGTTTTTGAATTCTCTTGTAACATTGTTAACTAAGGCTAAACAATATAAATATTGTATTTTAAACAATAAATTACGGAAATAATACTGTTTGCAAATTATATATAGATGTAATGGAACTAGTTGTGCCCCATTTTGTGTGCAACTAGCTGTTGTGTCTTATATAAACTCAACCCTTTCTAAAATTCTCTCATTCTTCATTGCTCATTCTCTCCCTACAACCTCTCTATGCATTTCTTTTCTTGGAGCACTCTCACTCTTCTAATTATTTTTTTAAGTTTTTAAATTATAGTAATAGGTATGTAGACTAATGACTTAAGATAAGATAATGACTTAGAATATGATTAATGACCTAGGATAGAATAACATAGTTACTGTAATGCTCTGTTCTATAATTGATTTATTAATATTACGTATGTTATTAAACACAGTTATAATGACAATAATTGAATTAAAATACGGATAAATTTTTTATTTTTTGTTAATAAATATTTCTGTTTAAAATTTATTTTATAATTGAAATAATTTCAAAAACTGGCGTCAAATGGCAATATCCAATTAATTTGCGCACAAAATTAAACGCATTAAGGGATTAGTTGTGCACGTATTTTGTGCACAATTAATTGTGTTTGTTTCTATGCGCAACTACTAGTCTATTGCGCTCAAAGTTGTGCACAACTAATTAGGTCCTCTATTTTTTCTTCCCATTGCTATCTTCTTTTTTAAACTCTAGCAGATCCCAATACCAAATTCACACTAACCTTCAAACACATAAAATAGTTAGAATTTTCTAAGGGAAAGCTAGGATCCCTAACCTTGCTTCTTTTCTCCACACAAGTTGTGTTATTAGTTAAATGAGGACATAGTTTGATTAGTTTTGAAGACCCGTGATTCACGCTCAGTAGTCAATTTATCCAGTGTCATGGACAACTATAAATCCCCGATTTTTTATTTTTTTATTTTTTTTTAGAAAAAATAAATCCCCGACTTAGAGCACTAGTTGTGTCATGACACCAAGTATTCTCCTTTGATAAACGTACAAAACAATGGAACCCACCTACAAATAATATGTGTGGCTCATTTTATTTATAGGTTTGCTTTTTCTGCAGTCAAAGTAGACAATTTATTTACATTGAATCCAAAATGACATCGTTTTGGGACGAAAATTAAGGTATTTTTATAATTATAATTTATTTAAGGGATATAATAATCTTTCTCATTATAATTTTTTAATTTTTCAACTCAAAACGACGTCGTTTTGAGAGTAAATGTAGATAACTTATCTACCTTCACTGTAAAAATATTAAAACCTTTATTTGTTTATTTTATTTTACCGGTATATATATAGAGTGTTTGCAAAAACTTTTATATCCTAAGGAATAAGTATATTTTATTTAACACATTTCAGAGTAGAACATTAGTGAAGACAGAATTCGATCTCAAATATTTACAATTAACTATAAAGAAATTTATAAATTGAATAAACCAGCACCTACTAATTAATCTTTTATTTTGGCAAAGAAATTTGTCTTTATGTTGATAATAACTCTTTGTAAGATATATGTGCTATTCTCGTGGAATATTTCTTTATGTTAATAATTACCAATTGATAGCGATTGCTCGCTCAATTAATTCATACTCTTTGTTTCTTTCTTTCTTTCTTTCTGAAGAAAGCATTTTTTTTAGACCCAAAGATACTTAAATTCAGGAAATGTAGGTTCAATCAAGTATAAACAAAAAACAATTCACAGCGAAGCAGAGTTATCTTATGAAGCATTTTTGGTTAGACGTTGGAGAAGAAACTACCTACCGGTTTATATATAAAGCCCAAGAAACATAATTACATACACTATTGTGTCACCCTTCATGTCTATATATACTTAACAGGAAATGATTCGTTTACAAATTTTTTTGATAAATTTTTACAAAGTACACTATCTTCTCCCGGGAGAACATAGTGAAATTAGTGTTCTCCCGGGAAAAAATAGTGTAGTTTGTAAACAAAAAAGTTTATAAATATAACTTGTCTCATACTTAATTGCATAGACAAGAAGGGATCTCACACTTTTTTTTTATCCTCCAAAATTTTGTTAAATGCCAATTGAGAAGCTTACAGAGAAAATGAAGGGAATCACTCACCTACTGCTTTCATTCTACTAATGATATACTTATAAAATGAAAACCTACTTAATCCGTCCGTTTTTGTAAAGGATCCAATAAATTTAGCTTGAAGTACATTTTAATAATTCAAATCTCAAAGGCGCCTAATTCCAATCTCAAAATCAATGCATTCCATTTAATTTAGTTCTTTTTTTTTTTTGGATAATGAAATAATTTAGTTCTTTGTTTTGATGGAATTTGACTTTTATGTATACAAAAGGTGATGTACAGCACTGAGTTTGAAGATTTGGAACCTAAAATTGCATGTCATTGTCTGGCCAGCCACTTTAAATTGAATTATATATGATCGTTATAGAAAAAAAGAAGGAATTAAAAAGAGCTCATATGTTCATTTTTTAGGCATCAAAACTGAGAAGCCAAATGTTGACTATTTGGAATTTCTAATGTAATGGGGCTCACTTCGCATGTGCATGACCAATGATTCAGCAATTCTTAATCTTCCTACTTCCTTCTTTTCACACTCTTTATTGTGTCGTCCATAAGTGACACAATTATTTCAAGCAAATTGGTATTAATTAAATAAAATAAAAAGCAGTCTTATTGAAATGATACAATTAAAAGTCAAAAGTGTACATGATTATTATCCTAATCCTGAATTTAATAAATAAAGTCATTTGAAATTGATTAGATATCATTAGCTAGTAGCTACGGCAGAAAGTTTCACATGTTTTAATTATTTCCTATATGGAATCTTCCTTATGTCACTTTTGTTTCGTTTTTAACCTTCTCCTGCGGTAAAACAATTTTTCTCCTCCCCCATACCCATATTTAGCTTAAGGGTAGGTAACGATAAAAAAAAATAAAGAAACATTTAAATATTGAAACTTATTTTCTTTTTAAAACATTTCTGCGGTGTCATTAATTTGACTCTTGTTATAAAATTTTTATTCTCCTCATTGCATGTGTTATTAATTGAAATTGCACCCAAAAATCCACTCACATGGTCGAACATGCATGATTGGTGGCCAAGAACACAACTCTTAATAAACGTTCAATTTTGGTCCACATGCATCCTTATCATATAATATTTTGTGCTCCCCAATATTTTTAACCCCTAGCTTCTTGGTTGTTGCAACTTAAAAATTTGTAACAGTTCTCTTCCACGATATATGTTATGTTGATCTAAAACAGCTAGCTAGTTTTGGATTCTTATACGAGTTTTATAATTCTCATTTAACATGAGAATTACAATTTTCCTACACACCCTTCGATTTCCGTGCTGACACGGATCCTACATATAATTTTTTCTAACACATGAATCTCATATGCTTTTTATCTATACAACATGAGATTTCAATTCTCCTAAGATGAGAATTATAAGACCCTTCTTATATATATATATGCAACCATTAGCCCCATACCTATCTATTCTCACTCTCCTATATATACCTTGCCACTCTCCTTCACTAAGGTGTGTCCATAGAAAGACACAACGTACAATTAAAACATAATGGGCAGAACAAGTTGTTCTGTTCTTCTATCCTTTCTCATTCTGTCATTCTTTGTGGTTGAAATCCATGGAAATGGACAAGTTCGAGCTCTTGGGAATCTTCAAAAGTCCAAGTTCAGAGGAAGTTCACAAATTGATATGAGTGAGTTTGAGGTACAAGAGCTTGAGCATGATAACATTGTTCATTCTCAGGATGGCATGAAAGAGAAAGATAGGATTTTGAGGCTTCCAGGACAGCCCCAAGTGAAGTTTTCTCAATATGGAGGGTATGTCACAGTGAATAAATTGGCTGGTCGTGCCTTTTATTATTACTTTGTTGAAGCTCAACGTTCTAAAGAAACACTCCCTCTTCTTCTTTGGCTCAATGGAGGTAAAATACCATTAATTAATATGATTAATTTTTATATAATTAGTCCTTGTTTTCAACCACAATTAATGTGGCCACGGTCTAACCGCAGAAAATGCATCTTGTTTGATGCAGTTGAAGTGTTAGACACCCAAACATGAAAGCTGTTTATGTAGTTTAATTACTTGAAAGCCTTGCATTTACACACTTTCTTTCAAAGAGTGTGTCCAGTTTCCACACGCATGCACATGTAAATGCTTTTTTCCAGACATCACCTATAGATAAACAAAAAAACTGGACCCACTTCGAATAGAATTGTCTCCCGAATAGGATTTTATTAAATTTTTTTGAAAATATGCTAAAAGAAATCCTAAAGAATCTGGCCAAAAAACCTAGCTAAATACATCCTATAGCGGTTTAATTTACCTTCATTATTTCATTTCCAGTTCGCAATGATCTATTTTATCTGATTTCCTTGTCAACAAGTTACTCATTTTGTTGCAAGTGGTGCAACAATTAGAGATGAATGATAATCGCAACAAAGGTGTCAACATCACAATGCTAATTGCACAACCTTATAACCGCACATATAATATTGTATATATGTTTTTTTTTGTACAAGAGTTGTTCAACTAACATATAATTGTCCCCCATCATCTTGTGGAGCAGCTCTTCTCTCTCTCTCATGAAATTCATAATTGCTTGCTTTGTATGACTTCGTATAATGTTGAACTGTTATATAAATATTTATTTAGTATAAACTGATTTCATTAATTTGCGGGACAAGATGATTTATATATTCACATGAACAGCTAGCCATGGTTATTTTATTTACTAAGTTAAATCAGTTAATTAACGGTTCTTAAGGCGAATTATAAAACCAGTGTTTTGCCGGATAGTAGGTGTTCAAATCCCGTAATTTAAGGCGTGCATATATTGTAACCTCCTCGAAAAGAATTACAAATTAACATATGAAAGAAATTTATAAATAAAAAAGCTACCATAATATATTTATGCAATACAACTATTTATAATTGGTTTCACGAAGGTGCCAAGTAGCTGTAGTTCCGTTAATAAAATCTTTGCTTGCGATACAATTATAATAATTTAAAATACGCCGACTTAGGAGAATGTTATATTTATAAATTTTTTGTTTACAAACTACATTATGTCTGACCGATAATACACTTTTGAGTAGAGTATTACCGGTCAGACATAATATAATTTGTAAAAAAAAAGTTTGTAAACAAATCTTTCCCATTTAATTTATATAGACATTGTTCATCACTAGGGATAATGATGTGATGCTCTTCTGGGTCAACAATTGCGAGCCTCATGTGCTTGTTCAATTGGTAGGGTAGCACGGTGCATGTGCGAACAAGCATGAATATAAAAAAGTCAAGAAGAAAACAAATTAAATAAATTTCATTGTTTAATATCTCATTGTGGATAATTTACATTAATTATGATTTCACTTTAATTAATTTCAGGTCCCGGATGTTCATCTCTTTCCTATGGAGCAATGCAAGAACTTGGACCTTTTCGAGTAAATAGTGACGGCAAAACACTACACATAAATAGATATTCGTGGAACTATGGTATACCAATAATCATATTCTCTTTTTGGTTTTTTTTTTTTTTTTTTTTTTTAATTGAATCTTTTTACTACAACAAAAGAAATTATCATTTTTAAGTATGTCACTTATTGCTTAATTAATTGGATTTTTGAAGCTGCAAATGTCTTGTTCCTCGAGTCACCTGTTGGGGTAGGATTTTCTTATTCAAACAGATCAACAGATTATGATACCAATGGAGATAGGAGAACAGCTGCAGATAACTATTTGCTCTTGGTCAATTGGTTGGAGAGGTTTCCAGAATATAAGAATAGAGAGTTTTATATTTGTGGGGAGAGCTATGCTGGACATTATGTCCCTCAACTTGCACATACCATTCTCTATCATAACAAAATGGCAAATAAGACAATCATCAATCTCAAAGGAATCTTGGTATGTGCAATCCTCTTCCTACTCTTTGGTTACCAATTAGAACTATTATTTTATTCTTTTTAACAAGGGAAAAGTATTTTCAGTTGCCGGAGTAGATAGAGTTATCTCCAGTGAACTCAAAACGACATCATTTTTTATTATAAGATTAAAAAATTATAATGACAAAGACTAATATAACCCTGCAATATATTATAATTACAAAAATATCTTGATTTTCGCCCCAAAACGACGTCGTTTTGAATTCACTGGAGATAACTTTATCTCCGGTGACTGGAGAAATCCTTTATCCTTTTAATAAATATTAGAACTATTATTAACTCACGTGTTAATTAGCTCTAAAACATAATTTGATGGGTCTTATCTCAATAATTATAGCCTCTGTGCGTAGGCTTTTTCAAAATTCTTGTTACTTTCACGATGGTGAAGAAATTTTTTTTTCTGATTAGCTGGGTTTACAAGCTAGTTGTGGGTGGGTCCAAGTTTTTAGTTATTTTATGGCTCATGATTGGCTTATTAAATTTAAATTGTGGAATTATGATCCTTGGTATGTGATGATATCATTTTGTTTTTGGGTCTTGGTGATCATGCCACTAGTTACATGATTCTCGAGATATAAAGGCTTTTTCTTTTATTGACTAAGGACCAGTTATGATAAGTGGTCCCTTCCCAAGTATGGGTAGTGAGACATTGTGGATTTGTGATGAGTAAAGGCCATTAGGACCGAACCATTTTTGGGTAATTTGGTGGACCACAATCATCTCCATGGTCTATTTGTTCATTTGTTTATGGGCAATTTCTCATGTTATTAGAGAGGAGGAAAGTTTTCTACACACTCAAATTTATAGTGAGGCCTACACATAAAAAATAAAAAAAATTATTGCACACAAAACAAACTCTCACTAACATGAGAAAGGGTTCTCCTACAACACGAATTCCTTCTCCCTTTGTTTATATGTCTTTTCAGTTTTCATTATTGGGTGCTAGGGGTATGGATCTCCCATAGTTATAACCTATACTTATTGATCTCATGTTGTTGAAAATCATGTCATAAAAATAAATATGTGGATCCCTTTATTTTATTATGTGGATCCCTTTATTTTATTTTATTTTTATAAAAGGTGACCGCCACATGTTTATCTATATCATATAAGACAAGATGTCTTCAATAACATGAAAATTTCCCCCCTTATTTAATGAGCATTACTTTTTTTACAGCAAGTCACAGAAAAGTAGTGTCTATTTTGGAGACAAAAAATGGGACCCACCAATTTTATTTTATTTAAAAAAAAAAATCAGGATCCGACATCATATTTGATAGCTTTGTGTCTGTTGTAGATAAAGTATTTATGCCATAACTGCAGAAATATTTTTGTCTTATTTAATTTACTTAATTTTAGTTTTTAAAAATAAAGAGGGTTATATTGACAAATTTTTTTTTATAAACTTACAAATTACACTATGTCTTACCGGTAAGACATAGTGTAGTTTGTAAACAAAAAGGTTGTAAGTATAACATTCTCTTTTAAAAATAACTTAATCATGTAATAAAAAAAATAAACGTATAAAAACTCACCCTTGTAAGTGTACCCTTGAAAAAAAAGAAAAAAAAAACTTGGGTAGGAGAAAAATTCTAAAAACAATAAATGTTTAACAAATTCAGCATCTATTATCCTTAAAAAAAGATGGTACCACAAAAGAGTCAAATGATAAAGGCTTTTAAGTTTCTTACTAAGGTTTGATGTGAATTTTATTACAATAGAACAAAATTAAGCAAAACAAAGAAGAATATGCATCTCTTTTTTCCACTGTGCAGATTGGGAATGCAGTGATCAACGATGAAACTGACGTGAAAGGAATGGTTGATTTTCTTGCTAGCCATGCAATCATATCAGACCAAGCAGCGTATGATATCAACAAAGCTTGTGATTTCTCATCACATAATGAGACAAGTAGTGAATGTAAGGCAGCCTCGGATGAACTTGACAGAGATCTTGCATTCATTGATTTATACAACATTTATGCTCCCCAATGCAAAAATTTCAATCTCACGGCCCAGCCCAAGAAGAACTCTGTAAGCTTCAAATTTCAACCCTTTTTTCAAAATAAAAAATCATTAATTATTAATTTAGATAACTATAATGTGGAAGATTATATTTATAAATTTTTTGTTTACAAACTACATTAATTATGACCGGTCATACTTCAATCAAGAGTGTATGACCGGTCATACTTAATGTAATTTGTAAAAAAAAACTTTAAACGGATCATTCTCCAACTATGGTATATTAGGTCTAGTTAACTTAAGAAAATCCATAATTGTATGAACTTGACAAGAATAGAATCCTTGTTTATTTGTTTTGCAGATTGTGATTGATCCATGTAGTGAGTATTATGTGTATGCATATCTTAACAGAGAAGATGTTCAAGAGGCCCTCCATGCCAATGTCACAAAGCTCAAATATGACTGGGAACCCTGCAGTAATGTCATTACAAAGTGGGTTGATGCCCCTTCAACAGTCCTTCCCCTTTTACATGAATTCCTAAATAATAGCCTTAGGGTTTGGATTTTCAGGTAAATTCTTCCTTCCCCCTTTATATAATATTTATAGAAACTTGCAACTAACATACCCTTTTCCTTTGTCTTCTAATAATAATATTATTATTTCCTGTTTTTCCCATTACTCTTTTTCTCCTGCCAAACATATATCCTTTAGCTTCTGTAGATGTGAGCATATACAAATTTTAATTATTTATTTATTGTATGATACAGTGGTGACATAGATGGAAGAGTGCCTGTTACTTCAACCAAGTATTCCATTAATAAGATGAAGCTTCCCATTAAAACTACTTGGTACCCTTGGCTCGCCTATGGAGAGGTAATTTAGAAACTATTACTTACACTAGAATGTCAATGTTAATTTTCCCTTCCTTTTTTAATTGTTGTAAATAAAGGAGAAGCATCTGTTTACAATTTTTTTTTACAAATTACACTAAGTATGACCAGTCATACACTCTTGATTGAAGTATGACCGGTCATACTTAGTGTAGTTTGTAAGAGTTGATAAACAAAAAGTTTATAAATATAATTTTTCCCGTAAATAAATGTTAGCTAATGTAATTGCCTAATAATATCACACAAAAACTTAACAATTGAATTGAAAGAATAACCATATGAAGTGTCTGTACAAACGTTTTTAATCATGCTTTATTACTTATTAGTATAAGAATGCATTTTCAGAAGAACTTTGGTGTGACACAGGTTGGTGGCTATACACAAGTATATGAGGGAGGCCTAACATTTGCTACGGTGAGAGGAGCAGGGCATCAAGTGCCAAGTTACCAACCAGCAAGAGCCCTTTCTTTGATCAAATATTTCTTAGACGGATCTCCACTTCCTCATCCTAAAAGAATATGATTAATGTAATCCTGTTTTCAATAATTGCTATAGTTATGATTAGTTTATGTTCAAATTATAGAAATTTAAGTATGGAACGAAGAAAAGAGAGAATAATATGAAATTGGTATTGATCTAATTGTAATATGCTATGATGTGATATAAAATACAAAGGCTAATACCTATTTATATTAATATTAGATTTCAAATCTTAAATAAATAAGGGAATAAATCATAAAATATAGAAATTGTCTAAAATACAATTGAAATATTATGAGATATTTTCATATACTCTAATAATTTTTTCCCAAAAAAAGTAAATTCGATTATAATTCGTTGTCTTACATTCAGTTCTTATTGGCGATCATTTATTCATAAAACTTATGTAAATACCATGGTATAGATAAAAAAAAAATTATATGAAGGTTTAAATGATGAAAGTATTGGTGAAAAAGAGTATCATTACTCAACTTTCTGATGTTTACTTGCACTATATTGTTAATCAAGACATACAGTTATTATTAGATAGTTTTTCATTTAGATCGTCGTAAAATCAATGACAAGTTAACAACCATATTATTTTCGTGCATGACATGTCTAAGAAGAAACCGAGTTTTTCATCTGTTAAAAGTAATTAATTGACTTCCAAATAATTGTTGGATATATGCTCTTTTGGTCACTAAAGTCCTATTGGGCTTCAGTGAAACTTGAGCCCATGAGGCTTAGGGTTAAGTTATGTCTAAGACCTAAGCGTATATATTCATAGTTTTCTCCTCTTGTGCCTCCAAGGTGATCAGATCATCAGAAACAAACCTAAGAGGCAGACGTTCATCATCTGAACGGTTGCCCACACAACCATCTCATCCTCCTCGAGAGATAGTCTGGAAGATCTGCCACAGTCCAGCTTCAAGGAGGTTGTTCGTGCTGCGGCGCTGAGGTGAGCTGTTCGTGAAGAGGAATCCTACAAGGGAAGATTCTACACGAGACCTGCGCACCGAGAGGTAATTGTGAAACGATGATGATTCGGTAAGCATACCAATGTACTAGGTCCTAAACCGCTTCCGCATAAATCTAAGATTTCCTACAATTGGTATCAGAGCTTTGGCTGTACATTGGTATGCGAATCTAGTTTCACTATTCATGTAATTAGTTTTGCTTCTTGAAATGTGGCACCTAGGGTTCTAGGATTATGGTATGAATCTAGCATGTGTATTTTATAATTCATTTTCATAAAAGTTTAAGTTTTAATCGGTAAAAATGCTTTAATCCATGGTTAGGGTCTCTCGTGTATTTCTCGATTTGTAACAAAGAGGCTAATCCCATATGATTAGGTTTCCTTCTTGCTGTTTTTGTTTATTTTTGGAATTTCTGTGTATTTTTTTAATATTTTGTAAAAGTTCAAGATCGAGAAATCGCGAGGAAGATGCGCAGTCAGCACTGTCGGAGACTTTTCAAGGATTTACCCATCTCGGAATGGGGCGATCTATATATGGTTGGAAAAAGGATGGAAAGACGAACGCAACGGTGGGTAGATCACCGCCATCGGAGACTCCACGCTCCACCACGCGCCTCTACAAGAGTCTGAGAGTGGCCGCCACTCTCCGGCAAAGAATGGGAGAGTGAGGGAGCGTCCGACCACCTTTTTGGGTGGTTTCGGCGGCGGTGCACTCGTCTCTACGTGGTGTCCTTCCCCTGGAGTTTCAGCCTGATTTGACTTCAGTGACGGCGCGGAAGACCTGACGGCTAGGGTTCCTCTTTCGCGTCCTAGGGTTTCTCGCCAAAGGATTGGGTCTTTGGGCTTTTGGGCCCATGAAACCCTAAAGGGGCTTGAGACAGATACTATGGGCTAGGCGAAAGTCGAATTCCAAAGTTGTATTATTTAATTTAATTTAATTTTATTTTCTTTAAAATAGGAAGGCCATGGATTAAAGTAATTATGATTTATTATTTAATGCTTTTATTGATTGGTATAAATTATATGATTGATAACATGCTTTATTGCGATAACATGCCATATAGAATAGGTGGTGCCATATTGTTGCATAACTTGTATGATTGCATGAGCATAATAGTTATTATGTACTAGTATGATAGTTATTATGGGATTATTTTGATTTTAAATCATCCTAAGAAATTAATTAATAATTATTATGATTTTTATTGAAAATCTAGATTAATAATTGAATTAATTAATTTTGGATAATTAACATCAAGACAAATAATCGTTATGGAAATTATTTTGATTTCAAATTATCCTCATAAATGATAATTATTATGATTGTTGCAATCTAGATTAATAATTAAGTAAGCTGTTTGGATGATTTAAATCTAGAAAAAGAATTAGAGAAAATTTCCTAAGAGAATTCTTTTATTTTGTGAGTAATTTGTGGATTTTCTGAAATGGTCATGGAATAACACACGCTGCATACAACCTTCATGTATCATGATTGTTTGGAGCACACGCTGACGTAAAGTGACCGAATTTCAGGACCTTAATGCTTTCAAAATTATGTTAAGCTTAGTGCACGTTTATCGGCGCTCTTACTTATATAGTTTTTGAAATCGAACAAAGGATACTCTCAATTAAATAATTCTTGGAAATTAGAAAATGTTGCTTATGTTGAATGGAAGGAGATTTAAATTAAGAGATTAATTTAACCTTCAAGCGCATTATAGGACCATTAATAAAATAATCATGTGAAGTCCCTTCGAATAAGCATGATTGGATTTTATTAGATTGGACTTAAATATCTATGGGAGGAGATTTAAATTAAGAAATTAATTTAACCTCCAGGCGCATTGTGGGCCTATCAATAAAATAATCATGTGAGGCCCCAACGGATAAGCATGATTGGATTTTATTGGGCCTTAATAATTTCAAAATTTTAATAAAGTATTGTACGTCCCATCGTTGATAATACTAAGTTATTAAAGATAATTTTGAAATTAAACAATGAATTCGACTGGGCTTATGAAAATTCTCAAACAAAAATGTTGAATGGGTGAAGGTTTTAAAAATTAATTAATTTTAAAACCTGCGGGCTCCATTTGTGGGTTTATTAGTGAAATGGTTATCGCTGAAGCCCCATCGGATAAGGATAATCAGATTTCACTAGATTAAATCTTAATAATTTCAAAATTTTAGTAAAGTATTGTACGGCCCATCGTCGGCAATGCTTAGACACTAAGGATAATTTTGAAATTAAACAATGGTTAATTACATTCAACTTTGGTAAAATTGTTAACCCTCCCATCGAGGCTCTGGCAATGGCACTGAAGGCCCAAATAACAATTTTGGTTTTTACAAGTGACTTGCCCATCGTAAGCCTTGTAAAGATAAACTGAAGGATTGTTAACAATAAACAAGAGTAGTTATGAGAATCTACTCGCACTTCGTTTGTTTATTGCATTATTTGTTTGTAATTGTATGCTTTATATGTTTTTCAGAAAATATCTTAGAAATGATTTTGAGTCGAAAACCTCTAGATGGTACCAACTATGAATAAGTGAAAAGCAAATTTTTTGATATTGTTCTAAAACATGGAAGCTAAAATTTGTTCTGACAATGCGAGGGCCATAGCAACCTGCAGAGGATGCGTCTTAGGAAACTTAGATGCATTTCTCAGATTAGGAAAGGGCAGATATGGTAGTTTGCTGCTATATTATTGTCAGTCTTTCCAAATACTTGCAGAAGCAAGTGTACATGATTAAGAGTGGAGTAGAAATGCTTCAGACTCTTAATGACATGTTTGCTGCGTCTAGCAGCTCTGCTAGACAGAATGCAGTCGGTGCAGGTTTTGCTAAGAGTCTTGTTAAATCCAAAGGGAAACCCAAGGGTGGTAACAAGAACAAAATGACTTGGTTATCAGTTGTCAAACCAGTTGCTATGAAGAAGCCGCAAGGCAAGTTCTTCAAGTGCAGACTGAAGGGATACTGAAAGAAAAATTTCCCAGAGGTGATGAAAAGAACCAGACATGGGCATATCTAGGCCTGATGAGTGAATGAATTATTGATTCAGGAATCACTGATTATGTTTGTTACTCTTTGTAGTAGTTCAAACATGGCATACCTGTCAGCAATGGACATAGATATTTTAAGCTTGAAAATGGGAACTTGTGTCTGCATTTGCAGTAGGACAAGTTATTTATAAGACTATGGTTTTGAGTGACTGTTTATTTGTTCCGGATTTCAAGAGGAATTCAATTTTTGTTAGTTGTTTTGGTTAAAACATGGTTTGACAATGCAATTGATTCCGCAGTTACATTTCGAAGTTCATCTTCGTCTTGTTTGTTCTGGTACATTGTTTAAATAGTCTTTATTACCTATGCCCTATACCCTTTTTAAATTTGTTATGTTGAATGGAAAGGATGATGAACAAGAACTTTCACCAAAGAAATAAAAGTTTCAAATGAAACATCACTTTGGCCTTTGTGATTGAGTCATATTATCTCAAGTAGGAAACATATTTTAGTTAAAAGAGGGACTGAAAGTTCAATAATCTTTTAACTAACAGCTACATGTTAGTCCTATTTGGAAGGTAAAGTGGCCAAGCAATCCTACAAGGGCCAAAAAGGTTTGCGCAACTATTCAACTGGAACTGGTACATACTAATGTATGTGGACCAATTAGTGTTCAGACCAGAAGAGGTGATGAGTACTTCATTATATGAATGTTTACTCTGGATTTGGACAGATGAACCAAGTGCGCCATAAGTCTAAAGCTTTTGGAAATTCCAAGAGGTTTAGTCTGAGGCAGAAAAGCATGTAGGTGTTCAAATCAAAAACACTTTGGTCTGACTAAAGTGTTGGCTACCTGTCTGGTAAGTTCAGGTCTTACCTGATTTAAGAGGGGATAGTTTTTGTAACTGTCAACTCTAAGAATGCATTAGTTGAATGAAGTTGCAGTATGCAAAAATCAAACATTTCTAGACTTGGTGAAGATCATGTTCAATTATTCATCTTTGTCAATGTTGTTCAAGGGAGATGCCTAAGAGAAGGAAATGTACCTTCTTAACTTGATTCCGTCAAAAGTTTGTTGTAAAGACACCTAAAGAATTATGGAAAGGGTGCAAGCCCAGATCAAACCATATTCGGATTTAGGGTGCTACGACACACGTCTTACAACAACAGTCAAATGGGATGGAATCTTGTATGGAAGAGTGCATATCTTTTGGCTACCCTAAGAGAACTACGGATGATTTCTTATTTAGTCTTAAGGACAAGATAATCTAAGTGAGCACTTACATGATTTTCTTAAAGGAGGACTAGATAAGAAATTATAAGCTCTTAAGTTAAGTTATTCTTGATGAGATTTATCTCTGATCAAGAATTTCAAGAATCTCTAGAAGCTTCATCCACTGTTCCCTTGATTGTTCAAGAGGGGATAAATATATCTCTAAGTGAACAAACAAGAGAACCATGATTGGAAATTCAACATGATAATATATAAGTGAAACTAGTAGAAATATTAGTATCACATGTAAAGGAACAATATCAAGTATAAGCGGATCCTCAAGAAATTGAAGATCCATCATTTGACCCACTCTTTGTTTTACCTATAAATACACAAGGTCTAGTGCAGTACATTCGTAGTGGGAGAGAACCTTGTTAACTCTCAAGTTGTCTCTTGTTGAGTGACATTGATCCTACTAGTTACAATAATGCACTAGAAAATGTTGTTGATCAAGTGTTGCTCAAGCTATGAACAATGAGATGAAATACTTGTATTTCAACTCCGTTCGGTCCTAGTAAAAACACCAAGAGGGGTAAAACCAACAAGGTGCATGTGGACATAAAAGGCAAAGAGAGGATGGACAGGAAGGTGAAAAACTTCAAAGCTAGCTTGGAGGCATTTTTTGCCAGACGTCATGCTTGAGTCTATCCATTCTCTTGGTTGCTATAAGTCTCAATTATGAGATTTAATTTTGGGAGTTGGATGTCAGGATATCTGCATACTACAACCAAAAAGGGTTTATAGCAAATGGGTAGAAACACACGGTATGCAAGTTGTGAAAGTCTATTTCATAGTCTTAAGCAAGCATCCAGGTCTTGGAACATCAGTTTTGATCAGGTTATCAAAATTTTGATTTTGAGAGAACCTTGATGAATGATGTGTATTTGTATGTAAAGGATCCAACGGAAGACGGTAGTTTTTCTGGTACTTTATGTAGATCATATGCTCCTTATTGGAAACAACGTGGAGGTAATATCAAGCATAAAGAGTTGGCTAAGTTAGTGTTTTGGTATGGAAGTACTGGGGAAGCCAATTATATTCTTGGTATAAAACTCTTATGAGGCTGGAAGAATAAGTTGTTGGCATCACCTCAGGCTACTTACATTGACAAAACTCTTGCCAAAATTCAACATGAGAATTCTAAGAGAAGAATTATAATTCTCAGATGTGGAATTCATCTTTCTAAGGAGTAACCAAAGACTTCTAAGAAGGAAGAATGCATGAGCAAGATATCTTATGCTTTGGCAAAGGTAGACTCACGCATATCATGTTGGGCGTTAAACCAGACATCTGTCATGCAGTGGGAGTAGTGAGATAGTACCATTTTGAACCTAGAGGAATACTAGATTATTGTTAAGCATGTACTCAAGTATCTTTGGAGAACGAGAGATTATATGCTGGTATATTCTAGTGGGAGTCTTGAAAAGTTGAGTTTTAAAAAATTCAGTTATTTCAAGTGGATATTGACTCAAGAAAATCAACCTCGAGCTATGAGTTTTTCACTAAACTCAGATAGCATTAGAGGTGGATCTTGCAGACCCAGTTACTAAGAGTTTGCCTGAACTTGTGTTCGAGAGGCATGTTACTTCTTTGGGTTTAGGAGGATCCCAGACTTGCATTAAGCAAGTGGGAGTTATTGGTTTCATTGTGCTCTTGGAGTAAGACAATGAAACAATAAAATAATTTTCTGAATTTCATAAATAAGGTTTTATTTATTTATTTTGCGCACTATTTACAAACATAAAGGTCCGGATCAAATTGTGGAGTATATGATCATATGGATACGTTTATAGAGGACATGATCATAGGTTCTCACAATTGATGAATGGATTCACAGCTGTTAAATAAAGTTGGGCACTTTATTTAGGCTGCAATATTTTATGAAATGGTTTTGTCTGAATCATTGTAAAATATTGGTGTGAATTAACATTCACATTGAAAGGATCAAGGAGAGATTTGATTAAGGTTGTTCTTTCTGTCATAAGGAATCAAATTTCCAGTTAACTATAGTTATGTGATTGCTCTTAATCCTGAGTTTATTATAAATAGGTAATCAAATAGTTTTCATTCTTTGATTTACCAACGGGTGAGGTTCGATCTATTGACGGCCAATAACTCGGTATTTTGGGAGTGAGATTATTTGATTATCAGTATTTATGAGATAAACAACAAGGAATTTATAGGAAATGTCCCCTTGATATATTTCGGTACTTGGATATTAAAGACACTGGCCAGTGCATGTAATCCATTAGAGAAATTATCAAAGTCAAGGGAATAAATAATTGATTGGGTTACGGAAAACTAATCAATGAATTATAGACATTCTATAAAGGGGCAATGCATATTAATGTTATAAAGGTCATTAATCTTGGAGTTCACGTTCGGGCTTTTAGTGGAGTAGCACCGAATTAGATAATCTTGTAAAGATTATCAGGAGCCTTGATCAATGACAAATGGTAGGTCCCCAGGCTAGCTCGAGACAAGGGATGGGGTATATTATCAGATGATGATAGCTTATGGGCTACATAGTCTTGGGTTTACGAACTCAAGTTTGTATCTTAAAGAGCAAGTGGGAGATTGTTGGATATATGCTCTTTTGGTCACTAAAGTCCTATTGGGCTTCAGTGAAACTTGAGCCCATGAGGCTTAGGGTTAAGTTATGTCTAAGACCTAAGCGTATATATTCATAGTTTTCTCCTCTTGTGCCTCCAAGGTGATCAGATCATCAGAAACAAACCTAAGAGGCAGACGTTCATCATCTGAACGGTTGCCCACACAACCATCTCATCCTCCTCGAGAGATAGTCTGGAAGATCTGCCACAGTCCAGCTTCAAGGAGGTTGTTCGTGCTGCGGCGCTGAGGTGAGCTGTTCGTGAAGAGGAATCCTACAAGGGAAGATTCTACACGAGACCTGCGCACCGAGAGGTAATTGTGAAACGATGATGATTCGGTAAGCATACCAATGTACTAGGTCCTAAACTGCTTCCGCATAAATCTAAGATTTCCTACAATAATGGTGTTGTCAATGTTATTCTTTCGTGAAATTTTGCCTCAGAATGTCATTACTTTTTTTATGAAAAGTATCTTTATCCTTATTACATTGGTTTTATGTTTTAAACATTGTTAGTAGTATATTGTGAAATTAAAAAAAAAAAAAAAAAGTAACAATCTCAAGTTAGCGTTTAGCTTCCACTCTTACTGTAAAGAACTGGTGATTAACATTGTACATTTGATAAGTGTATATTAACAAAATCAGCTGTTGAAATAGGTAAAAAAAATCATATAAATTGCTTCAATTAGTTTATGTGCAACTGAGTAATTGTTAAATTTCAACACAGTCGTCATCATCATCATCATCTATGTCCTTGTCCCAATCCAATGAGAATGAGGTGGCTGATTTCATCAACTCTGTAAGTCCAGTGAGATCCTCTAGGTAGGTAGGATGATTAATTGTTTGAAGTATGAACTCTATTCCACGGTTTCGATATTCTGATACAACCTGAATGGTTGCAATTTTACAAAACAAAGCGGATTAAGAAGTGGATCAAGTTAAGTACTAAAATTATTTTAGCACACTATCAAACTTATGGCTCAGGTGTTCTAGGTACAACATGCAAAGCAACTGCTGGAAGCAATGGAAAATTGAAGCATAAAAAACTAACTAATTACAGAAGCATTATCAAATAACATAGATTCTATTCACCACTTAGACTTACTGTATGGCAACAGGCTGTGCAGCTGGAAGAGGAGTAACCTATAAGGGTCATTTGAGAAAACTGAGAAAGGGAACCACGAATCTGATGAGGTAAAATACCAAGAGGTTGCTCGGTAGCTCCAATGACACTGTTGTTAATATCACCTTCTGCAAATATCCTGAAAAAGTATACTCAAGATGTGAACTTCATGCTGGATAAAACAAAGCAAAGTAGGTGGAATTTCTTCTTTGGCTCTCTATTGCAATGCCTCAAAATTCTTGCACATAAAATTAATGTTTGCTCAATTACCCTTGAGGGTGATGCAAAATCCCTATCAAAAGTTCAACTGCAAGAGCTGAAGCAATAGGAGCCAGCCCCGGTCGGGTCACAGTACATTGCTGGTCCAACGTGCGGTTGGATGTTGACTGCAAAAAGCAACCATGAATTAGTTATATATGTCAAATTAGTTTGAATATCAAACATGACTCTGCATGTAAATTACATCCGTTGGTGCAACAACATCATTGCAGAAATAACAGCCCAATCTATGCTTTCCATCTGCATCATTTACGCAAAATTTGTGCATCTCGGCAGATGAAGAATTAGCAGTTTCAGCACTTAAGTCATGGGCATGACTGAACGGACCAGCTCCATGGCGCATAACCAAGAAACTATCAAACCCTAGTGCTGCAGTAATGGTAATCTGCAAATAGATAAATATTAAATATATAAGCATGTTAGTTGAAGATACCAATCAAACTACGGATGGGATAACAATCAGAATATATACTTCAGTCTAAAATGTTAATCACACGTTAGGCAGTGATATAATTAGTGACATATATGCCATTCATGAGAAAAAACTGACCAACCTTGTTAGTGTTGGCACAGAGAAGTGTTGGGAGCCATCGACTTTCCCTTGTATCTGTCAATAAAAAAACTGCATCATGAGCATCAATCAAATCGTGCAAGCGTCTACAATCTTCAAGCACACTATCCTGTTCCTGGCTATTTACTGGATGTCCAGGCATTGGTATAGCCATAACAATGCCTTCTGCTTCCTGAGAAAAAGAAAATGCAGTTATGTGAAAAATGTGATTATTGTTTGTAGCATGAAGTCAAGTCTTAGGGATCAATGATTTACCACAGCTGGAAATATCCGTTTGAGACTTTGAACTGCTGCTGTAGCTTTAAATTCACCACCATTAAGACAGTCTTCCAAAGTATAAAGAGACTGCCTCAATGGGTTAGACATAGACACCCTGCCATTGTCAACTAGAGTAATTTTTCGGACACCCCATGCCTGCAATAGCATAAGCTTTATCAATTAGCACAAAATGAAGAATTAAAATAATAATAATAATAATAATAGGACTTTCTCAGTACTCACCATAAGCATGCGTGCAACCTGGCATCCAAGTGTGCCTGCTCCAAGGAGAAGACATTTTACAGAAGATAAGGCACTCAAGTTTAGAGAAGGCAAAGCACGCCACCTCATAAGCTTTAAATTCAAATCTGCAGCGGATATGGCCAACCTGTAAAAAGTAAAAAAAAAAATTAAAAATGATAATACAAAATAATACAAATGCTAATGCTGACAAAGTAAGTAGCATTGTCGAAAAAACCATAGACTGGAGAGAATAATGCAGGCAAGAAACCTGGTTGGATCCATAGACTGTGCAAGGCTAATACACCTAGGTACTTTTTTCCCCTTATTAAGTTCCCATCCGACTGCATTAGGCACGGTGTCTTTCCATCCTATACAATTATTCCTTTCAAGTTAGAAACCCAATAAACTAAAACAGAGAGAGATATCAACAATATGACTGTTACACAATTAATACAGCTCTACCTTGTGGAGCTGTTATCGATGCTTCACCAACAAGGGACAACCCCATATCTGCAAAACCACGGTTCTCTCTGTAGCAGAAAAATTGAACAGACTTGAGATTCCACCTCAAAGAAATAAGTGCTAAGAAGTTGCGTAGAGGCCACCCAGGGTTATTTGGGAGATGACACGGGTCATAAAATCCAAAGAGGATCTGCCAATAGAATCTAGTAAATTTCATAAAAAGGCATTTCTAGTTTCACATCGAGTGAGTTGTGTTGTGCGACAATGAAAAAGAAATTTTACAAAAGACTGCATTTAATTATCATAACCAGAGTTAGAAGAGTAAGAGACCTTGAGAGCATCGCTCTGACAAGCTTCCCAGTCCTTCAGAAGCCTAACAGTAGCACGTGAGTTTGGATCTATAGTGACTAAAAAGAATGGGACATCTGCCACACCACACAATCTTTTTTATTACGTAAAGCATGCCGAGTTAAAAGGAAGCAACAGAACAGACAAATGGGATTACTTCCAGATGTTAGAGGAAATTTAGAGATTTATACCTGCTGTTGATTTCGAGCTCCGCCACTCATTACAGGCTGCAGAGAGGGACTCTGCCTGGCATTTCAGAATAAAACAATGTTAAAATCAATGAAAATAATGGTGATATAATTAAACAAACATGTGTTCATAATAATGAAACTCGGAGCACCTCTGCTACACTCAACCACTGAGAAGCTGGTCTTAGATTAACAACAGTTGCAGGAGGATCAAGCATCAAAGCAGGGAAAGCAAACCAGTAGAGAAAACTCCACTTTTTGAGGTCTGCAAAAGAAATAAGAAGGAATCTTGAAAGTACTGAACAGTCCTCCACAGCTTTTCCAGTTAGAATGTCATCCCAGATCTAATTCAACAACAAAAGGAAAAACATATGTGAGACTAATGGTTTTTAGTCAAAAGATTTTCATGTTCAACTATCTCGTCTTGTAATGTATATATGAATTGAATGGTTTTACCTTTCGTGCCTCTTCCTTCAACAGTTTATGCTTATCAAGTGCATGGAAGCTTTCCACAGTATTAGTGTTGTAAAGTATCCCTGGAACAGAACACCTGTTCCTGTTGCCACGGCTCGGTTCTGGCATTAATGATGCCTCACTTGATTCAGAAGGCAATGACTCAGCTAAAAGAGTTAAATGATTTGATACTAGAGAATGTGAACAAGGTGCATAAAAACCTGCAAATCAAGCCTGAGCATTTTAATATGAATGAAAGCCAATATAAAATGCACATAAATCTAATACGACATCGTTTTGAGCAGAATTTTGTAATTATAATTTATTTCAAGTTATTACGGTCTTTATAATTATAATTTTCTAATTTTTTTAATTATTAGAAGTAAATGCACATAACATAACTTATCAGTATCTGCATTAAACAAAAAATAGTGATTTTAAACCTTCAAAAATAGAATTATTCATTAACTAAAAAAAAGAAGTGAACATTAGATAGCTTTGAATTTTAGGATTCTTTCATAATTTTTTTCCTAAAAAGTAAAAACAAACTACAAAATTATATCTTTTTGATGTTGTTAACTTGCCCTTTCTCATAAAGCAAACAACTTGCTAAGAAAAAGTTAATAAAAGAATGTAAAGATTGAAGTAAAGATAAGAACCAATAATGGGTATTGGGGAATCATCAATGCCAAGCTTGTTGAGCTTCAAAGAAGACAATCTGTGCCAGAAACCTTCATCGACCGAGCTCTGCATCGGCGCGAATTGAAGCAAAGCTTCCTTCTTGTCGTGTCCCGACATGGTCGTTTGTTTCAAAGGGTAGATCTGGTTGTGTCACACACTTCAACAAGTTCCAAATGGATTAGGAATTTCAGCAGAACCCATCTTCATGGAGATTCAATCGGCTTCTTCAGTCAACAACATTTGTTTATGTGTTCGTGTTCTTGATCGTAATGGAAGAAGGAACTTGTCTTGAACGGGCCATATGGGCTTGATTTCATATGGGCCTATAATTATGTGGTCCAGCCCATCGAAATGTTCTGGCCCAGCTCAACACTTTTTTTATTTTATTTTATGAAAAAAATATTTATTCTTTTAAAGAATATAACTTTCAGTTATTTTAGATTATAACGATTGATTTTCGTCAATCAACGGTTAGAATTTATTGGGTCAAACTTATTAATTAATTAGTAATTCGCAATAAAACTCAATAAATCCTAATTGTTGATTAGCGAAAATCAATGGTAAGAATCTAAAATGACACAAAATTATATCCAGGACAAACATTTTTACCTTTTTTTATTTTAAGGACCACTCCTTCAATTAGGAAAATATTAATTAATTTTTTACTGAAATTTACTGAAATGAGTTATCATTATTTTTAAACTCTAAGATATATAAATTTTCCGACTATTTTAATGTATCTAACCATTTTCCTTAAACTTAACCACCTTCCTTTGAGCTCCGATTGTTAAATGTTAACCATCATTTTAATGCATTCCGGGGTTTTTATTTTTCAATAATCAATCAGAAGGTTGTTTTGCGCAGCAAAATGGGGCATGACCACAATATGAAATTCATAATCCAATTTGTATAGTCTGAAGCACAATCTTCCAATTTTTAAAACTATAGCAAATTCTCATATTCTCATTTTCTTTGTTTCTTGTTTTTGGAAAACATTCTCATTTTGAAAACACATTAACCAATAGTCTCAAATTCTAACTAGGTTCAATAATAAAAGTAAATTAAGTTAATTTTAATATCATAAGCAAAACATATTTACAGACGTTTAGTCTTTAAATCCAAAATCACACTTTTATAGTCAGGGTTTGAATCAAACCATAACTTGGTTCGAATTTCACTAAAATACTCGGTTTGATTCAACTTGTTGAACATACATAGTAGAAGGAAGTTAAGACTTAAATTAAAAGTATCCTACTTATTCATATTAACACCTATATAGTGAACAACAGACACGGATTCAGATAAGCTTTTTAAGTGTTTATTTATTGGAAAAAATGTTTGTCCTTTTAAATAACACAACTTATATCCTTTCACTCTCACAAAGAGATAAGATTCACACATTTATATTAAATAGAAGAACGTTCAATCAGAAACGCGACTGTGTGTGGCATTATGAGGACAAATAGGAACAAATGCCTTTTTGTTGAATGGGAAAAAAGTGTGTCATATCCTTTCACTCTCACGAAGAGGTGTAACCCACATCTTTAAAACTTTTTTCCCCTACTCTATCTCATGATTTATCTATTCTCTCGTTTAAAATGAAACAACTTTGTGTCCTTTAAAATGATACACATTTTTCCATATAGACAAAACTTTCCCAGTTACTTCAAGAATGGAATAAGGCTATGACAACTACAATATCCCAAACCCCCCATATCTAGAAGAAAGAAAGAAGAAAAATGGAGCAATTCAAACTAAAGCATACACCACAAAACACTCTTGCAAGGTAAAGAAAGACGGGACTATCAAAATTGCATTTGCAATTTACAACAAAGGCACTGAGAAGTAGCATCAGCATCATAAGATATATTCAGTTATCACAACTATCCCCCTACACCATCATTAACTATTTATTTGCGCCACTTGCAGACTCTGGTGGCGGTTGAACGATGTTTAGTTGGCCACCTTCTTTCTGAGCTAAAGTAACTGCTTTAATCTCATTGCAGTGGTTAATGAATTTGCTCACCTCCTGATTCAACCAAAAATTGAACCCTCATTAAAAATCACAATACTCAATAATTCAAATGACAAAAAAGATAAACATAGACAAAGGATACACAATAATTCACAGAATTATCTGTATTATATAAACGCCGAATCACAACCTATGTTATATACATGTACCAATTCACAGACTTAGATGCTACAAAAAAATTGCAAATAAAAATAGTTATCAATTCTGATTTCATCGTTTTAATGATCTTTGAGATAAAAATAGAACAATTATGAAAACCCAATAACAAGAAAGATAAAACCTTGTCCATACAATAACCATAATTTGTTGCTCAACATTCCCAGCATGAAGATGAATAGAAATATCCAATTCAGAACTGAAACACCCCAAAAGGGACAAAGCGAGTGAGAATTAGAGATAAACAAAGGTAACTTACACGATCAGCATCCATATCCTTTGTAACCTTGGATGGCTTCACGAATCTCTTTCCTGCGGGGAGAAAAAGAGTAACAAATTATTACAAAAGATCTTGAACTTGCTGAAAATTAAAAGTGGGGGAATGAACTACCTTTGCGAGTAAGAGGGACTTTCCCATGACGATTAAGAGGAATTGATTTCTTCTTCGCTTGACCCTTGAAAAGATTAGCCTTCTGCGTCATTTTCCTCTGCTTCTGCTTGCTAGGATTAGGGTTAGGGTTTTAGTTTATGTTTGAGTGTAGCTTTTTAGATTGGGAAATTTCTGATGCGGTTATTGGGCTCTCACAATAATTTGTTACATTCATGGCCCATAAACAATTGAAATAAAAACAGTGTAACTTCTTGGCCCAAATAAACACAAGAATTTGTGTTTTACTTGCTATTTTGTATTTTAAAATAAACTAAGATTGCTTTATTGGGATAGGATCAATTTATATTAATGCGAGTGTTACATCCCATCTTAATCATTCATTTCATTTACATCTAAATCTTAATTTGTTACTTAAATAAACTATTAGATATAAATAAAATAAACTGGGCCTAAGATTTTTTATCGTTACATAGATGTAATAGTGAAGTAGTGGTCAATTTTTTTATTTTTTGTGTGTGTTTTATTAAGGGGGTATATTGGATTGAGATTTTAGAGAATTTTAAAGGATTACTTTTGCACAAAAAAATATATTGGTATTCAATTATGATTTTAAAGGATTGAAAAAAAGTCATGACGTATTCGATTAGGATTTTAAAAGATTATTTTAGAGTCTGTCCAAATCCGTTGGTATTCAATCAAGATTTTAAACAAAGGAAAAATAATCTTGTGGTATTCAAAAATATTACAATTTTAATGAATTTTCTATTGGTGTGAATTTCGTGAGACTTTTTAGTGAGAAATATAAATAGTCTCACAATCTCACCATAACCCCTAGGATTTCTTGAGATTTTTTTTATTGCAGTGTCTTCTTCTTCCTTTGGTGGGTCGACCTGCTCTAAACCGAGTTCCACCATTGAAGCTTCGTCAGAACTCAAAAACAACAAATTTTTGAGTGATTTTCATAAAAAAAAAAAAAACAACCCAAAAACAACAACCCAACAAGAAATTCATCTCAAAACAGTAGATTTTGGAGCAATTTTTTTAGAATTTTTTAAAGTTTAAAAATAATTTTTTAAGCTATTGGTCTTGATTTGTCTTGGTACGAAAATGTGTGATTTTTGTGTTAAAAACAACATAAAACAGTGGAAAAACAACGGAGGAACAAAAACCCCTCAAATCAATTTTTATTTTATATCAATGAAACAATATTGATTTAAAGAAAGATTGAAACTTTCATAATATGAACTCTATGTTTCATAATAATACATTCATGAACGAAATTTCTTCATTATAAGAAATGATTTCAAACAATTTTTGTGTCAATAGATCACTAAAAACTTATTTTTCTTAACCCCCAAAGCAATTTAATGTATCGATTGAAATAATTTGAGAAATTTTCTAAAATTTCATATAATAAAACCTATAAATACAGATTCGAAATTTTCTTGAAATACTTAATAAAAACATGCATATGATATATGGTTAGAAAACTCTCATCACGTATAACAAAAACCCTAAGGTTTGCAATATCAATTGCAGAAAATTTCAAACTAAAATTTATCATAAATTTTACTAATTGAGAAAATTATATTACGTTGTACTTTTTTTTATTAATATCAATGCATTTCTTTGTTAACATTTTTTATTGACTCTTGTAATTCTGAATGTTTGTTAAAAATTCATATGATTTTTTAAATCTTATAAATTCATATTGTCCTTTCAAATCTTATAAATTCTATTAAAATGCTTTAAAATCCAATCTTATGAAATCTTAATTGTAAAAAAAAGTATTTTAAAAAAGTCTTAAAGTCTCAAAATCTTAATCCAATACACCCCTTAATATTCATTTCATTTACATCTAAATCTTAATTTATTACTTAAATAAACTATTAGATATAAATAAAATAAACTGGGCCTAAGATTTTTTATCGTTACATAAATGTAATAGGTGAAGTAGTGGTCAATTTTTTTTATTTTTGTCTGTGTGTTTTATTACAGGTTAAAACTCCTAAAACTTCAAAGGTAAAACTAAAATAAAAAATTGAGTTTGTTTGTTTTACTATTTTTATAATTAAGATATATGTTAAACTGACAACTTGCCTTATATTCATGGGTAAAGTGTGTGTCATTTTAAAGGATATAAAAGTTGTGTCATTTTAAAAAAGAGAAAGACATAAATAAAGGAGGAGAGAGAGTTGACAAAAAAATAAAGATGTGAGTCTCATCTCTTTATGAGAATAAAATGATATAAATTGTGTCATTTAAAAGAATAAACATTTTTCCCTGCATTCATTCATCTTAGGTACTCCTCCAACTTATATAAATACTCGCTTGTTAGAATCCAAACGCAACCCAACAACTTTCCTTGCAGTGAGACCCACAAGAACCCCATAATACAATAACCAAATCATGGCAAGCACCGGAAGCTTCATAGCCATTTTGGTCTGACTCTTGATTATTGGGATCGATGTGGTGTCAGGAATCCCCACAGCACTCTTGATTATTGAGGATTAGGCACTATTTCTACATAAAGCACAGCAATAAGTTAACAGTAACATGTTCAGAAATGAGAATAATGCTGTCTCCAAGCGGTGTTATCAAAGGCTTTTGTGCCTTGGTCATCCTGTTCGTGCCTGGCTTTGGCAAGACAAATCTATCACTATATACCCAAGCAGTATCGATTGTCCTGCAGTTGCTAGTTCACCTGCTCCTTCCCTAAAATAACAAAAAATAATTTACATTCAATATAAGTGCATACCACATTGCCAATTTCCTCATCGCAAACATTTGAGTATAGCAGAATGGAAAGCTGTGAACCTATGATATTTTCATTTTCTGTACCAAGAGCTAGTTCCAAAGTAGCAGAAATATTTTGATAGATACATCACAAGAAGCCATAAAGAACATAATTTAAAAAAAGAAAAGAAAAATATAAGGTGTTGAGGTACCTGGGATGTACTTGTCCCAATTGCAAATAACTGTGTCCCATTTATGCTGAGATTAGACAAATCTGACCTGTGAGTAATTGACTATTCAAGTTTCTTTGCATAAATATAATAAACATCTGCTTTTAATTTTACCAATAATCTCTACAAGAACATACACCCTCTTTAAATCTGTGAAATCTTGCTCGATCCCGCACAATAATCTCCCTATTGTAAATATTTGATATTATTTTAATCACAGCATGACAATCCACGCATATTCTAAGGTTCTTTATAACTTGAATCGGTGTCCCGTCAACTGTACTAATTAAACCATATGCCACGGCCAACTTCTCACTGTGATAATTTAAAGCATTTTCTTTGTCCTCCTCCCCTATATCATGCAACACAAGATTGGTCTCAGCTATATATCCATAGGCTTTAATCCTAAACATGATCTCGTCCAGCTTTGCATAGATCTCTTTAGAATTCGGATGACCCTGGTCACCATTTATAAACTTGTGTATCCTACAATCTATTTCCGTGTAACTAAATCCTGGCACCTTCTTCACGTCCCTATTTTTCATGGCCTGCCTCACCTTCCCTACATCATGCCATCTCTGTTGAGCTGCATAAACGTTTGATAACAAGACAAAATCCCCACAACTGTAAGATCCCATCTCCACCAGCATCCTTGACGCCATCTCTGCCATTTCCACATTTCCATAAGTCTTGCTAGCCCCAAGCAAACTCTGCCAAAGTACTACATCAGGCAACATAGGCATGGAGTTTATAATATTATATGCCTCTTTGAGCCTTCCTGCTCGACCCAACAAATCAACCACACTCCCATAATGCTTGACATTAGGTTTCACCCCAGACCCCTTCATTAAATCAAACAATCTAACCCCTTCTTCAACCAACCCAGCATGATTGCACGCACATAACGCAGCAAGATATGATACCGCATCCGGATGCATTCCATCAAGAACCATTTGATCCAAAAGATCAAGTGCCTTATATCCATCACCATTCATTGCAAACGCCATGATCATTGTATTCCACGTGATGAGACTTTTCCTGCAACTCATGCTGTCAAATACTGAATAAGCTTTATCAACAAACCCACATTTTGCATACATATCAATAACCGCATTACAAACAATGACATTCATGTCTAGCTTCTCATCCACTACATACCCATGAATAATCTCTCCCTGTTTCAAAGCACCCAATTGAGAACAAGCCGAGAGCGCACCAAGAACAGTAACATCATTAGGCCTCCATCCCTCTTCCTTCATTCTGTTAAACAAAGCTATAGCTTCATTGGGTCGACTCCCTTGTGCCAACCCAGAAATCATGGCATTCCACGAAGCGATATCTCGCTTACGCATATCATCAAACACCTTCTGTGCCGCATCAATATCACCAGTTTTAGCATACACATCCAACAACGTAGTGAGCAACAAGGTATCAGCTTCGAACCCAAAACGGAGAAGCTGAGAATGTATCAGGGTGGCTTCACAGAAAGCCAAGGCACGCGCGCATGCCTTGAGGGCGAAGGAGCATGTCAAAGCGTCCACCTTTTGGTGGCTACGTAACACGTTGCGGTACCATGACATGGCTTGGATTGGTTTGGAGCTTTGGGCAAGGCCTCGAAGAATGGCGTTCCAGTCGTTGGTGGATGGTGTTTGGATTCGCCGGAAAATTTCGCCGGCAAAGGAGAGGTCGCCGGCGGGGGAGATAGCGCAGAGCTCGAGGAGCTTGGTGCGGGAAGGGTGAAATTGGAATTTACCAGTGATTATAAGATGGGCTTGAAGCTGCTTCATGTGAATTAGAGAGTTGCATTTTTGCAACAATGAATCCAGCTGAATCTGAATTTGTGAGGCCATTCTATGAACTAAAGCTGAAACCAAATCTTACTTCAAAAATATATGTATATACATTCTTTCGTGATTTTACATAATCTCTTGTCTTCTTCCACTAACATTGTTACATCTCTAATCCAAATTATAATAGATTTTAAAAAATTACAATTAAATGGTGTCTAGGTTAATTTACACACACCTCAACTGATTCATAAAAATGTAACTATTTGTTTTGTGTGTGAAGGGTTTTTAAATAATTTAAAAACAATATTTGATGACAAATTTGGGGAAGGACAATGTAACAATCAAGTTGTGTTACTACCATATTACTACCAATCAATCTCACCGTTAGATCGATTATGTAAATCCAACGATTATATTTATGATTTCCCGTATTTAATGTTTTTACCTTAAATTTGAAAAATCATGACCATACAAAGATAGAAATAAATATAACCGTTGGATCAATATAATCAATCTAACGATGAAATTGATTGGTAGTGATATGATAGTAACACAACTTGATTGTTACAGTATCCTTCCCCGACAAATTTTAGGTGAAAACACACAAATTTAGGAGTAATAAGTATTTGATGCGACATTACACAAATATATGATAATTTTAATGGAGTTTATATTTTTGGGAGAGAATATTATACCTATTATTATTTTAACCTTATTATTTTTATTATTTATTTGATTACTTTTGGTTCAATTTAAAATCAACACAATTTAAGTAAGATTAGACACTTACAGAGTTAGGGTCAAATAGACCCTCCAACCTCTTTAAAAATTTCTGAAAGGAATTACAAAATGCACACCAACAAAATTCTCACGTCCACCGGTTAACCAATTAATGATGATGTTGCTTGCAAATATGACTAATGGAAGAGGAAAAAAATGAAGCAACAGATATTAGAGAACTAAGAATTATTTTTTATTCAATTTAATTTCAGAAGACAATACACATATACAAGAACAATCAAGAGGCACTGCCACACTTGTCTAACAAAAATGTGACTCGACTTTATCACATGATGGCAGCTTTCAGCTAGCTATGACAGATAGATCTTATACCGTCACTGGCCACCGTATATATATGGTGATAATTGAAGACTCATGGTGGTTGCTGACCTTTGTTCTTTCTCATTGTACAATTACGCTGCCAGGTGGAATAAAAAATACAACATACAAGGAAAAAAATTGAATCACCAACAATACGCAGACAAGATTTGACCCCATTGATCCCATGACAATATCTTACAATTGAAAAATCATTGTGCCTAATCACGTATCTTCTGGACTCCAACCCAGCGTGCATAATCCACCCACCTGTTCACAGAAGATATATGTAAGGAATAATGAACAATTCAAGAACAAGCAAATATAGTAAATTATTTTAAGACATATATCAGGTTAAACCGAGAATCTTACAATAGTGAGCCCAAGAAGGTGTTTCCAGTTCTAACAATAAAGCAAAGTGCACTTAGCATAAGCTTGTGCTGGTGTAGCAAAGGTTCTAGAATCCGTTGCTCAATAATTCCAGCAAGCACTTGGTACCTGGTAGAGAGGAAACACAATGTTTCTTATAGATTATGCTTATATGTGCAAAGAAGAATTCATAATTATTTATTGTTAGGATGCATCATTGAGGTTGCAAACCCCAATTAATCTCTAGGCATTGTAAAAAAGTTGCCTTTTTTTTATAGTTAAGCACCTGTATACAGTATTAGTAATTATCTAGGTCACTGAATTCTGGGCATGGATTAATCATGGTCAGAGGACTCTAAAGGCTCCCTCGTTTAATCCAAGAGAATTGTTTCACTACAGTAGTTTTATTTATAAAAAAAGAAAATACCTTAAGTTACTTGATACTGCCATGTAAACCCCATAGGCAACACTAGTTGATAATACTGGTACATCCTCAGCCTCAGCAGCAAAAGTTTTATCAACAACTTTTCGTGCATTGATCAATGCATTTGTTACACCTGTACCAATCTGAAAATGCAATGCAATCAGTCACCCCACTAATGCATATACTACAGGTCTGCAATTATACGCCAATCACACGGTGAGATAGATCCTGAGACAGTGACTTGATCTTATGCCTCACATTATAGTTCAGAAGAAGATATGGTAAAAATATTTTTCAACCTATAAGAAAACTGTATACCTGTATGCCTCGTGGACAATATTTCCCAACGGAACAAATGTCACCTGACCTCAAAGGAGGGTTCTCCACAGTAAGATATAATATCTAGTTTATGTTCTCTAATCAATTTGATGATGTATCTATTCTAAACTATTTCCTTTTTATTATTCTTATTTTCCATATCTTCAAATAAACTATGCGTGATTTAGTTTCGTAACGTGTCCGATTCTATACTCTTGATTACAGCACCCTACATTAGTAAGCATTGGGAACTCTAGAGAAACAGCAAGTCAATTTCCAAAGAAATGACAATATTCATTATCTCCAATATCCATCAAAAGCAGAGTCTAAATCTAATTATCAAAGCAATGAACATGACCCAATGAATTCAATCTTTTCATTTTATTAAAAAAACCAAGATCATAATAATAGTGTTATATAGTCGTGAAAATTGCAAAATTCCTGTCACATTATAAATTCTTTTGTTTTGAAGATCATAATAATAGTGGACAAAAACAACAGAATGACATTTATAGGGATCAGGAGTAAGTCAAGTGGCAGAAATATTTTATACAAAATTCACCAAAAACTAGAAGAAGCTAAAATATTTATTAGTAAGCATATGAGATGTTAAATTACCAGCGATGCACCAGTCCCAACCACAAAGAGCTTTGCTCCATTTCGCTGCATAAAAGACGGAGATGTTAAAAACCCTCATGAGTGACAAGATAACTGTTTGAGTTTCTTAGGATCCAACACATACCACTATAGCACCTATTCTTTGAATAAGTGTATAAGAGGTTCCAGCCAAAGCCACCTGCAGAATGTTGATAAAGAGAAATCTAATGTCCAATGAATGTATATTTAAACATAATTATAATATTTATATTTTAAAAAAAAAAAAACGATGAAAAGTGATTTAAAAAGTGCTAACCTGAAAAGCATTTTCAGGGCAGCCATAGAAGAATTTAGCAATAGTTCCAGCACTAACAGCAAGCGGAGGTCGGAGAGAAACTGTAGGAGCAGGAAGCCAAACAAGCATAAAATCTGCTACAATGGCCATTACCTGTTAATAATTATATAAAATAAATGAAATAAAATTAGACTATCCCTAATTTATTGTGCAAAGAAACAAGATAAACTGAGTTTTTCCGATACTTAAGTTGAGTGTTTGTAGCAAAGATGATTAATTACAAAAAGGGGAAATGTGATACAGTAAACAGCTTCTGGGAATGGAAGGGACACACAATTTCAACTCCAAACATAAATAACCGAAAAGATATCTTGTTGACAGGCATACCACATCAGCACAAACAAAATCAAGTTCCTTAGTAAAATTTTCTTTGCGCTTCTCCAACTCCGCAGCAGTCTGAAAAAGCAAACACGAAATGCATTACAAATGGATGATATATATGATAGATCATAGATGCTTAACTCAAATTGTCAAATACTTAAAAAATACTAACAGACTATCAAAAAAATAACCAGAAGCTTCCTACTCTGACACAAGAATTAGTTGACTACGAAAATTATTGATCTGCTAGATAACGGGTAAGCATTGTACCAGAGACTATGGTTGTTAAATATTATTTTGCTTTGCCATCCTCGTCTGAGAGCCATTAGATCAAAAAATATCAACGATTCTGATTTGCATGTGACACCATTGAACAAAAGAATAAAAAAAAATTGAATTAATTAACTTAATTCTGCCCCTAAGTAAATAAGTCTATTCAACTAAATGAAGCGCCATCATCAAATAAAAAGATGGATTAAAAACCTGCAAGGAACAAGCTAAAATAGACCCACATTATCCTCATTATAAAAGACCGGTGAATTTACATTTACCCAAAAAAAGCCTCGGTTTGGTGGTTGACCATTATCATAAACTTCGGCTAAAAAACCCGATCATTAGCCATGTTTAGAAATAAAATTGGAGGAGTAAGAATAATTTATGTTAGAAGATTAGGTACAAAAGCCTAAATGTGAAAACCAACGTTATTCTAAAAATTATTTTAGAGTGATCAAGTCGCTTTTTCTTCTAAAAGCATAATTTATGACCAACGGTTATCCTGGGAAATTACGAATACTCACTCAATCGGATTAAAACACATTCAAGAAAATGCGATTGTTTGGTCCAACATCTTAGTAGAATTAACATGAAACACAAATGCTGATAATTAGCGGAATCTAGCAACAAGGAACCTTTGTAAAGACCCCAACACCGCACTCTATGGCAACCTTTGCCAGGAACAAATCATCCGCCAGCAACCTCTCCTTAAACCCTCCGAAATTAAGCAACCACCGGAACACAGCCGATTTTTCCAGCTCGAAGAACCTCCGCACTATCGAACCCGGCACTCTCCCCGCCTTAACCGCCGCCGCTAAATCCGCCGGAAGATTCTCCAGCGTCCTGCCTGTCTCCGCCAGGACCAGCAGCGCCTCCTCTCTGTTGCGATCCCTGTCCTCAGCTTCACCACCGTCGCCTCCTCCTCCGCCACCGCCGCCTCCTCCCCCTCCCTCTCCGCCGCCGCTCCCGGCTGCAAAAATGGCGGTTGACGGAGAGCGGAGGAAATGAATTGGTGTGAAAACATGAGTAGAGGAAGTGAAGAGGTTGGAAGAAGAATGACCACGGCGAGATACGATGGTGAAGGTGAACCTTGGTAGTGGCAGAGAAGAGTAATGGTTTTGGATGGGGAGAGAGAAAGAGCGTGCAGAGATGTTGGAGAAGGAAGCCATGGCCATTCTAGAGAGAGAGAGAGAGAGTCTAGAGAGAGAGAGAAACAGTGTGTGTTGTGTTGTGTTGTGTCAGTTGAAGGTAAGAGTTAGGTGGTGGAGTGGAAAGGAGGGAAGTAGATGGCATGAACATATGATGATGATTACCAGACACTACTTGTCACTCACTCACTGTGCCGTATACACCAAGCGCTTCCCTTGTAATAAAAAATAAATCAATTATTAATGATAATTTATTTGGTAAATGAATTTTATTCTTTTCTATCATCAAATATTTTCACATATTATGTGTATTTTTATTTAGATTACAAATGAAATAAAATAATAATAATTAACTATATTCTAAAATATTAATAAATAGCAATATTTTTTTAATTTTCACAGCATATGTCTATTGAATTTTAAAGAAGGGATTCGTTTTTTCTTGCGGTTATTGCAGATAAGTTATCTGCAGTAAGCTCAATACGACGTCGTTTTGGGACGAAAATCATGGTATTTTGTAATTTTAATTTATTTCAGGGTTATAATAGTCTTTATATTTATAAATTTTTAAGATTTCAATTTCAAAACGACGTCGTTTTGAGAATGAATTCAGATAACTTATTTGCATTAACTGCAGAAACATTTTTTCTTTAAAAAAAATTAATACTTCGTGATAAAATGAAAAGGGAGATCATAAAAGGGTAATACATCTCTTTTATTGTTGGAGATATTTTTTTTCTCCCGTTGAAATAATTAAAAGGAAAAGTGTGTATTATTTTAATTTTAAATGATATAAAATTGTGTCATTTAAAGTGAGAGTAAGAGATAAATAAAGGAGGAGAGAGAGAGTGGACAAAAAAAATATAAATGTGTGGATCTCATCTCTTTGTAAGAGTGAAAGAATATAAGTTGTGTCATTTAAAAGGACAAACACTTTTATCTGGATTTAACAAAATAAGAGCAAAAAAAAAATATCAATGGCCCTACGCCTTTATTGTAACAGCAGAGGAAATGTTTTTTGGCAAAAAAAATTTAAATATTTTTTTAATAAATATTTACGAAAAACATAATCATCATAAATGTAAATATAAATCTATAGCACTCAAATACGCCTCATAGGGGACGTGACCTGATGAAGAGAGACGCCCCACAAGGAGCTCGACTCGCTAGGTGCTGACACGTGGTACAAAAGTCAACATTTTGACCGTAAAATTTTAGAAGTCTATAACTTTAGACTCAGGTATCCGAATTAGGTAATTTTTCTTTATTCTACACAAGTTTTCGAGATCTACCCAATGAGGTCTTATTGAAGAGGATTTGGTGAATTTTTTTAAAAAATTTGGATATTTTATCGTAAAACTTCGGAAAGTCATAACTTTAGTCTAGGGTACCCAAATCATTTTTTTTATTCCGCTTAACTTTTCTAAATGAAAGTGTTGGCAAGTTTCCCGAGGGGACTTGGCCAATTTTTTTTTGTCCAAAAAATAGGTCCTTGTGCTCCGTTTTGCATATTTTTTATCTGTGAGTGTGAACGATGTTATTTAAGTTAAAATTATGTCTCCTATAAATATAATTTTAATTTGCAATAATGGTATCATAACCGTAAGAATCATTACTATGAATGTTTCTTATCATGACAGTGATTTTCTCTTTATTAATTTGGGTTTAAACGTTATTATAGTATCATTGTTGTAAATTCAAACTTTTTTTGTGACAGTCAAAATATGACAAATGAGGTGTCATTACGTAGATATCGAAAAGTTGTGTTGAATCAAATAAAAAATTACCTAATTCGGACACCCAAGTTAAAAGTTATAGATTTCCAAAGTTTTACTGTCAAACTATTGACTTTTGTTCTATGTGTTAGCACTTGATGAGTCACGCCCCTAGTGGGGCGTGTCTCTCTCCATCTGGTCATATCCTTTATTAAAAGAACAATATATTAATTTTTTTGCCGATGGTTTTTTCCTAAGGGGTGTTTGGTAGGAAATTTTAAAAAATTTGTCCATCATTCGGATTTGTATAGCAATCTCAGTTTATGTGTAAAATTGAAAAAATTTGCTATTTCATAATATCACCCAGAGCATGGTATTCCCTTTACCCCATCAAACAAAAAATTCGAAAAAAAACAATGGATACAAATATTCTTTATCAAAAACCATGCCAAAAGAAAGCCGGAGAAAGAGGAGATTCTTCTTTGTATTTAGTCAATGATAGTTTGATAATTTTATCCGATTTTCCTATCAATATTTAATCTTCAACTAAATCTAGACTCGAAAAATTTAACCCAATTTTTTCAATAATATTTCGACCTACGAAATAATTTTATTTTTTTTTAACTTTTTTACCAAATTCATTTTTTCACTATATTTCTAGTAATTGTATTTTCCTCGTAAATTTTTTTTCTTCTTTACCAAGTAATACACCCATCATAAAATGCACGAAGAGCTCTAGAAAAAAATAGGTAAAGTTAAATTGTTAGGATTTTTAATTCAATAGTAATAATTAATAACTTAATTTATTTTTTTCAGAATTTGATTTCCCGATCTATTTGCACAAAATGTTTGGAATTACAATTTGTAAATATAGTTGATTTAATTTTTTGTTTAAAATAAGAAAAATATTAAAGTATTAAAAACGCCTGTAAAGAAAAGTGCAGCCGATTGATTTCTGTATGTTTTGGTCTTATAATTTGTTTCGGTGTTTAATATTTGTTTTGAATAAATTTTCTTATAATTTAATATTGGATTATTTTTTTTAAAATTACTTTAGAAAGTTTTGTTTGATATTCTCCAAAATGAAGTTGTTGAGCGAAAATCATGATGTGTTTGTTATTTTAATTTATTTCAGTATTATAATAGTCTTTATCATTCTAATTTTTTAATTCTAAAATAACATCATTTCGGTAAATATTAAATAAAGTTGTCTAAAATAACATTATAGATTTTTTTCTCTTTAATATTATCAAAGTTTTTTTCACAACTAATATCTTTAAGTAACATTTGACGTGTAAACATACTCAAATGTAACAGAAAAGCTTTGTTCTATTTTTCTTAATTTCACAATCTTTTGATAAAAAGAAAATATATAACCTTTTTAAACCCGTTTTTATTATATTTTTGTTTTCAAAACTCATTTAATATAAAGAATATAAATTATTTACTTTTACGAATAACAAAAATATAGAGATTAATACTTAAAATAAGTAAAAATATATGAAATGATATTAACGATAATTATAAAAACTAAATAAATGAAAATATAGAAATTCAAAAATAAATAATATAGATATCAGATCCTAAACTGATACAAATTATAATTACTAAAATATAGTTTAAACCTTTGATAAAGAAAGGTGGCAGGGGAAAAGTTTTTATTGAAACATGGAAGAGTGTTCATGCTTTATCTTACACATAAAGTATTTATATAATTGAAGGGAATTAATTTTCTCATGTTACATGAGAATTCTCATGCTACACTCACAATACATGAGTGAGATCCACAAAAAGTGAGAAAACAAAAAAGTCAAAATGAGACCCCCTCATATATTGTGAGTGTAGCGTGAGAAAATTTTTTCATGTGAAATTAGAAAACTATTTCCCATAATTCAAATACAGAACTAAGTTTATATTCAAAATAAATTTTCACCTTAAGAAAAAAGGCGTGTAAACATGAACTATTCATATAATGCCATAGAATTGATAGGGTTTGAATTGTCTTCATAGTTTTTGACAATAATTTGATTTTAAGCAATAAACCTTATTAATATATCTATGTTCAAATAAGAGGACCACTTCACCAATCAATTAGATTAAATTAGTGGCTGATACATCACGGAAGGGGTTTGAAAGGTTCCATAGTATAGTGTGAAGATAAAATTGAAGTGAGAGTCAATGTCCAAGTGAAAGAAAACAAAATGGGCTTTAATGGATGGACTATATTCATTATTCAAGTCAAGTAAGCATGAGAACAGTGTATGATGATGGAGCACCTATCAGATAGGTGATTGAGAAGGCCTTAAATTATTATGAAATTTGTCCATAAGATGGGCGATCTGTGAAGAGTCGTGCACCTCAGAAAGTAACACATTATTTGCAAAATGGTTTACACAAACAAAAAACGGGAATATTAATTCTGGTAAAGGATTATGAAATTATTTTGGGGAATTTAGTATAATAATCTACGGATTTATAATTAAAAGCTAAAAACATTCTAAATTTACTAATATCATATTCTTTATCCTATATATGTTATCAGTTATCACGTTATAGAAAGTGTGTCTATTGTTGTTAGAGTTACACCACATCAATGAATTTATATTAATACTAATAGTTATCAGACGACTCTGATTTTAGGTTAAAATGAAGGGGTTTGTTTTTCTCATATCGCATGAGAAAACAAATCTTTTCTACACATATTATAAAAAGACGTGCTATTTATTTTTTTATTATTTGTTTTTTTAATAGGTAGATCCCACATTTGATGTATCTATAATATGATATTAGAATTTTTCTACAACATAAGATTTATTTTTCCTTAAAATGAATTATTAATATCTCGTCTATTTTATTTTTCTTTAACAAAAATGAAACTGTTGAAACATAATAACTACAAAATTAGCACACAAAAAAACACTTGTTGGAAGCTACGGATTTGAAGACCCGAACTGTGTATGGGATGGAGGGTCGATAACTAATAATTTTTCTCCTTGCAAATTGTTCTACTACTGAGGGGTTTGAATAGGTTATATTAGATTATGTATTTAATTTTATTTTTATCAAAAACAATACTAATTTTCTCTTTGCTTTTTCCCAGCTCACCTCCCTTAAAAGTATAATAATAGGTGGAAACACACCGAAATTGTTTATTTTGGTTTTACAAACATTGTATTTTTTTTACTACACAAATGATTCGAGGGAATCATATCGAGTAAAAGTGAATTAATGGTGGTAATTTTATAATTATCTATTTTAATATTTTTCTTTCTCTTCTTTTATTACTATTAATTTATTTTTATATAGTTATAATTTTTCCACTAATATGATCATGTTAAATAAATACCGTTGAAATTTATATAGACAATCTATTGGTTATGAATAAGAAGTGAGTTAAGGAAGAAAAGAAAAGAAAAAAGTTGAAGGGGTGTGTGAGTTTTAAGAAGTCTCATATTGGACAACTACTAAGAGGTGAGAGAGTTTATAACTCCCATCTCGCACTCCTAAATTATCCCTTAGGGCATTACGCTTTTGTGGAGGTGAGAGGAGATAGGTGGCTTTTGGTCCGCCACAAAAACGCGCGCGTGGCGGTGTCCGGCTTAGCTCGGCTCGGCGTGAAATAAAAATAATTTTTTATTTAATTTTTTGGTCCAAAATATCTCTGTCCTTATCTGTTGCTTTTCTCCAAATTCTTCAAACACGAACTGGTCACCGGTCACCGGTCGTATCCGTTCACCGAACCGGTCACTGGTTGTACCCGTTTGTGGTTGTCAGTCAATGCGGTTCACCACCGGCGGCGGTTCATCGTGACCGGTAAGTATATATCAAAAAACCCTGACCCTTTTAGAAATTTTATCCGATTTTCTGTACTGACACTCTGCCGGATTTTTTCCTCCACCTGGTTTGCATGCTCCTTCTGCCTTCCAGTATACTTTCCTCTAGCATCTTATTGTGTTTGTTCGGGCTATTGACTGATAGTGACACCATTCCTCAGGCGCAATCTGTTCTATCCTGGGAGACACTTGTCCATCAACCTTTGGCCTCAGTAAGGAGGGGAGAAATTGTCTTAAGGAGACACATTCTGTGAACTCGGATTTATTTCATCATACTGTATACTTGATCATTCTGTCTCATTATCTAACATCCTGCAAGTAATTTCCTTATTGCACCGTGTTTGATAATTCTGATCATTAATCTATTATGTTCTATACATGAGTTCAAACTTCTTAGTGATTTAATATCACCCACTATTTTCTAAATAACAAATACATATAAAAAAGCATAAAAACGAATGAGATAATGCTTTTGTGTAATTCTTACATCAGAAGATTAACAAAATTCTCTACGAATTTTATTTTTTCAAGATGCTTGTGCTTATCTTTATTTTGATCAAAGGACAGATGTTTCTTTGGATTTTTTCATTCTATCTATTCATTGAATAAGTGATGATCCAGCGGTGTTTACTCGGGAAATTTTTGGAACATCTTGTAGAAGTATTTTCTAAGGATTTTTTGCCTATGCATAAACAAGTAGTAATATATTGTCGTGAATCTCTTAGCCTTTTGGCAAACAAAATTATATATTCTTCTTCCACATAAAAATTCACGAGTTTAATTTAACTTTGAAATTAATTCTGGTAACTAGATAAAAACCAACTTAGGACAAAAAAATAATTAGAAGAATAGAATGAAAGAGAAGCCACGCGTCATTCAGTAGATGATAGGGCACATCTTATCACTTCTTCTTCTTCGTATATTATACATCATTCTGTTCTGTTCTGGATAGCCAAACCTTCGCTTCCATTTTTCACCCTTCACTCACTACCATGGCTTCATGTACCACAACCACAACACCTTCCTCCTTGATGCTCACACACGCGCAAGACCTTTCTCCCTCTCTTCGCTCTTTCTTCAACCCTAAGCCTCTCTCTAGAACCTTCTCTCTCCACCCTCTCATTTTGAAGCCCATCAAGTGGGTTCATGTCAGTTTCCACACAGAACCCAAATCCAGGTCTTGTCATGCCATCGTTTCTGCTCTCGCTGCTGAGGTTGAGGTCGCCGAAACTGTGGAGGAGAAGGAGGATGGAGTGGATGACGGTGGTGATGGTTCCACCGCCACCAACACTGTCACTGTCCCCACCAAGCCAAAAAAAGGGAAGGCTGCATTGCCTCTCAAGAGGGATAGGGTGTGTTCAAAATCTTCTCTTTTTGCTCAATAATTGGATTGTTTTGTGATTTTGATTTTGGGTTTTGATTGGAATTAGGTTTTGGGATTTTTAGTTTCACAGATTATTACCTCTTTATAATGAAATTGTTTGCTTGCTCTATGGTTTTCTTCTTGCTTATTTAATTATATGTTTGAGTATGGATTCTGCTTGTTGGCTACTATCTGTTTTTTTTTATTCTCTGTTGTGAATTTTTTCTATTTAAAATTGCCTCCATGTAGAGGAGTTTTATTTCTTTTGGCTTCTGTTTCACATCGTCTTAGGTAGCTAATGACAACAAATCGATGTAGTCATGAAAGGTGTATCTGAATGTCCTGTGCTCGTTTGGTTAGCACATAATAGTTTCCACAAGCTGCTCACGCTTTCACCTATTAAGATGAAATAATTTTGAAAATAAAATTGCCTAGTGTTTCATGAAGGTGAAGTCTCCTGAAAAGAGGTCGATGAAAAAAAACACTAGTTTATATTTCAAGGGTATGCAGTTTGAGTGATAGGGTCACAGATGCTTGAGTACTAGGTTCTTGATAGTTAGTTTTTTTGTTTGTCCCGCCATTCTATGCAAGCTTTTTTCTTGGTTGGTCATTATATTCTAGCATTTGATTTGCCTAATTCACATTTTTGTTCTTAATGAATATCTTCCTGCAGTGATGTTATAAATCTTATAATATAACCCATTGTTTCCTTCTACAATCAAGGTGATTGCTTGTGTCATTGAACTTCTCATATATGATATTATGTTTCTCCCCTTTTAAGATTAATTGTTGTTTCAATGTCCCACCAGATGAGGTCTAAGAGGTTCTTGGAAATTCAAAAGTTGAGGGAGCATAAGAAAGAGTACGACTTGAAGACAGCAATATCTTTGGTTAAAGAAACAGCTAAAACCAAGTTTCTAGAAACAGTAGAAGCCCATTTCCGCCTAAACATTGACCCTAAATATAATGATCAACAGTTAAGAGCAACAGTGAGTCTCTCCTGCTCTTTACTTGATTTTGTTATATACAAGTCCTTTGAAAATTTGAGCTGTAAATTTTACAATTCATGAATCAATTCTGAGTCTTTCGTCCAATCTTTCTTATTAGGTTAGTCTGCCAAAGGGAACTGGAAAGCCTGTTAAAGTGGCTGTTCTTACTCAAGGTGCTTATGCTTCTCAATCCTCATTCACACTTTTAGTTATTTAGAAGTTTCCAGATCATGCAGAAAAATATTTTCTTATAAAGAGAATGTGTATGAAAGAAAATGTATCCATTATGTGTGCTGTCTAGGAATTGACATACAGGAAGTTTCTGTGCCACTGCACACATTGAAAATTCATATAATTCTGGATACTGTATTTTAAGTTATTAATATCTGGTAATTTTTGCATCATCATTCATCTGTCCTTGAGCTGGCTGAATATTTACTTTTTATCAATTTATTTAAGCTCTTAAATCTGTCAGCATGTGTTCCTATCGGGTGATGGTTCATTTAAGTCTATACTAGATGATTTTTTATTTTTTTTAAGCTTCCATCATTCATTTCCTTCTTAAAGGATATATTAGTTTATAACAGTTTGTGCTTTGGAAAAGAAAATGGTAGTAACTGGAGTTGCTGATACTAATCCACAGAAACAACAAACCAACCCTTGTCCCCCTTGGGGCAGTTGGCTACATGGATCAAGTAATGTCATTAGGCTCTATCATAAACCGGATGTTTAGGAAAACCATTTAGTGAGTTGATCCATTTAGAGTTAATTGTTTAATTTTTAAAAGGGCGGGTTAGTGCTCTAGGCTCTCACCCTTGTGGGGTTTGGGAAGAAAGTGTTTAGGAAGTCAAATTTCATCAAGTTATAAGATTATTTTACTACCAATTAAAGGAAAAAATTTATTATCCATTCTCATTGCATATTTCTAGAACCATTTTTTGTGCTTTTTATTCTGCTGTTGGTGATTTGGTTCTGAACAGGTGTTAAGTTATAAGAACCTAGTTTCTTTTGCCTATAAAAACTAGCCTAATTAACCTATTAAAGAAGGAAGATAGTGACCTGCCCATATATATAACATGGTCCTGATGGGTAGGTCCAATCAGACCCAACCCATTGTTTTTAGTTTATATGTTAGCTTCTGTAAGTACCAGGTACCTATATGGGTATTTTTAAATTCAAGTAAAATATAAATTAAAAGAAAAAATTTAAAAATTATAAAGAATATATGTATAATTAATTCGCGTGGAAGCTAAATGCATGTTTGGATTAGCCTATTTTTGGGGGAAAAAACTTTTTTTGTTTTTGGGCATCTTCCTGAGATAGTTTTTTTAAAATATTTTTTATTAAACAATGTCTTCCCAGAAATGATCATTTCCAAATTATGCTATATATAGTACATATTAAAAGAGAAAAAATATTTAAAATTATATGTATAGTTGTACTTTCCTTCTTTTCTTTCTTATAAAATATTTCAAGGCAATCTAACTTTTGAGTGAATGCATAGAATGAGTATATGGCGAGATAATCGAAGTTATGAAAGGACGAGTTTTTTATGTAGATTAAAATGAATATTGCAAATTGCACATTAATATTCTTCATTGAAAGATATGGATAATAGCTTTTAAAGTTTAACAAACAAAAAAATGTGGACAGGAACAGGATAACACCTACCCATCATATAGTTGGGTTATTAATGGACATGTTGGGTTATTAATGGACATGTTGGGTTTTTCTTTACAGTTCTCAAAAGGGAATCAAATAGGCAAGAGGCCAATTAGTATTCCTACAATCCTACCATTTACAGTCTATGTATAACCTGGCCAACCAACCTAATTGGCACTTATAATTCATAATATTCTTCTTCTTTTTTTGCTTTGTTTGGCTATTCTAATTCAAAGTCCATTTTGATAGGTGAAAAATTCGATGAAGCAAAAAATGCAGGAGCTGATTTGGTGGGTGGAGAAGACCTGATAGAACAGATTAAAGGAGGGTTCATGGAATTTGATAAATTAATTGCTTCTCCAGATATGATGCCTAAGGTATTACTCTGTTCCAATTTGCTGATTAGATTTTCTCTAACTCAAAAGTTTTTTTTTTTAAGTATAGTTCGAGTAAACCAGAAAATGGTGTAATCTCAATGAGTGATCTGAAAAGTTGGTAACTGGCTGAATTGTTTGCAAATCTGGTTCTTCTAATATGGATTAAAAATCCCCTTTTGAGTGGTTGATAAATTTAATTCTGATTAGTCTAGAGACCACCGAGTTCATTTAAATCAGGGTGTCCAAATGTCTCATGAATGCATGCTTAGTCTGTGCTTGGATAGAAATATCAGTTGATTTTCTTCGTGTGCTAATAAAATCTTTTATAAATGAATTCTTTAATTACATAGCATCATATGGGATGCTACCCATATATTCCTGCTTGACATTTCAAATATCTTTCGATAAGATTTATTTGTCTTCTCTGTATATTTTTTGATAAACTAATAGACCAAGTGTCACTCAATTGGTAGCAATAGCATGCTATAAGGTGCTTTTCTTACTCTTCAAAGCTACTATGGTTAGACCTTTAGATATATTGTCCTGATAATTTTTCTTACACTTTTTGAAGAATTTTTTAAGGATTGTTATTTGTTATGGAAACTCCCGTAAATGTCATTGTCGATTGTGTCAGGTTGCTAGCCTAGGGAAGATTCTGGGGCCAAGAGGACTGATGCCAAATCCAAAAGCTGGCACTGTTACACCCAATATTCCTCAGGTGTATTTTTCACTTTTATTGTTTATTTTCTTTCCCAGTTCATTTTAGCTGATTGTCTATGCATATATAACATATATTGGACTTTTTTGCAAAATGTATAAGCCATACTTGCTTACAGAAATGTAAGATTGAAGTTTTTTCTTCTTTATGGTTCCCCCCCTCTTTTTCTGAACAAAATAGATGTAGATGGGAACAGCTTTGATTTAGCACAAATGCTTATGACAAGGGTGCATGTTTTTTGTTTCACAAAAATTGAACTCTTGGTTAATCAGAAAGCCTTTAAATTCACCATTACAGGCTATAGCAGAATTCAAGCAGGGAAAAGTTGAATTCAGGGCAGATAAAACTGGAATTGTGCACTTACCTTTTGGAAAAGCTGACTTTCCTGAAGAGGATCTTCTTGTAAACTTGATTGCTGCAATAGTATGTTCTTCCCTCATCAGCCTTTCTAACTGTATTTCACTCAATGATATACTTTTAACTTATTGTCCTAATTTCACAGAAATCAGTAGAGGCAAACAAACCGTCGGGTGCTAAAGGCGTGTACTGGAAAAGTGCACACATTTGCTCAGCAATGGGGCCTTCAATTAGGTTAAATATCAGGGACATGCTTGATTACAGGCTTCCATCAGAATAGAACACCTGTAAATGCTTGTTTTGACGTAGTCAGCTTTCGGGGTGCCATTGTGAGATCCTTCCAAATACAATAGTCAAAGATGTTACCAAAGTTACATACGGGGATTAACTTGGGATAGTTTGATGGTTATATCTCTGTTAAAAATCTGCACCAAAAGTATGCACACTTCATGGTCTTTGACCCCCCCCTGGCTGAGGATTTTCCTTGTATTATTTTGTAACTAACACCGGAGATTTAATTATTTATATTTGATAATCAGGCTTTCCCTCTTCACTCATAGCTTTAAATATAGCACGAAATAAAAGAAAATTAGTAACTCTGGTTACAGGATTGCAGAAACTCCAATTTTAACAAATTTCTCAGCCACTGCTGTTGTTATTTGTAATTTGGGTCTTTTTAGTGTTATTTGTATCATGTTTTTATTTTTTTTATTTTGCACTTTGGATCTGCTGATCAGCATGTTTATGGGCTTGGATTCACTTTCTTTTCGTGGAGGTGTCATCATTAATGAATGAAGGCCACACTTACGTGGGTGCGACAATCAGGATTAGGAACCTTTCTTGCTATTCCATTATTATTTAGGTTAAAATAGTTGCGCTCGATAACATTTGAAACCAACAAATTGCCTCCTACCATGTCCAAAGGATAAACAAACCTGCTTATGTATTTAATCTCTTTTCTAATGTTACATGAAATAATATCTTTCATGCCAATAAATATAATAAATGGTGGGGTTCATCACTTGTTAAAAAAAGCAAAAAAAAAAAAAAAGATTTTGAAACTAAAAAATAATTTTTGTTAATTTAATGGTGAATATTTCTTGCAGCCGATCTTTACATGAGATGAGACTCGTAATATATAATGCTAGACTGGAACAAAGACACTGCTTACGTAAGAGTGTTTCTTCAATTTAGGTATTGCTTACCTCAGAAATGAAGATGTGAAGGGCATAGCTTCGGGATAACTGTTTGTTAGATTGTCTAATGTCGTAAAGAATTGGCAGTGGCACTGATCTAGGACCCAAAGTCCGTGTCGTACGTGGGTGATTCAGGACATGTGTGGTTTTTATCAAAGCTTTTTGTGGCGTGCATTTGCAGGAAAAATATTTCAATCATACAAGTGGAGCCCAAGGAGCGACTAAACCTTGTTACGTTGTTGTTGCCACTTGGCACAACATGTGTACACAAAAGATTTTTTTTTTATTTTAGTACAAAAATGTTCTGGCAGGGGAGATACTGGTATGTAACCCATCAGAGTCAGGGCAGACTTGTTCAACCTCTATGAGAATTTACGTCAAGAACAGTGGAAAGAAAACCCGCTTTACAATTTACCCACCAACATGAGTCTCAAAACTACCGGAGAGAATCGAACTCATATCTTTTTCGAATATGTTGGCGTACACAAAAGACTTTGCCCATACATGTTCTATTTTGGACAGTGTTATCAAAAGTGCTGATTCGTTTAGGTAGTACCTTGTCTTTCTTACTCCCAACAAAATTCGGTTTCGTAGAAATTTAGCCATAATCAAAAGTTATTAGCGGACTAAACAAGTTAGCTCAAGGAGCTGATCCAAAAATCAAGGTTCATTGTTAGACAATCGATCGGGTACACCAATTAAAAATGTGATTTTCTTAAAAATAGCAAATAACAAAAAAAAAAAAAACTCATAAAAAAAGGAGATATATAATAAGGGTTGTGTGGGGTGGGTGGGGAACGATTAGCAGAGAAGTATTATTCATTGCATCCACAATTTGTTTATTGATTTTTTGTAACGTTTTTCTTTTTTTTGTATGTGGGTGTGTGTGTATAATTTCTCTTTCTTTCCTTAAATTGGATGATTTAATAAACCTGGTGTTTTTAGCTGGGTCAATGGTTCGGAGTGACTGGGATGTTTGATAACTCCAATTTTGGAGATAAATTTAGTGTCATAAAATTATTATTGTTAAGAGTGCTTGAGATTCGGCTGAACTTGATAATTTGATTTTGCTTGAAGCTAATTAATTTAATTGGATTCATGTGCTGATAATTAGATCTGGTTTGGAGCTATATTTTAGATTGACTTGACTTGATGTTACATATTATTTTAAAATTATTATTTTTTGAACTCATGATAAGCTATAAGATTTCCTGAATAAAATTAATGTATTTTAAAATATCCCTTACTTTAGTTTTTAAAATTTTTATATCTTAACTATACGTAAATTTATATTTGCATACTTTGTATAAATATTTGTTCGACCTGGTCCTCATTAGTTAAGCCATAACAATTTGAGTCTTTAAGTTTGAAAAATTAACCCTATCAAAACATTAGATCAAGTTAAAGCTAATTTTATTACCAAAAAAAAGAAGTTAATTTAAACCTGACTGAACTCAATAAAGAGAAAGAGCATCCTTATTGCTTACGGTGAACGTTTTGATAGATGATAAATTTTTCCATGCTCCGAAATCATGATCCTTAAGAATATGGTGAAAAAGTTATTTTCTTGAGAATGTTAGCAAAAAATTATTTGATAAGCTAAAATATTATCGAGATTTTGTCCCAAAAAATGTGTAAAATTTTTCTAGCACTGGGAATTTCAAGAATATCATCCCTTTGGGGATATTTTTGGAAGAAAAGTTATACACAAAACAGATTTCAAATTTTTTTTTTAGAAATCTTATACCAAACATGGGTAAATAAAATTATCGCTATCACTATCCAAAAAATCTCAAAAAATTCCACCTACCAATCACCCTCTAATTATAATTGATTATGATGATGGGCGGAATATTTAAATAAGATGGAATGAAATATAACTATTATATTATTACTTGGATATTTTTATAATGAAATGAAATGTTCATTTTATAACTCTGAATATGATATTAATATTTCTTTTATTATAAAAGATAATTTAATCTTCTATACACATATATAAAAGTGAGATTTATATCTTTTATTTCTCTCTTTGTTTGATATGATCTCACATGAATTTTATATATTTTTATAAATATATATAAAAAATAAAATTTATCTCGTACAACACAAAGGAAAGTTAATGTTACCTAGATTATTAATATGCTCCCAGAACATGAACAAACAGTAGAAGCGTTGTTGTGTAGTGCGAAACGGTGCGTTTAAACTTTATAGACAATGTGGGTGCCAGCTATGTCCACATCAGTCTTCTCTTCTTCTCGCTCTATCGTCGTCTTGTTCCTCCATGCTGTTGAGTTAGGGTTTTCATTTCTTCACGCATTCCCTTCTTCCGATCCATATTTCAACGCATCACAACAACCGCAACATCATATTTCGCTGTCTACACCATACTCAACGGTACGATTTTTCATCCTTTGACTCTTAATCACTTATTTTCCCAAAACGAAGCTTACACTGTCACTCTCTAACTGGTTCTTCGGTTTCAGCACTTCCAAAGTCAAACATTTAAAATTTCAATCATTTTCAACATTATTATTTTTGGTGTTTGAAAGTTGTCTGTTGTTGGATTTGGTGATCGCACCACTTAATGTTCTCATTTAATGCTAAGAACTAAGAAGAAGAAAATAAAAAAAAATCGGTGTTTATTGCTTTTCTCTGCTGGACCCATGTTATCACAGTGCCTCTATACAACTTTCATTGTGCTGTATAAACCTAGAGTTCAGTCATGGGTATCAATTCAAGTCTCCGAAAATTTAGTTGTATCTTTTTGGGGTTTTATCTTTGACAGAAGGTTGTTCCTCTCTAATGATTGAAACTGTAATCTAATCTGAGGTGAGAGGCTTTATTTATTTTATTATTTATTTAATTTTTTGGTAAAAAGGCTCAAATCTCGTTGACACTTTTGGTGATGTGAGCTTTATGGATAAGTATGGTATGCACCCATTGTTTGGCCAGAAAACGAGAAGCATAACATAACTACTTAAACCCTTTTTTTCCTTTGATTTGTATAGAAAATTGTGGAAACAAAATTTAGGGTTTGAAAAACCAGAGTTTTGTATTCCACATGCACTGCGATGTTTGTAGTACAGTTCTTAGGCTGGCCTATTTTTACTATCGTGACGTATCGACTATTCAAACTTGCATTTTGAATTGATGCCCTAGAAAAATTGCTGCTAAATGTATCTCCGAGATTTTTTCAGACTAGAAAATCTTGAAATTCAATCTCATTGATTCTGTCCCATGCAGTAGAATATTTATGTTGGCTTTAGGAATTAAATGGTAGTCTGAAAGTACTTAGTTCCAATTATCATCTTTCTACGGACTAAATTATTCTCTTAATTTTTAATCACAGATCTCGAGCTTGGAGGTATTACCAAGTTTGCTGCATCGCTATGGGCTACCAATTGGCTTATCACCAACAACCACTCGGTTCTCCTATATAAAACTCGATGGTACCAGAGGGCTAGGGAGTTATGGGCTGCTTTCAGGATGCCAATTGTAATAGGGGTAAACACTGATATAATTGAATTATACTTCCTAGTCAGTGAATCATTAATGTACTGTTTAGGTTTGCATAAGCTGCTGATTGTGTGTTGAACCCCGTTTAAGGTAATATGGGTTATCGTTGGGGTGTTCATACTAAACTATGTATCAACAAATTCCTAATTTTTTTTTAAAATCTTCATTTAGATCAAGGCACATTGATATGTGTTGAGATATATAAAACCACTAATGTAGCCCTCACCCACAAGCTTAAGCTTTTGGGTTTAATTGGTTCTTTACATTGTATCAGAGCCTCGTGTTCCGGGTTCGATTCTCACCGCCCCCCACTTTCTTTCAAGTGGAATTTCTTTGTTCGCACAGGTAGGTAGGCCTGTGCATTGTCCACCCTTCAAGCCCAGTGAGCTCTCGTGTGAGGGGGCGTGTTGAGATATATAAAACCATTAATGTAGCCCTCACCCACAAGCTTAAGCTTTTGGGTTGAATTGGTTCTTTACAATGTGCATTGTTGGCTTGCATTATCTTCAAACAGCATTGTTCTATGAATTTTACTTTTGTTAATCAAGTGCTAATTAACTTGTTGCAGGTTCTTTGTGCTGTCAGCTGATTCTATTTTTCATCTGGCTTCATACTTTCCAAGATGTTACAGCACAAGAAACACATGCTGACCCTAGGCGAATTTCTTCTCTGGTAGAGTTAGCTAAGGAACCTGCTTCTGGAGAATCTGAACTCTTTGACCCCATAGAAATATCGCCTGCTGTCATACCAAAATTCCCATATCCCACCGAGACTTTTCCACCAATGTACCCTTCTTTCCCAACCAGATATGAACCAGTTTTAACTGGTAAATGCCCTGTAAACTTTTCACATTCAGATATATCAACTATCCTAGATAAAACAGCATTTGATTGCTCTGCACCTTTGGCAGCCCTTGTAGGGAACGTAATATGTTGTCCACAGTTTGGTAGCTTAATCCACATCTTCCAGGGTTTCTTCAGCATGAAATCTGATAATTTGGTTTTGCCAAATGCTGTTGCTGATTATTGTTTTTCTGATATCATTAGTATCCTAGCCAGTAGAGGGGCAAATAGTACGATCCCCACACTTTGCTCCATAAAATCATCTAATATTACAGGCGGTTCATGTCCTGTGAAGGATGTTTCGACTTTTGAAAAAACAGTCAACACTAGTAAATTACTTGAGGCTTGCAGCACGGTTGATCCACTTAAAGAGTGTTGTAGACCTATTTGCCAGCCTGCAATAATGGAAGCAGCACTTCAGATTTCTGGAGGACAAATGATGATCAATAATAATGAAAATGTGGCTGGGGAAGTGAATCACACTGATTATTTTAATGATTGTAAAGGTGTGGTTTATTCATATCTATCCAAAAAATTATCATTTGAAGCCGCAAATACTGTATTCCGACTACTATCTGCCTGCAAAGTCAACAAAGGTACATCATTTAACTATTTGACTCTTAATGATATATATTTGGATTTTATAGTTTGTCAATGGCATGACTAATCATCTCATTTATGGAAAAAATGGCTTTGGAATGTGGGTAAAATGTAATATAATTAAGTGACTTTATATTACTGGTCCAAGTGTACCTTAGTCTGCACATATTTAATTATTTTTTGTGATATCAGTTTATTGCTCCTGATTCTTGTGCTGTGTTACTTGGGTGTTTCCTTTATTTATGTATATATCCTGTTTGTAAAAGAGAGATTGGGTCCCAACTGGAAAGAGTTGGATATTTTTTTTTTTTTTTCATTGTGGACAAACAAAGATTGCTGGCACTTTGTATAGAAATACATGCCCTATAAACATTAAGGGCAAAGGGAAAATTCCGGTACATAAGTCTCCACGACTTGCCAAGGTAGGAGTGAGGGTTAATTATATGTAGTCTTATCTTTGCACTTTTGCACATGCCCTACAAACAATTTTAAATAAAAATAAATTTGCATTTCGGGATCCCATATAAATTTAACTGTTCTCCAAAGCACACAAGTCAAATTGTGCGATGCATTTACCTAAAAAAAAATGTATTCATGACTAGGTTATTAATAGCAGCGCTATTGCATGCTATACAGCTACTGGCGCGTGTAGCAGTTCCCAGCTTCTATTTCCGCTATGCGATGGTTTGCTGTAGCAGCCATAGTGGTCACAATAGTGGGTAGAAGATCATGGCTGTAGCAGCCACAATTGTGGGTAGTGGAATGTGGCTGAAGCGACACGCTAGTCATGACTAGGTTATCAATAGCAGCACTATAGTGCGCTACACTGCTACTGGCACGCGTAGCAGTTCCCAGCTGCTATTTCTGTTACGCGTTGCTTTTTTTGTAAGCAGTGGTAGTGGCCACGATAGTGGGTAGTGGATCATGGCCGTAGCAGCCACAATCGTGGGTAGTGGAATGTGGCTGTAGTGGCACGGTGAAGGAATTGCAATAATCAGACTTTTAAGTTGAGAACCCTATTTGGTATTCCTCTCTCAATCTCGGCTCTCCTGCCTCTCTTCACTCCTTCGACTCTCTTACTCTTCCCTACTGCCTCTCTCCACTCTTGCAACTCATATCCGGTGATTTACCTGCAAGCCCACTCACTCCTCTCTTTGACTTTGTTTATGGTGATTTATCAGCATCAGTGAATTACCCCTCTGTTTTCTTGCGATCCACTCATCAATGTTGGTAACGACACACACTAGCCTGTAAGGCGAGTTCCTCTGTTTTCAGCTGACCAATACCTTAGGTGAAGATAATGCTGGACTCATCCTCTGCCTGTAATTTACCATGAGCTGTCAAAAACTTATATTTCATATTTCCAGCGAGTATCTTCCCTGAATCTCTTGCTCTCTGTTCAGCTCCAGTATTTCCAGGTCAATTGAGAGTGACTATGGAAATTTGTATTTGACAGTATTTAGATCCTTCCTTTATGTTCCTTAAATGATGTTAATTTAGTTCCTTTCAAAGACTTTCTGTTGCTTCTTATGTTTCTTGAATCCTTGTTTGGAATGAGAGTTATGATAGATTTAAGTATGAATGAATGATTTTAATTTTGGGTATTTTTTAATTTTGAGCATTTATGTGTTGTATAATTTAATTTTGCATTTAAGTGGACTTAATTTAATTTAGCATTTAAGTGGACTTCACTGTAGTAACTATGCTGCTACCCGCTATAGTGTTTTGGGGTCGGCCGCTGGCCGCTGCCCACACGATTATTAACTGTGATTCATAACATATATTTAAAATTGTTATCCGTGTTCCAGAGATTGAATTATATTTGTGTTTCGCTCTCTTTTAACTCTTCTAATGAAGTAAATCTTGCTGGTGCAGTTTGTCCTTTGACTTTTAAGGAGCCTTCAGAAGTAATTTCTGTATGTCGAAATGTAGCTGCTCCTAGCCCTTCCTGCTGTAGTTCATTAAACACATATATTGCAGGGATACAAAAGCAAATGTTAATTACAAATAAACAAGCAATAATATGTGCAACACTTTTTGGGTCTATGTTACGTGGAGGTGGAGTGATGACAAATATTTATGAGCTCTGTGATGTTGATTTGAAAGATTTCAGCATACAACGTATTTATCCTGCTCCTTTGATATTCTTATTTTCTGCCCATGACCATTCATTTAATTTATCTGATCTAATTCTTCTTCTGTTGTGGCTCTGCACGGTGCTGGTGCAGCATATGGAGTACCAGGTTTGCTGTTTTTTCCTACTCCTTGCATTTTATTCACTGCATTTATTTTTAGGGATTAATGTCTTTCATGTTGTAGGAGATAAATTTTATCTCCTACACACACATAAAAGTGTGGGAGGCTCATATTTTTTTTTTCTCTCTCTTATCTTCACATGGCTCCATTTACTTTTATGTGTGTGTAGGAGATAAAATTATCTCCTATAAAATAAGAAACATCAAACCCTTATTTTTAACTCAATAATCTGTTTACATGCTGACCTAAACTAGTTTGAGATAAATGTGATGTTGATGGATCTGTTTACACATTGGTTCAACCATCACATGGTGTTGACAGCTGGGACTTGAGAACTTGATGATATAATATCTGATAATTGAATACAATCAGTGCTATTTAGGAATTATTTCCCTGTTCTTTTAGAAGGGTGATGGATTTTGTTTTGTCAATTGAACCTGCATGTGGGGTATGAGAGATGCATACTTACTTTGAAGGAATGATTGTATTGTTAGTAAGATTGATTTTGTTGGTTTATATGCAGGATGTCTACTTCGAAGCTTGCCTGCAGACGTAATATATGACAATTCAACAGGTGTTAGCTTTACATGTGATTTGAGTGACAATGTTGTTGCGCCCTGGCCTTCATCATCTTCTATGACATCCGTGTCACTCTGTGCACCTGGTATGTGTTTGGACAAAGTTACTTGGATCATTGCTTACTTTTCATGCAGGATGTTTATATTCCAAATTATTGTTCGCATTTGCTTAACTTGTGTTTTTATTTGGAGTTCTGCAGAGATGTCATTACCTGCACTACCAACTTCGCAGACATTGAAAAATATTGGTGAGTGCCTTTTTGGTTCATGTTCCATTTTGATATCTTTTATGAATTTATACCATCCAGGTTGTCTGTTGTTGACAAATTCAATACACATTCCTTAAATGTTAAGTTTCTAGCATTGTGCATATCCAAGTTCAACGTTTTGGATACAGAAATTATTCTTTTGTCGCATTGTCTCAAAGTTCTCCTCTCTAAATATGACTGGAGGGCTATCTATTCATCTTTCTCAATTGTTACCGAGCAAAATTTTGACAAGGTGAATATGGTGCATTTTGCAGGCTGTAACTCTGGTGGAGAGGGATTCCTTGTGCTTATTTTTTCATTTTTCTTCTTCAGTACACTGTTGTACTGAATAGATTTTAGGGTTCAGATGCGTGTCGGCTGGGCATTTCAAAGTGTCTTTGGTGTGGGTTTTGCATGTATATTTTTGAATGGCCTCATTGTATAGCATCCTCTTTATTCCCCCATTTTCATGTGTCTTCTGCTTGTATGTTCTGTGCTGATGATTCCTGAGTTGGTGCTCATGATTTAGGATCCATAATTATGCTGTGAAGGGTTCGATTGTTTTGTGTTGAAATGCAGACGAGCAGACCCAAGATTAGGCACTATAAGTTCTGCTTACTATACCAGCATCAAGGGCTTGTTAATTCTGATTCGGAAAGAGGGGGCCGGTGTGGATGCTAGTATTGAGTTTTGCTTCCCCTACCTAATTATGTAAAGAACTTTGGGATACACTACTTCAAAAGCTAGCTTAAAGGGTGAGAGTGCCCAAGGCCTCTTATGAAGGCCACATTAGCTGTCTACACAATCAATGTGAGACTATATATCTCAACACGCCCCTTCACGCAAAAGTCCTTTGGGTTAGAAGCGTGGAATTGCACAGGCCCAATGTGGGACTATATATCTCAACAAATTCCAACAATACATTTAGGGCCTTTGGTAAAGAGATAAATTTTAATGTACCAAAAAAAAGAAGAAAAAAGAGATAAATTTTAGATTCTCATCAGTACAATGTTTTTAAAAACTTTTCTGGGAAAATAAGATTTCTATAGGAATTAAAATTGTTAATAAGAATTCCATGAAATAATGCATGAGGTGAATAGGAAATTTTACATAATATATAAGACATAAATAATCTTGTTTTAATATTTTTATGATTAAAATATTCTCTTCTGTTCTTTTGTTAAAGCACTAGGAGTGATACTCTTTCTCTTCCTTTTCACGATGCATTTCCTGGGTTCTTTTCTTTCCTTTTATAATGTTTTTTTGAGTTAATATTCCTAGGAATATTTTAATCTATCAAACAGTTGCTTAGTAACATTTTTCTAAAATTTACTTTGTCAGCATATTTTTAATATGCAGGAATCATAATTCCCCCCTCCCCTCCCTCAAATAACGCCCTCTTAGTAATTGTATTAGGTTATTTAAATTGTTAAATTTAATGAATTGCGTATGAATTAAACATAATTGAGTAGTTTTTTTATTATTTTAATCTGTGAATTGTTTCATCAGAAGGTTAATATAATGATAATAGGAAAATATTATTCTCCTTTCACATAAGATATCTTCTCTCATGTTTTCTCACTTCGATTTTCGTATTCCATTTTTTTTTTCTTGTAATGGTGGGATTCGCCTATTTTCTTTTTATAACATAAGATTTATCTGATGTTAAATGAGATTAATAAAACTCATGATAATAATACAGCGGATTATAAACCGGATGGAATAAAACCAGAGAAGACGGTGGAGAGGCTACTAATGAAGCAAGAGGCGGTGAGGCTCCTCAACACGATAGCGCTAAAACTCTTCCTAATGAGGTGAAAAAAAAGGTTTATTTTAAAATTAAATAAGGAATTTTTTTTTTGATGAGAGTTAATTCTGCTCCCTGTTTCACTGTTTAAATATTCAAATATGGGGGATTAACTCCTCTATGCCTTTCTAATCCCGTTCCCCTCTAAAATAAATATAAAAAAAGTTAACATTTTACATACTTGTATAGTTGCTCTGAGTTGTATAGGGAGAAAAAGAAACCCTTTTATTCTTTCCCTAGTCTAACTACATTTTTGTTGTAAGCTGAGCGATGGAGCAAAGAGAAAAAAATACATGAATTTTTTTACCTGGGATTCTTTGATCTTTAGAGTGTGATAGCGTACAAGCACGTACATGGAGACAAATTAAATTTACCCAACAGGACCAGCCGAACAAGCGTTTGTAGTCCAACGGTTAGGATAATTGCCTTCCAAGCAATAGACCCGGGTTCGACTCCCGGCAAACGCACATACTTTCTTTTGGTTTTTTATTACATTTCTTCAGTTTTCATGCGATTAGAAAAAGCTCTTTAACTTGGATTTCTATGACTCCTTCTGCCTCAGTAAGTAACTACATATCCGCTCTCAGGTTAGGTTATTGTTTTTTTCTTGTCGAGGTTGAACGAATCTCAGTTTAGCATATTTAGGGATTGCATTATGTTATTCTTCCCTGTTTCTTGCTCTTATAAGGAAAATGTTATTGATTATGTTAATTATCCTTTGGTAATTTTTGTGTTTTTCTGCATAATTTTGCAGAATCGCTTAGGTGCTATTTCAATGTTTGAATCTTCATCCATTATTTTCGTATTATTATCGTATATCAATCATCTCCAAACAGAGCTTTATTATTTTTTTTTCATTATTTTCAAAAAGTTATTTTGATTTATTGAAGAACTGTACGCTATCCGTCCTACTCTTTGAAGCTTGTAATTGGGATAAAAAGGAAATCAATCAGGTGTATGGGTGCATAAATTATTCTTTTATTTTTTTTCATTTTTATGTCATTTTTTTTTCCTGTAGAGATTATTAAATAAATACGGTATTTGAAAATTGAAAGACCCTTGCATTAGCCCTAGTTCACGAATAAAACTTAGTACTATCGTCGCAATTAATGCTCAGTGCGACGGTGAAATTATACCTATGTATGTATGGAAAGCATATAGTTATAATGTTAAAATTATTTTCTTTTTTCTTTTTTTTTCAGAAACTTATTTATTGAGGTGTAGAGAAAAAAAATTCTAATATTATAACTATGTACTTCCTATGTAGTTATAATAGCAGTGAAACGGTACTAAAGTTTTATTCCCAGTTCACATGGTTTTGTGGACTTTTTAAATATCAAACAAGATGGTAGGGCACGGCACTACAAGGCGCCAGAGTGCATACATGTTGTTGAAAATTACATGGTTCAGTTTTGACTTTGGAACCCTTGCATGGAAAAAAAGGTACGCTTATCTTGTTACGTGGAATAAGGACATATAGATAGGTTGAAAATTGAGAAATATTTTCAACCCCTTGCGTGGAAAAAAAGTATGTTTACTGTGTTATGTGGAAATTAATGTCATATAGATAGGTTGGAAATTAAGAAAAATTTCCTTGTTTGCAGCACAACATCAATGGAAAAGATGTCTATAGTTAGATTGTTGTTACCATTTTTGTGCCTGTTACTTACAGATTATGCTCTCGGCAGCCATGCTCAACCTGTTGATTGCTTATCTTCTGATCGAGAAGCTCTTATAGACTTCAAAAATGGGCTTGAAGATCCTGAGAATCGGCTCTCTTCATGGACGGGCAACAAATGTTGTCAATGGTGTGGAATAAGTTGTGACAAAATCACTGGTGCAGTTGTTGCAATTGATCTCCAAAACCCCCATCCACTGTATGGATTGTTGAACCTGAGTGGTGGGATAAAGCCATCTTTGATGAAGCTCAAGTCACTAAGGCATTTAGACTTGAGTTTTAACACATTCAGTGGCATACCAATTCCTGCGTTCTTTGGATCACTAGTGAATTTGCAATATCTGAACCTATCAAATGCTGGCTTTGGTGGCATAATTCCTCCAAATTTGGGAAACCTTTCTCACTTGCAATTTCTTGATCTCCAGTTTTTAAGCTTACATGTTGAAAATCTACAATGGGTGGCTGGCCTTGTCTCTTTGAAACATCTGGCCATGGATGGAGTTGAACTTTCATTGGTAGGAACAGACTGGGTTAGTGCATTTAACCAGCTTCCTTCTTTAACTGAATTGCATCTATCTTCTTGTTTGCTGCATGGCTATATTCCATCTCTTCCATCTCTCAATTTCACTTCACTTGCTGTTCTGGATCTTAGTTCTAATAACTTTGTTTCAAAGATACCTGATTGGATTGTAAATATTAGCAGCCTACAACTTATTGATATAAGCAATAATGATCTGTATGGAAGAATACCGCTTGGTTTAGGAGACCTGCCAAAGTTACTGTTCTTGCATTTAGAGGGAAACAGCAATCTTACAGCAAGTTGTACTCAACTCTTCAGGGGAAGATGGGAAGATATACAAGTGCTTGATTTAGCATCTAATAAATTACATGGGAAACTTCCTTCATCCTTTGGAAACTTGACTACTCTCACTTACCTTGATCTTAGCTATAATGGTATTGGGGGTGGTATCCCAGGTTCCATTGGTAAACTCTGCAACTTGAATACTTTTGATTTGTCAGGAAACAACATGACAGGAACCCTGCCTGAATTTCTTCAAGGAACAGATAACTGTCCTTCTAGAAAACCTCTGCCTAATATGGAGAATTTTATCATCAGCGACAGCCAGCTGGCTGGTAAAATCCCAGATTGGTTAGTTCAACTAGAAAATCTTGTCAGTCTCGGTCTTGCAGATAATCTGCTTGAAGGTTCCATTCCTGTTTCCTTAGGGTCATTGCAAAATCTCCACACCTTGGAACTTGAAAGGAATAAACTAAATGGGACTCTACCAGATAGTTTAGGACAACTTTCTGAATTGTCACGCTTAGATGTTTCCTCCAATCAGTTGACAGGCATGGTCACTGAAGCCCATTTTTCAAGGCTAAGTAAGTTAGAGATTTTAAATTTGTCCTCCAATTCATTCACCGTGAATGTCAATTCCAATTGGATCCCTCCATTCCAAATCTGGTTTCTTGATATGGGTTCATGTGCTTTGGGACCTTCATTTCCGGTTTGGCTGAAATCACAAAATCAGGTCCATTATTTAGACTTTTCAAATGCTAGCATTTTTGGTTTTATACCAAACTGGTTTTGGGATATTTCGTCACACTTGGTACTTGTAAACATTTCCCATAATCAGTTACAGGGGCGGCTTCCAAATCCATTACCTGTTGCATTTGCTTCGGTTGATGCAGTTGATCTGAGCTTTAATCTTCTTGAGGGTGCAGTTCCCGTTACAACACCTGGATTTGATTTGCTAGATCTCTCACACAATCGCTTTTCTGGTGCGATACCTTGGAACATAAGTCATTACATGAGATATATGACATATTTATCTCTTTCTCATAATCAACTCTATGGAGAAATACCGCTGTCTTTAGGGGAAATGATCTTCATTACTGTCATTGATCTTTCAAGCAACAACTTAACAGGGAGGATCCCTCCAAGCCTTGCGAATTGTTCTTTGCTGGAAGTACTAGACCTTGGGAACAATAGCCTATATGGGACAGTTCCGGGTTCTTTAGGTCAGTTACAACTGCTAAGATCACTGCACCTTAGTGACAATTACTTTTGGGGAGATTTACCATCATCTTTTAGAAATTTGTCCAATTTGGAAACCATGGATCTTGGAAACAATGGATTTTCAGGTATTATTCCACCTTGGTTTGGGGAAGGCTTTGCACATCTTAGAATTCTTAATTTGAGGTCTAATGCATTTTCTGGAGAATTGCCTCCGGAGCTTTCAAAACTAAGTTCATTGCAAGTCCTTGACCTTGCAAAAAATGACTTGACTGGCAGCATTCCACCTAGCTTGGGTGATCTGAAAGCAATAGCTGAAGAGCAGAAGAAAAATACATATTTACTATATGGAGAATATGTAGGTCACTACTATGAAGAAAGCTTGGTTGTGTACACAAAAGGCCAAAGTTTTAAGTATACCAAGACTATTTCCCTTGTTACTAGCATAGACCTTTCTGATAATAACTTAACTGGAAATCTTCCCCATGAAATAACAAAACTATCTGGTTTGGTGGTTCTCAACTTGTCAAGAAACCATATAACTGGCCAAATTCCTGAAGGCATGTCAAATCTGCATCAGCTATCATCTCTTGATCTCTCGAGTAATCAACTTTCTGGCACAATTCCTTCAAGCTTGTCTTCCTTGTCATTTTTGGGGTTCCTAAATTTGTCCAACAACAACCTCTTTGGTGCCATTCCTTATACATATCACATGACAACCTTTGATGCATCTTCTTTTACTGGGAATCCTGGTCTCTGTGGTCCTCCCCTTCCTGTGGGGTGTCAAGGTGATAATGATCTTAGTCATGACTCTGACGAGAGACTAAGTAATGATGATGAATTGATTGATGAGTGGTTTTACTCGAGTCTTGGTTTGGGGTTTGCAGCTGGTATTCTGGTTCCTTGTTTCATTTTAGCAATCAAGAGATCTTGGGGTGGTGCCTTTTTTTATTTTGTGGATCAAGTTATTGACAAATTATTGAGCCTCAGACACCGATGAGGAATAAATCATGGCCAAAAGAAGCAGTCTCATCACAGGCAGTGGTTAACGAACTTGACCCATGCATGCTTATTTCGTTTTGTACAAGGTTTGCTTTTGCTATAGTACTAAATAACAAGCACAAAAAGAAAAAGAAAAAGAAAAACAAAATACAGCATCCACCAATTAAAGATTCAAATTCAATGTATAATGAATAATTGGCTTCCTGATATATATATATATATATATATGTTGAATATTATGCCATAACTTTGAGTGCTTAGCTTAGTGGTAAATATTCAAGCAGGTAAAGCCAATATCTATTATTTTTGGGGTTAAATTTTCATTTTATGTTCGATTTGTACAAAGTTTCATGCCAAATCACTTTTAAAATGAAAATTTCTAAAATATAAATCAAATGCAAACCAAATTTTCGGAAAAATTAATTCATTCAAAATTTACTTGAAACACACAGAAGCTATTTTTGGCTGGTCTAAAATGCTCTTTAAATTTGTATCATTGAATACAATAAATATTCGAGAAAAGATATTTATGTAAATTATGTGAGATATATAAATTATTTTAAAAAAAAGTTGCGATAGGATGTTATCTAATAACTTTAAATACAGGTATCGAAACTATAAGTATTCAGAAATATAATTTAATATGATGAGGGTTGAGGTAATTTGTATTAGGTTATGTTTAATTTTTACCATTGTATCCAAAAAAAAATATTGATACAGATTAAAAAAAATATACAAACATGATAATTTTGATGCTATTATTTAATAAAAAAATTATGATATTACTATGTTTGTAATGAATTAATATTAAATTTTTATTTTTAATTAAGATATTTTTACTAGTATAATTGTGAGTCAGTGAGACAGATAACACTCTTTTAAAATAAATTTGTCTTTTAAAAGAAATAATGAAAATAGTATTTTTATTGGAAGGTGAAAATAATTTTATCTTTTATACTTACATAAATTTATATAAGTGCAAAAAATAAAATTATGCATATCTTATAGAAGAAACATTAATTTCAATAATTATACATATATGAAAAAAATATTTGTCTTTTCAATTGACACAAAATAACAAAATTATATCATTTTTAATGAAATTATATTGTTTTGATAAGTTTTTACTTTCTTTCTTCTCTATTTTTTTTTTAATTTCAAATTTTATAAATTAAAAAAATGACAAAACACACCAAAACAATATAATTTCATTAAAAATAACACAAAATTCCATGAAAAAGAATAAATCTTATATTATATTAACTTTTAATTTAAAATATATCGGAATATACAATACAACCTACTTGGCTGTAAAACAAATTCATCCTTCTCGTAAATTGAAGGGACGAAATCAAAATTGATTTGACTTAATTCATATAATTCATTTTCATTGAAGCAATCTTTAATTTCCCTTCGCTCTCAGGAAGGATTGAAATCCATCACCGCCTTATCTCATAACAATCAATCACTGAAATGGCAAATGCTTTGAAGAGTGGCACTTTTATGCTTTCACTTTCTTCCTTATGGAGCACTACAGCTACAACTAGAACAACAACCCATTGTTCCCTTCTTTCAAATGCCACGCGTTTTCGTTCCAAGTTCCGTTTTTTCTCCCTCTCATCATCATCTTGCACAAGAACCTCATCTGGGTTTCCTTCACTTTGCACAGTTTCTTCTTCTTCTTCTTCTTCTTCCACAGATGAGGCTGAGGCAGTAACGAAAACCATAACTGGCAATGGTAATGGTGAAACTGAAATCAGTATTAAGGATGCAGCGTGTTTGCTTGACATGAGAGTTGGACGCATTTTGAGGGCATGGAAACACGATGAGGCTGATTCTCTTTATGTGGAAGAGGTTGATATTGGTGAGCCTGAACCCAGAATCATATGTAGCGGCCTTGTCAACTATATCCCTCTTGAACACCTTCAGGTTTTTTTATTTTACTATTTATTATTATTTTACCCCAATTTTTTTTTTCTGGTTATTGTTAACAAATTTCAATATGGGTTTTGATATATGAGTCTTTTTGTGCTGATAAAACTCTGCATTTGTAAGAAAATATGAGTTATGGTAATAGAGGATTACTTCGTTGGGAATGCTTCAATTTGGATACCACATGTACTAATTTTGTGTCATTGACTATATTGTTCAATATTTGAAATGATTTGTATTATATAAGGGCTTCAATACTGATAAATCACAATGGTAACTAAATACTGAAGTGTCGTACTTTGGCTATTTGGTGTTCTATTCGTTGAGTTCCTTATAATGAAAGAGGGAGATGTTCTGTAAATAGTGTGAGAATGAGAGTGTTAGTTCTGACTTCACATCTTGGAACCTGGTATTGTTACAGAGTACTTCAATACTTCTTGGGAATCTCATAAAACTACGTATAGTTGTATTATGTATCCTATCAGTTTGGGTAAAACAGAGGTTGGTTGAGAAATTGATTTGGGTGTCTGAGGGATATATCATACTTTGGATTGTTTGTAGTGTGTTGGCCACATTCCCATGAACTGTAAGTTTGGGATTTGATATTTTTGTGCTGAAACAAGAAAGAAAATAAATGTGGCTTTAATAACAGGTTTTATAACCTCAACTACTTGAAGCCTATAGGCCATAAGTGAAACCTACATAGCAAAGTATAATCCATAAATAATCATCCAGGTCTAATTCGAGCACCTTTGAGGGAGCACCTTTGAGGGAAACACAATGTAAAGTACCACCTAATTAAATTTTGAACAAATTTAAAATTTAAACATATGGATACTGATGCTACACGTGCCCGTTCTGAGTATTAGCTGTCACTCAAAGAGCTTTCTTACATTTGCATGAGGCAAGGAAGCATTGACCTTCAAAATGGGTGTTGTACTAGTGTCAGACACGTCTACGTGTCAAATACCCATCAGATACCATCTTATGCTCCTAGTCTGCATCCTTAAATACTTTTTTTCTTTTGAAAGTCTTATACTAATGCGGGTGGAAATTAATGCTTTTGTTTTGATTTAAGGTACATGTTTTTATGTTTATCTTATATTATTAATTCATACGTTGTATTATATTTATAGCCATGGGTGGAAATTAATGCTTTTGTTTTGATTTAAGGTACATGTTTTTATGTTTATCTTATATTATTAATTCATACGTTGTATTATATTTATAGCGATGCCATGTCCTATAATTTAGAATTTACAGCATTCCCGTGTCTGTGTTATATGATATTCATGTGCCATATCTTATTGTTGAGATATTCAAGTGTGATGAGTCCCACATTGGTTGGTAATGAGCTAAGTGAAGAGTATATAAGTGAAAGGACCCATGAACCCAATGCCTTAAGGTTTTGGGTTGAGACATGGTGTCGGATCCACTTGCTACGGTTGGTGTAGCCTTAGCTCATTGGTGGTGGCCCCCTGCCACGGGCTTCCCCTGGACCCGCTTGACATTGGAGTTTGAGGGAACGAATTTCCCAACAGTGGTATCAGAGCCGGATTGGGCTCGAGCTAGCCTAGTGATTGGCTAGGAGGCGGGTCGAGTACTTTACGCTTCGGGTACTCGGTTGAAGGGGAGCATACCAATGGTGGGTTTCACACTTGAGGGGGAGATTGTTGAGATATTCAAGTGTGATGAGTCCCACATTGGTTGGTAATGAGCTAAGTGAAGAGTATATAAGTGAAAGGACCCATGAACCCAATGCCTTAAGGTTTTGGGTTGAGACATGGTGTCGGATCCACTTGCTACGGTTGGTGTAGCCTTAACTCATTAGTGGTGGCCCCCCGCCACGGGCTTCCCCTGGACCCGCTTGACATTGGAGTTTGAGGGAACAAATTTTCCAACACTTATCTGTATCTGATCCATGCATCCTAGGTCAGGGCCTTCCACAAGAGCAGAGAAGGAAGATATACTAGGAATTCAGTTTTTTAGAGGATTTGGACCATTTGTGATTTTGTGAAAGTAATATCCTATCTTTGTGTATGGAAATGCATAATTTGAACGATTGTATCAAATTTTAAACTGCTGCACGTCATAGAAGAATTGGTTCAGGTTATTCCCTCTTGATAGGGTCTATAGTTTTAAATCCAAACTTCTATTCATTTGGATAGTTCTTGTATTGTTGTTAGTTGTGGATGAAACTTATCATCGAATTTTGAAATGCACCTTTTCATACTTCTAAGCTTCAATTTCTGTATTTTTACACTTACGATGACATTACTTATTAGAAATGTACTTTCTTTGCCTGCTTACTTCTAAATTTATGTTTTATTTTTGCCTTGTAATAGAGTCTTTAATGTATGCTTATGTATTTGGCGGTGGTCTATCTGATTTCTGTACCAAGGAAGAATGGGACTTTGATGTCTGACGTTGTTGAGTTGAGAATAAAATAAAAGAATTAATAAGACATATGTTTAAGGCAAAAAATGTGGGTTCTATAGACTCATTTGTTCGTTCGAATTTTAGCAAAAAAAAATTATAAGATGCATGTGTCTTGTTCCAGGTGAGTTTGGTATCTGGAATTTATCAAGCTCCGGGAAAGAAATAATTATTTTCTAACTTAACTGCTTTACGTGTATCACTTGATGCTTATTAAAATGTGAATTCTGAAGGCAAAACACTTTATTATGTTGTGCATATAATGTATATAATGTTGGGTTAGATGGACAAACTTTTGACTGCTGGAATAGTTGCTTGTGTGTGTGGCAACACTTCAGAAATGGATTTGATGTTGTAATATAGGCATCATAATTTGTGTTTTTCTGTAAAATGTAACAAATAGTAAGGAAAATATGCAGGGCAAAAAGGTTATTGTTCTCTCCAATCTGAAGCCAAGGAATATGCGTGGTGTTAAGTCTTGCGGGATGCTGATGGCTGCTTCTGATGAAAAGCATGAGAATGTTGAACTTCTGTTCCCTCCTGAGGAAGCAAACCCTGGCGAAAGAATATGGTTTGGATCAGAAGATGAAAAGGATAATCAACCTGCCGCTGCCACTCCGAATCAGGCAATAGCTCTACTTGAATAGTAATTAATATGATTGCCTAGCTAAATGCGGAAGTTCTAAATTTAGATAATTTATTCTTTCATAAATAAAACTAGGTCGTGTTTTAGACAAAGTTTGTTGGGATACCATAATGTTTGTGTGTCCAATAGTAGTTGTCACCGGCACAAGGTGTTAATTACATATAGAGATTGAAAAAACCCTAGAGGCTTAGACCAGGTTACATTTTTCTTGAAACTCCCAAAAAATTTATCGCTCGCATATTCGTGTACCATAGAAAACTCTTGAAACTAAACCTTCAAGAGTGTAGATCGATGATTCTGCTGGAATGAGTGTTGTATATAAATCTTATTACACTGCACTGTATAAGTGGATGTCATTATCATTTAGATTACTAGTGTTATGATAAACAAACTTTAATTTGTAGGGAAAAGATTTATAGATTCAGCATTTTGTGTAGGAAGTTCAGGATCTGAACATAGAGAATTGAAGAATCTATGTGAGGAAGTATAGGCTAAAGAATAGGCTTTAGAGAGCACAGTAATGCAAGAAGGATAATGATATTTGTTTTCACACATATGGGAAATTTCTAGAGAAAGGCTAATTGATCAGTTATCTCTATCCTGTCTAATCCATATAGAACTTACTATTCTTGTGTGACAACATGCAGATACAAAAGAAAAAGATATGGGAATTGGTGCAGCCTCATCTTAAGACCGATGATTCTTGTGTAGCGATGCTAGGAGTGCATGTCATGCGTACATCTGTGGGTTCAGTGGCATGCCAGTCATTGCGGAATGCAAATATCTCCTGATCAACACTGTCTATTTCTTACTCTACACAACCGTTCTGCCACTGCCTATCCATCCGTATACAATTATTCTGCTTCATAATGTAGTTTTTGGCTAATGTGTGGAGGTTTGTTTTATGGGAATAACATCTGTCATTTTAAAGGATATAAGTTTATATCATTTTAGATCTTAACCGTTGATTTCCGTCCATCAACAGTTATAATTTATTGGATCAAAATTATTAATTAATTAATAATATATTTGGCCCATTAAGTTTGCCCAATAGATTATAACCATTGATGGACAGAAATCAACGGTTAGGATCTAAAATGATGTAACCTTATATCCTTTAAAATGATAGATGCTTTTCCGTTTTTTATATGTACTTTGATTTTAATTTTTTTTAATGATTTTAATTGGTATTTTAGCTGTTTCACTTGGAAATAATAATTTGAACATAGCAAAAATATCCTGCCTTGGAGGCAAATGGTTTAATCTCTAGTCTCTAAATCAATAAATACCCTGCCGCGGAGGCTGAGAGCTGGCAATTTTCTTTTAATATGAGGGTTGCACTTGCACACAATGCTATGTCCCTATGCTAAGTCAAGCCAATCTTGTTCGTTAGGGGATAACCAAGTGATAAAGTATGTCCTCAACCGCGAGACAATTGAAGAATAGCTGACAAAAAAGCTTAAGTGATTGGTTTTGGCTGCGGCTAAAGATTATCTGCTGTTGTTGCTGAAAACCGATTGATTGTGTTGAGGGGAAAATATCTTTTGGGAGTATTAAAGACCTGCTGTATCCTTTGTTATATTTGAAAAAAATAAAAAAAATAATATAATTGATGTTTTACATTTTGCCTATTCTTTTATTGTTATTTTCACTTAAGGCTCACCTTTTTTCTATTTTTAATAAAAGAACATATGCTCATACTTGTGTTGAGGCGGTGAATACAGTTGAAGGCCGAAGAATGTGCGGATGATTTCGGTTTGCTGATAGATGATTGCGTAGCATTGTCAAGGTGGTTCAGAAGCCATGTTAGGTGCAATCATCATTGAGACAGGAGTATTCGCAAATATTTTCAGCCTCAGAATTATGAACTTTACACGTTATACCCAAAAGCTATCAACATCATTTCCTTTAAATGACAAGTAAAAAATCTAGAATCAAAATATAAGCTAGCATCCTTCCAACATAATCTTACTTTTCTGCCTATAAAGAACAAAACTACCTAAATATACCTAAACCAATTAATTCTCTTCAAAAATTCGTAATCTAGTAAGCTCCATTAGCAGTGATGTCGAACTAAACAGAAAAGATCCTGATCCGCGCAGTTTTTCCTGCACGCCTTCACCTCTCTATCAGACTATTCTGTAAATTTATCAATGGCACCAAGAACTTGAACTGACTTGGGATCAAGACCCGCCAAGCCATGATGATTCTCATCAGTCGTGCTTTTTTCATCATCATCTACATGGGGTTTCTCAGCAAGTCCATGTAGTCATAATATGGCCTCTGCCATCTCAAGCTTGCCACTGAGATATAATTTTGTAGGAATATCGCATTTGTGGAGGTTCGAGACCGTGTCTGACTGTGACATTGTTAACGACCCTGTCAAAGCTAGCAAGGGTAACAATAGAGTTTGGTTCTCGCTTTTTCTTTCGTTCTCCTTTCTCATTTCTTCTAGTAACGCTTTGCTGGAGTCAATACCTGTTAAGCATTCCGGAGTGAAATAAATTAACATATAAAAGTGAGACCTTAAAGTCATTGCTATGCCTATTACACCTATCATAAAGTCATTGCTATTACAGTTATCAATAACCGGTTTAGGAAAAGCAAACTTAAGATAAATTAATGCCTCACCTGCGAGGTATCCACCATGTACGTACCCATTAAATCTTTCACTCGTGTGCTCCCCAGTAAAGAAAATGCGACCAACTGGAGCCTGAACCATGCCCCAAAAAGACAAATAAACACAGTGGGGAAAAAAATTATAAAAAAAATGCTTTGGGTCTGTAGAAATGAACAGCAGAGCTAAAAGAAACAGAACAAGGGGCACAATAGAAAACCAATATACAGCACAGCAGCCCAACCCCACTGGGAAAAAATCACCGCGGATAATATTCGAATATCAAATATAAAAAGGAGGTTCCTGTTGTAGTTTCGCATCGTTGTTTATTGCAATCAGCTAGTTTTGCATTACTGATTATTGCAATCTGCATCCAGATTCATCCCACCAACGGGTTATCAGAAAATAAACATACTATAAAATTCTCTAATTTACAATTGGATGTGAATTTAATAATCCTATAAATTGCTTTAGTAAGGAAATTACGCATATCGCTGTATTCTGGCCCTCCCCCAATTATTTTTCCCTTTTCTAAAGAAAAATTACATTAAATTCATAGTAAAACTAATCTGTTCCCATATTCAACATGTCAAACAATTTGTTACTTGTGTCGCAAGGAAATAGGAAGAAAAGAAACTCCTTGGCACAGAATTAAAATCAGGAGTGATCATTAATTACATACAATGACCGACAGTAAATTCCAGGTTGTCTCCCTTTTGTCTTCACACGCATTGTAATGCAGAATGTAAAGACAATTTTACCATCTTATGATTGAGAAATTCTTTCCTAGTATAATTTAATGTGTACCATTTCAGATATCACTTTAACAATATTTTAAATTTATACATGAGATGGCGCACATTGAATAGAAAAGAGTTTTTATTTTTTTTATTTTTTTTGCTCCAGGAGCACTTGAGAATTTTTCAGATTCTCTACATTGCGAAAGAAATAGTCACAATTATATATCTGTGTGTGTGCGCGTGAATATTTAGCATGATAAACAAAACAAACCTTAATATCGTGAACTACTTGGGGATTGGAGATAATAGGATAGTTGCTGTAACTGCCACGTTGGAATCTGTTATTCCACCATCGGGGAACGAGTATATCAATGGCATCAGGTATGTTGGGTCCAAACATATCCCTGAGCACTCCCATAGCTTCTCTCAAGGTTTCTTCATCAGATTGAGCTTCCACACGTTTTGATTCCTCATTTGTCAATGTCACGACCAAGATATTGGAGCCAGGGTATGCGTTCTCCATATGCTGGTGACAAAGAAGTAAATCAGGAGATAAATCCCATATATTTATTGCAAAACAATCTGATTCCCAATTCAATTATTTCAGTTATCTTAGAAGTTCATATCCAAAAGACTGCATAAATATTGACACGAATGGAGACGGATCCTATACTAAAATTCTACAATGCCTACAGAGGTCAGATTTTTTTTCCCATCGTAAATCCATTTTTTCCACTTTTCTATTAAAATGGATATAATTACTATTTAAATCCATTTTTTTCAATAGTTTCATGCTATTTTATGTGAATAAGACACTGATCATGGCTATAAAATGTAAGTAGTTCCCAGTTTCCCATGACGAAACTTGTACTGATAATTCCAAGAGGACACCAACATAGCATACATCCTAAAATGGATGATAATTCTTATGAACCAATTATTCCTAAAGTTTAAGATATTGTGAAAATACATAAATGATTTTATATCTAACATGTTCCCATACTACTTATCCGAAATTGAACTCTACATCATATGGTCATGTAGACTCTCATGCCATGTCATGAATCAATTATTTCAAAACTTAAACTATTAAATGAGTTCAAATGAATGATTTTATACTTTTATCACACCTCTAACAATAGTGAATCACTTAATAATCACAAGGGAAAAATTTATTATATCCATGTTATCCCTACAAGGATATAGTTTATATTTATCATTATAAGACAAATGGAAGTAGTTGCAATAAAAGTATTTATTATCATGAGCACTTCTAAAAGGTCAAAACTAGAACTAACTAAAAATAACATAAAATACCTAGGCCACCATGCGTAAATCAGGGGATGGGAACATAGAAAAGTTATCTCTTCATATCAGACAAAAGAGTTGTTTCTCTTGAATTATAACCTTTGGCTTTAGTATATAGAAAATCCAAACAAGAGGAACTGAAATATAGTTACGGAAGGTAAATGCAAATAAACTTGTCATGAAGTTCAGTAGTTAATAACGTCAGACTTGGAACTAAGTGGTAAGATAAATGAAATTTATTGAATAGTGAGCGCACTAGGATTTCTGCATAAACTTTGATTTCACAGGTTGTGAGGATTCTGTAACCAGTTCATCTAACAGGGAGTTGTTATATTACAAATTACATGTATTTAAAGTTTCACTGGAGTGGTTGGCCATACTTCGGGGACAGAAACAAAAACCAGAGTTATTTTAAGAGACATTTTGAAAATATTATTCGCGCTAATCAAGATAAATTTCAAGCTGACTTAATAGGTAGGAATTAAGATGAGTCTGTTTCCAAAAATAAAAAATAAAAAAATTAAGATGAGTAATGTGACCCACATTAAATAGCACATAACCTATAATTAATTAACAGTGCTATTTAAATCCTCTGCGTTCCAATTATTCTCTTTAATTTATAGATCATCTAAATTCAAGATATATACGTTCACATGGGCCCTACTGTTAGGTAATAGGACAGTAGTTTCATGTAAAATAAATTTCACATCATAGCAATTTTTCTCATATCTTGGGTGCTGGAAAAAATTAGATATTTTAATTGCCATACTTTCATAATTCACATTATTTCCCACAGAAATTTGAGTATGATCAATGCAATGCAACATGCGACTGACGTACATTAAACTGGCCAATTTCAGAGAATTTTGTTTCTTGTTCAACTAACTGAATAGCAAAAAATAGCTTCGGGATGAGAACAAGATAGTCGTAGAATGCAGAATAAACAACAGAGCATAAAATACAGCATGCAAAATACAGCATAATATAAAGGAGAATTTCAAATAAACCTGCCAAAACGTGTAGTAGCCTCTCCGATCGTGAGCATATATAAAAAATTCCTTTTCGGGTCCACTTGGCCAGAAGTAATATGGAAACTTCAGAAAGATTTTGGTGTACACCATTACATCACATTTCGCTATGGCTTCCAATTTCCATCTCTGTGTAATAATTGAATTCATCATGGACATATTGAATCAGACAAGTATAGTGTTTAGCAAAACTAAAAGTCTTAACATTATTGAAAGAAAATTTAGACAACTAAGCTTATCAGGTGTCAGGAATCAGACAAAGTGTCTCAATGATCATATATTTTAATAGTTTATTTTAATGGTCTCGCATCATTGGTACATTCATGCACAGTTTGATCAACACATGCCATGTTCATATGCATCTTTGTTCAGCACTTGGCTCAATTGCCAAGTATTAATAGTCCTCAACCAGAACTAATAATCATAAGTTTGTATAAATTGACAGTTATAGTAAAAACTAAAGCGGTAAAATTATATATATAGTCTTATCTTATGTGTGATAAAATTATAAAGGACGATTGTAAAACATGACATTCATTCCGTGTACACCACACTTGGCTTATATAACATGTAACAAGTAGCTCCTATACACTTCCCTCCGTTGATAGGACATGCAATTGAGCGATTTAAAATATTTTTCTCTGTCCACCCACAGGCTTCTGACAAAATAACAAATTAGCAATCCTACGGATCTGCAGCCAAGTTAAAACCAACAAGGTTTTCTATGTTATCACCTCCGGAATACCCCAGTTTCTGCTACCTTTTAACCTTTGCCGTCCATTCTAAATGCAAAGGCCCGTAAAGTTGCTTCATAGGGTCGCACTAACCTACCTTTAAGGGCAGGGTATTGGCTACACATATCATTAACTAATTTTAAATACTTAACAAAATTAATGACTTATTTACATAAAAACAACCAGACTCATTTATTATTTGTCTAACTGACTCAACTTCTTAAAATCATGGCTTTAATGTTTATATAGTAAATGTAGATAAGTTATCTATATTTGTTTCCAAAATGACATCATTTTGGGTTGAAAAATTAAAACATTATAATAAAAAAAACTATTATAACCCTTAAATAAATTATAATTACAAAAATACCTTGATTTCCGCCTCAAAACGATATCGTTTTGGGCAAAATATAGATAAATTATTTCCATTAACTGTAGAAAAAGTGAACCCTAAAATTACATAATAAACTTTTTCCCAAACAGGATTAACCATACACTTTATGTTAGATCACTAGGGTACCGGAATCCCTTAGAAATAGGTTAAAATGAAGGGTTTAATAAGTATAATGTTGCATGATGTAAGAAGACTTTTCTACACTCACAATAAAGAGGAGAGAGAAAGTGAAATAATGAAAGAGAAAAAAAATATGTAAACCCCACCTCTTAGTTGTATGTGTAGAAAAGTTTTTTTTTTAAGTCATGTAACATTATACTCATAAAATCCTAAAATGAAATGGACGGGAAGGAAGGGATACTTAACGGATAGTTTCCCCTAAAAACTTTTAAGGAAAAGTTCACCAATACTTATGGTTTGCTTCAGAACCATCAATGTTCCTGCAATTTTTTTATCACATATATCCCTGTGTTTTGTAAAAATTAAAAAATCACAGGGGCATATGTGATAAAAAAAATATACCCTTTTGCAAACCACAAAGGCATATATGATAAAAAAACTACAGGAAGATAGATGGTTCTAAAATAAACCACAGAAATATTAGTCAATTTTTCCCAAACTTTTATTATTATTTCAAATGAAATGTTTTGTGCACAGTCCTCCTAGATATAGATGAACGTACACAATTAATAAGACTACATATATTTTTTAGGCCTATTTTACCTATTTATCTATAATATTATTGGATTATAATCTCAAAAAAGAAATAATAAAATTTAGTTAAAATTCTAATCTAACAGTATTGAAGATAAATAAATAAGATAGGCATAAAAAAAGTAGAAAAAAATATTCTATCTCAATGAATATAAGATTAAGAATAATAAAAAAATGATTAATTATATTTTAAATTTAACATATGTAATATGTTATTAGATTTAGTATTATAATTAATATTTAAGAATTTTAATTTTTCAATGTGTTAATATATGATTAAATGATTATTAAATTTTTTACTGTTAAAGTATTAAATTTAAATTATGAAGTACATGGGAAGGGAGAAGGGGGAATTAAGATCATCCATTATTTAGATGCAGTATCAGAGATTCAGAATCACAACTAACACATGCAAGATGGCACCGTCCTCTGTCCACGTGGTGACCCAATCAAGAGGTCTAATTTAACAAATTGAAAAGTACACCATCGTTGATGAGACCGCTTGGATCATTCACCAATATTATATCTTTGGCGTCATCTGCCAGAGAACTCAGTTTACTATGAGACCTGCTGTCCCTATATATTTGACTTTCAACCTAATGACATTAGACCATGGTCCCACAACCTAAATATCATGAAAACAGAAAGGAAATTCCTACTACAGGACTGCATATGGACAGAAATAGAGATTCAATTTTCACCTTTCACCGCGTTGGTACTTGTTACCAAGCAAAATATAGAATGGTCTTGACTAAATGCTTTAACTGCAGGGCAATGCTGTTTTCATCAATAGCCCATTTTTTATATTAGTTTTAAAGGTAAGCTATATTTACTATCAATTTGTCCTGTAATTTTTATTATTATTGGATTTCCATTTCTTACTCATCCTTTTATTAATCTAAAAATAACAGTGATAATAAAAAGAAAAGCTACATGTAAACAGGGGTAAATTAACTAGCTTCTATATTTTATAAAAAAAATTAAGAAAAACTTAAAAAAAAAAATCCCTAAAATATTGAATCATTTACATTTGTACTTATTTAGAGTTTTTTTATCACTTAAACTCACCTTTGATTGAAAATCATTTATTTTCCTAATTTAGAAATGTAAGTGATAAAAAACTTTAAATTGAAATATAAATAATTCAAAATTTCAGAAATGAGATAAGTGATTCTGAAAAAATTTATACGGGAGTTTTTTAAATTTTGCAAAACATTTATGGTGATAATTCTCGGTAGTTATTTTTAACCGTATAAACAAACTCATCAATAATGTTAGTGTGATAAGTTCGAGATGTTCACGTATCTACGATTATCATGTGAGTTCCACATCATGTACAACGGAGATATGCATATCCATTACGGGGCTACAGGGAAATGGAGGGCTGAAAGAAAAGGAGAAAGTATAGAGTATAGAAAAGACATACGGGCAAGGGAGGATTGAAGGCAACGAGGTCGCTTTGGAGAACGCCAATGCTAACGGACAGAATTACGAAATTAGCTTCGTAAACGCAACCATCCTCTGTTATCACCTTAACACCACTTCTCGAATGCTGTAATTCCCGGACGACCTGCACAATGCAAAAAGATAACGGAGCGACATTATTACTACGTCGAGAAAACTACTTCCGAGTAGATTGAACATTCCCATCCCAAAAATATCAAATCACTCAAAAAGTAAAGTAAAGCAAGAACGACAAACTTTTATTTTATAAACTTACAAATTTTATTACGTCTTAATAATAAGATTTTATTTAAAAATATTTTATCAATAAAATATATTATAATTTATAAGAGTTTATAAATAAAAAATATGTAAATATAAACTTCCCATAAAATAAAATGAATTCTAAACTTCAAACTAATAAAATAGCCTAGAAATCGACTAGCAATTAATTCAGAGAAGATTAATTGCAGAGGAATCTATTTATTGGAGCTTCCCGTAATTTACCCAGAATTACAGTAATAGTTAAGAACCCGATCTTTTGGTTTCTTATTTCTCAGTTTAGGTTTTGCCTGCTAAATTGAGATATTTACAAGACTTCGTTCGTTTACGCTAAAAATATTTAGGATGAAATGACATATCTCCTTAGGCTATTGCTAGGGTCAATTCAAGTAGTTTGGAGGACAACATAAATTGGGAGTCCGGGACCTACTAATTTATGAGATGTAAAATGCCTTACAAAGATTAAATCGAACATATTATATGTGGGTCAAGTTGTGCCGGCAAGTGGGGGGTTTTCGGCTTTAGGCATATCGCTGTTGGCCTGTAACCCTTGAAAAATTGCAGGAACAGTTTAAAGACACCAAAGAGATCGGCAAGACCTGCTAAGTGTCTGGCTTCAAACACTCAAACAGTGCTAGGATGAATTCAATAAAGAGAAATTGTTGAGAATAGCCATAATTTTTTGTCCACCGTCGTTCGTACTGCTATTAGCATCGTATACATAAGTAGAGAGACACAAAAATGGGTAATATATTATGATTAAACATTTTAGTTGAAAATGTTTTATAAACGCAAATATTTATGATAAATAAAAATAAGTAACCTTTTCTTTAATATTAACGTTTTTTTTTTTATGTACAAAGAAGTAACTTATAAATGGTTAGTGAGTGGTGATGGGAAATGTCGGACTCCTTATGGGGATGTACGGTCTACGATAACGATATTGTGAACTAAATGATGTTTATATTATTTATATCTTTCAAATGCTTACATATTTTAATGAAAATGTTAAATAATGTTTTTTATAAAAGAATTATTTGATAGAAAATAATTTAAATTTTTATTAAATTTTGTCAATTATTTATTTACTGACATACAAGATTTAATGAATAATATTTAAAAAGATTGTACTTGAATAATTTATCAATATTTTTACGCTTGAAAGTTGAAAGGCAATGCTATCACTTGACTAAAATTAAAATGTACTAAAAAGACTTTGAATAATAGTATATTATATCCTTCTATTCTTCAAAAAAAATTCAATACATTATAACATTCTCCTTAAGTTCTATATTATCCTTATATGAAATTTGCAGCTTCGTAAATTTATTAATTTCCCTTATTTAAGAATCTTCTAAAAATCATTCCTTGTAGAATATAGTAGTAGCATTATAATTTTTCTGTCCAAAAATAAAATAGTCAAAAGCTTGAAGAAAAAAAGTGTGGGTCTGTGGGAGTTCACACCATAATACAAGAAAGAGTGACAGAAATTATCTTGAAAAGTATATCATGACAATCAAAAGCCAAAATCAGTTTTGAAAAGTCATTATCCTCAAGCTCCAAAAGTGCGTCAAACAGTTTGGAAAGCAGCGCATGCAAACAAAGACCGATTTTCAATTTCCCCCATCCTCTGCCATGCTATCTATTCTGTTTTCTTTTTCTTTCTTTCTTTCTTTTTCGACACAGACTATGCTAAGTGCTAACTAACAAAAAGACGGTGTCCACAAGTGGTGGACGCGGCGGGTAAGGGGCATTGAAAAGTCTTTGAGAACAAAAGAAAGAAACAGAGCTCATTAGATTACCGGAACAGTACCTGGTTAAGTTTGAGACGACTCTCCAAGATTTTACCCTCTGATGTAAAGAGAAAATCTTCAGCCATTTTGTATAGCAAATAATCATACCCTCTTTCATCCGCAACCATAAACTCCCTCTCGCCAAAGTCTGTATAAGTAGATATTGGCTCCACCTCTGCACCCAAAATTTTCACCTTATCAGTTTCTAATTTCGGAACAGATATCCATAAAGCAAATCGCATAAGTACTAATAATTAACAATTTAATTACGAAACAACATTAAGAATTAGCAATTTAATCACAAAATCATAGTATAAATCTGAAAGGAAAAAACAAGAATGGGAAAAATTCAGGGTTTTAAAATTAAGCTGGGAAATTGGGAACTGGGAACAGACCTGCCATTTCAAAATCATGGAGGATGAAATCAATGGCCAGCTCTATTGGCGTCCTAAAACGAAACAAAAAGCGAGGGAAAAGAATCTCACAATCAAAATATATCAAAATGGAAATAATTATTAAATGCTTCATGTTATATGGTCACACTCACATCACATTCATTCATTAAATCTTTTTATTGCTGAAAGCTACAAAAGCAATTGCACTTACGAAGGTGGTTCGGTTATTTTAGAGTTATTGCCTTCCTGGTTCTTCAAATTTTGAATCGCCGAGTCCACGGCTTTTTTGTACGAGTCGGCAGCGATTCCACTCGGAAATATCTTCCCACTGCAACTAACTAACTCGTTATGGAATTTGAACCAAACCGATACCAGAAGTAACAGAACAGAGCAATAGGCAGAAACAAACAAAGAACGGAAATGACGCTAACAGAAAAAAAAAAAAAAAAAAAAAGGCGCGCGCCTTGCCATCACGGCGCATAATAGAGAAAACGGCCAAAACGGCGCAAAATAAAATAAAAATAAAAATGGAAACAATCGTTTTCGCAGACCTGCGATCGTAGATGTTGTATCGCGCATTGCTATAGTCGGAGAAGCAGGTTCGGAGGCCGGATTCGGCGGCGAGTTCCCAAACAGGATTGGACACTTTGCCGCCGACTCCGGCGATCCAACCGGCTCCGAGCTCGACGGACACGCCGCCGAAGTTTTCCTTTCGGATCCTGCCGCCGATTCGGTCTGAAGCCTCGAGGATCACGAGGTCCTCTATGCCGTTCTCCACTAGCACCTTCGCCGCAGAGATACCTTCCACACAAGGAAAAAAAAAAAACGGAATATAAATGATACGGAAGATTAATAATGAAGATGTTGAGGGGGAGAATTGTTGCGGCGGCGGTACTCACCGGAGACACCGGCACCGACGATGATGACGGAGGAGGAGCGGGATTGAGAATCCATGGAATGAAAGAGTATAAAGTAGAGATAGAAAGAGAGTGTGAGAGATTGGAGATGGTGAACAATTAAAGAGTGCGTGTTTGTTTGGCTGGCATGAGAAGAAGAAATAGCGGGAGTCCGTTTATATAGTTTTTTTTTTTTTTTTTTTCTGTTTTTTCTTATTTACTTTTTCAACAACAAAAAAAAAAGTAGTATATATTATTAGGGAAAAAAATTTCTGATGTTGCTTTAGATAATTTTGTCTTATATTCATCGAAACGACGTCGTTTTGAGCTTAAAAAATTAAAAAATTATAATAATAAAGACTATTATAACCCTAAAATAAATTAAAATTACAAAAATATCATGATTTCCGTCCCAAAACGACGTCGTTTCAATGAACATTAGATAAAGTTATCTAAAATAAATTTAGAAAAAACAAACCCATATTATTATCTCATTATATTTTCAAAGTTAGAGGAAAGGATAAATTTATCAAAGATTCATAATAGCTTAAAGGAATTAAGATGTACTCTTCATATTATCGTGCACAATCTAAAGCTACCATTATCTCACCGCTACCATTAATTAATAATATTATCGTCATCAGTCAACCATTACAATTGTCACATGTTATTGTTGGCGCATTATCACTTACACAACTGTCAACACTTCAATTGACCAGCATCAGTCATTGTTACTAGCTACAAATGCTAACATACAAATTAAAAGTTTATCTATTAAGAATATAATTATTTTATTTTAAATTTTTTGTAAGCTGTTTATGTATTTTAGTATATTTTATTTAAAATTATGACTTTTAAATTTTTTAATAATTTAAAATAAAAAATAATGTTTAAATAAGTAAAAAATACGAGTTTAAAAAAAATCAAAATAATATGAAATTGTTAAAAAATAACACTTTATCTATTTATATCATATTATATCACTGTATGATTCGTCACTACTTGTTTAGCGCAAATCAAACATAGGAATAGGATGTGCGTATCATATCTATATTATGTTTTTACTCTTATTCAATTCTCTTGTCCTATCAATTCTTATGATAACCTCCACACCAAACAACAAGTTTCAAAAATTTAAATTTTAATAAAAGCAACAAAATATTATTATCATTAATTTGGCTTATGATTATAAATTGAAGTGTATTAGATTATTGATACTACATAATTATTTAAGGATGACCATATGTTCAATTGGACCTAACTACATTGTGTACCTTGGAGGATTTATAGGTTTTTAGAGAGAAGGAATGAGAAAGATAAAATGACTACGCAAACAAACTCACATTAATTAATGTTAAATTCTTTGTTCATGAATGTTTATCATTTTTATTTCTTTAAAAGTAAATAAAAGTAAGATAAAAATATTTAAATAAAGAATGAAGTCTATCATCAATCAATACTAAAATATAAATAAAATGGACACAATCTTACGTAAATATATGACAGCATATAATAAATTATTGTTACGTGAGGAAACAAGATCGACGGGTTCCGTACGCTTTTAGTTTTGCATGTTTTTTATAGTTGTCCTTAATGTAATCATTCATTGGTTTTAGTGAAAGACTCGACTAATGCTAAAAGATTCAATTAACAAAATTTTATTAGTGTTAATGTTATATCATTTTTAAAAACTTAATCAATATTCAGATTATACTATAATTTTTTAAACAAATATCTCTACTAGAAAATCAGCTATTACCAAAACACTAGCTAGCTACCAAGTGACTTCGCCACTGAATTTGGTTCAAAAAACCTTGTTCGATTGTTTTTATTGCGTGGAGTATTAGTTTTACTTGGGAATTAGTCCCTCCTTTCAAACTCCTAAAAAAAAATAGGGTCGTTTGATATTTAAACATAAAATAATTTTTTATTTTTTCTTTGATTTTAAAATCAGGAGAATGTTATTTTTACAATTTATTTTTGTTTGCAACCTCTTACAACCATATCTTAATCTTTGATTTTCATCAATCAACGGTTATCATTTTCGCCAATCAAACTCATTAATTAATTCTTAATTCTTAATAAATTATAATTGTTGATTGACGAAAATCAACGATTAAGGTGTCTTTGTAAAAAGTTGTAAACAAAAATAGATTATAAGAATATCCTTTCTCTTAAAAATAATAAAAATACTCCAAAAAAATAAAGTAAGGAAGAAGTACAAATTTCTAAATTTCCATATCAACTAAGGGCATGTTTGGTACATAGTATAGGATAAAACCTGATAGTATAAGACCTGATAGTATAAGACCTGATAATATAAGACCTGATTGTATAAGATCCGATTAAATTTTAATACTATCATGTGTTTGGTATGGTATTGTATAAGATAATATCCTCCAATATTTTAAAAATTAATATATTAAAAAAAAATTGTTTAATATAATAATATTGAAATGATATATTAGTTCTTGAGAATTGTACTTTTAAGCAACATTAATACATTAATCCTTTACCAGGCCTAATCCTACCCCTTTAGGCTTGATTAATTTATACCTCATTTTGATGTATAAAGGGATCCTGCTTTATAAGCTTATATTATACGAGGGTCACGTCAAATAACTGAAAATATCATAACGTATAATATAAGCTTATACTATCAGGCCTTATACGTCACACCAACATGTTCTAAATCAAGTCACAAAATTTTATTCATAGCACAATAGAATAAAAAACAATTTTATTATTTTTTATTTTAACTCTAATGCATGAAGGCTGAAGCAATACAACATAGAAGATATCATTAATTATAGGTTATTCTATTTAATATTTATACATATTAGATAATGAATTAATAAAGAATTTTTTTATTTTATACACTAGTCATCGAATAATTAATAACACAATATTATATGACCCAAATTAAATACTTATAAAGTGTTTATATTATCTCGCAACTCAATGTGCACAAAATACAATTTAGTTGCGTCGTGGATGCGAAACGGCATTGAATAAGAGACGGTTCAGCAACGCACGTGTAACGCTTTTGTGGTTTGTGGATTCCATTGGATCTCCCTCTGCTAAGTGATATCTTTGATTCGATTTCGAAGTTTTAAGTGCCTGTCACTTATATTATGGTGACAGCTCAATCAGGGCCATACAATATTAGAGAATGAAAATGTACAAATACGGTGTGATTCAAGATCAGCCGCCCACGTTTTATCATCCCATAAAATATTTGTATAAAACAATATCAGCGTTTTTTACCCTATCAAATAAATGCAATATCTTTATATTATAAAACATTTGTAGCAGATTATACAATAATCATACTTGCATGATTGCCATACTAAATCTGTATAAATGACAGCATTGAATTCATAAATAATAATAACGATACACACTTATTTATATACATATCATTTAAATATAACTAGTTTCATTTTTTTTATTTACACACTTTTTAATTTGGTCATTTCACGTGTATGTGAAGCTTAGTGCTTAATGATGATACTTTGTACAAATTGTTTTTAATTTCATAAATATAATGTTTTAATTTAATAGATAATTATGTAATATGTTTGAATTTTTTTTTCCTGGCCAATTTTTACGTTATTAGAGACTGAGCAATAATCTCGGCTCAATCAATTTTAGTGCATCCTCCATATAAATCAAGTACATTTTGAAAAATTAATTGATTCCCCGACTTTGGACCAACTTGTTTCATTTCACACTCCTTTTGATTTTTTTTCATGTTTAAAGGTATATATTCTTTTGGAACTAATTTTTACCTTCATATATGATAACCTTTGTATAAATAAAAAAAATTCTTTATTATTCTAACAAGTACTAAGATAAAAAAAATAAGATATCACAAAAATTTAATGCCAAGTAAAATATGACCTAATAGTAAAAAAAAAAAAAAAGACCAGGCGGGCTAACCACCCCAATCTGTTTTGAAGGCAAGTTGGTGAGTTGAAATATATAATCCAACCCGTTCTGTTTTGGCGGTTTGATCCGTCAGATTTAATCCATATTATCATCGCAATCGCATTACCATCTTTGATAGAATTGTCTTCAACGAAGGATAAATATGATTATAAAATAAAATAAAATGCAGAAAAACAAAAATCAAGTTTTAAAATAGTGACCAATTAAATAGAGCTGTTGACAATCCTTTTCCATATGATAAATTAACTGTGCTTGATATTAAAAGTTTCACAACGAATTAATCCGTGATGGCATGATCCGTGGCTTCCACACATTGCTGGCCTCATGTTTCATGCTTTTACTCGCTGACAATCCAACATATTGTCGTGTAAAAGAGACTGGTTTAATGAGTAAAGTTTGGGAATTGTGCAGGTTTGAAACTTTGGGGCTCGAGAACATAGTTCAAACTTCAAAGCGCTATAAATGGAGCAGTTATTGTGCTATCATACCTGACTCTATAGTTAGAAAATTCGCCATTGACTGATTCACGATCGGTTGGGGAATGAATAATTTCATATTTTATTTCAACAATAGCGAAAAACTGTATTCATTTATTAATAAATTGGATTTCATAATTTTAATAATAAAGTTAAATAAAAAAAATATAAACTATTCATTTCTAACCTTTTATTTATTATTAAATGACTGAAATTTTTTATCTCAATAAAATAAAACATGAGAGAATCGGGGTATTTTTGTTTTCTTCATAATTTTTATGCAGTGTTTAAAAGCCACACACATAATAAATCAAGTTACTAAGTAAGGGACACCTCGTGATTAAATTTAGTTTCTATCTGTCTTTGATCTTTATGTCGTAATAAGAAAAGGGAAAGCAGTGTTAATAATGAGAGATTCGTGATTTATAAATTTCCAAAAAGGGTGCAGGAAAAAAAAAAAGTGCTGTTGGATACTATATATGGATAACAACGTAAATCTTATATAAATTAAACAATGGACTGTAAGGGGAAGAGAAGGAGATTTGGCTCATGATAGCCTTGGTATCTTGCGTTTTTATTTTATATAAATAGTTAGAGTTTGAGGCTTGAGCCAATTTGATATAATTAGGAG